TATTTCACTTAGCATTATATTCTCAAGTTGTATCCATTTACCTAAGAATGCCTCAAGTTACCATTCTTTATGTCAGAGTAGTACTCCATTGTGTATAAATACCACATTTTCCTTATACATTCATCTGTTGATGGACATATACTACACTGTTTCCAAGACCTAGCTATTACACATTGTGCTGCTATAAGCAAGGGTATGCATGTATCCCTGTAATATGATGATCTTAACTTTTTTGGGAATATATCTAGAAAGGGGATACCTGGGTCAAACGGAATTTCTATTTTTAGTTTTTTGAGGACTCTCCATGCTGATTTCCACAGTGGTTGTACCAATTTACATTCCCACCAACAATGTAATAGAGTTCCTTTTCCCCCACAGCCTTGCTAGCATTTGCTATTATTAGATTTTTTTGATGATAACTATTCTGGAGTAAGATGGTATCTCAGTGTAGTTTTAATTTGCGTTTCTCTGATGGCCAGAGATGTTGAACATTTTTTCATTTATTTATTGGGCATTTGTACTTCTTTTTTTTTTTTTTTTTTTTTTTGGTTTTTCTCCGGTACCGGGAACCGAACTCACGACCTTGCGCTTGCCAGGCAAGCGCTTTTGCCGCTGAGCTAAATCCCCAGCCCCCTGGGCATTTGTACTTCTGATAAGTGTCTGTTCATCTCAGTTGCTCATTTTTTGATTGAATCTTTTATTTTGGGGCTCTAATTTTTTTAGTTCTTTGCATATTTTGGATGTTAGTCCTAAGACAGTGCCTCCTATCCCAGCAAGGAAGAGCAACCCAATCTAATATGTCAGCAGGGCAATGTTGAGAAACCCTAAACTCCCCGCATGGAATGTGCCTGTGACCTGCACTCTTGGACTGTGTATAACTGTGGTTTTAGCAAAGCAATTAACCCTGCTTCTCTTCCCAGACAGTCCTTGGCCCTCGCACCTCAGAGACCAAGGGAACAAGAAGGGAGATGCCTTTTAGACGCTGGGCAAGCAGTCAAGTTTGGGAAACATCTCTAAAATAGGATATCTCAAATAAAATTTCAAAAACAGTATGTTTCATCCATCATTGAGGTGAGGGAGGAGGAACTCAGGTTTGGTTGAAGGTTGGGATGATGCAAAGCAGTGCAATAGGTGCTGGGCATGGAGTCAGGAAAACTTCAGTTCTCATCTTATCTCTGCCACTTTGGGCCCTGTGACCTGAGGTGGTTTGGGGTTTTTTTTTTGTTTTTTTTTTTTTAACCTTTTGGACTTTAACTTTGTTATTATGAATGAGATAAGCACCCTCACATGTAGCAATCTGATGAAGATTGAAGGAGATGACACATATAACGAGGCCAACATAGAGAGCACACTTAATAAATTCTGGCTCTTTTTGTAGTGGAGAATTTGAAAATGTTTTGAAGAGCAGCTCGGTCACAGAGATCCGTGCTAATACCTGTGCTATTTTATAGGATTAGTGGATATTGTGGCTGGTATAAGCCTCATAGAAAGATTAACAAGTGACTTCATGTGACTCTATGATGTAAAGCTAGAGCCACAGTGAACTGCTTCGATAACACTACAGTGGGCTCTGCATTAAACAGAAAAGCAGTGAACCACAAGTGTTCCCAGGGATGCATTATGGCTCAGCTCAGAAACATTTTTAAAGGTTTGCAGAATATTTGCATCTTGGGGAACTGTGGAAGTAGTGCTAGGCTGGGAGAGAGCCACCCTTTATTTCCAGGGCTGAGGTCCCTCAGTGATGAAAAGTTGAGGTTCCCAAGGAACTGTCCCAACAGACAGTTCGCACCCAGATGACTGGTTTAATAAGCTCCCTTCTGGGTCTTTCTGTAATGACAAAATACAAAAAAATGAAGCTGCGAGCTCAGATTTGTTCATTGCAGTGTTGTAAAGGATAACAAAGGATTGGATGCCTCTGAGTATCCATCCAGGAAGGGTGGGTACACAAATGATGAAGCTCCTGTATGACAGACTGTCACATTGTCTTTAAAGTCTGGTGACAGATGTTTAAAAGACTGTAAGAAAGTGCTTATGATATAATGTTGCAGGAGAGAGGAGTTCGTAGGTCTGTAAAATGAACTGCTACCAAATATTGTTTAAGGCAGGCTCTGGACAAGAACATCTTACATGTGGTTTCGGTTTACACAGGTGCCTGTTGGCAGGTTTCTTGTCCTAAGGCAGTGGGAGAGGGCTGTGCAGGACCATCTGGAGACCCAGAGTAAGGGTGCACCACCTCTGGGTGCTGTCAGGAGGCACAGTTTAACCCTGGAGGAGTGAGATGGTGTTTTCTAAACCAGAGAAACCATGAGCGGCATGAAGGCCCAAAAGTGAAACTGGGAGGAAAAGGGAATAAACCTTCTAGAGTTAGCTTACTTCACTTACTTTTACTTACTTGCTTTTATCAACAATTTTAGAGGTCTTATAGCTGAGTAACATACTATTAGACACACCCCCTTCAGCTCCGCTATAGATAACATCTCTGACATGTGGGTCATGGTAATAACAATTGTTGCTCAAGCTGTTTTTCAGGAACCCAGATGTCCATATTTGTCTAGTTCAAATCTGTTGAGACCACCAACATTTCACTTAGGCCTGAGCAAGTGTCCCATGAGCGACATCTTTGATATCTGAGAGCCTAAAACTCTAGCCTGAAATGATGCTAATGCCGCCATTTTCTGATCATCCATCTATAAGGAGCCTGAAAGTTCACATATTTGCAATCACCATCACTTCCTTTTCCCTGCTCCAGTCACCTTTCACCCCCAACCCACCTTCTAGGAAGTAGATTTGGGATTTGCTCTCCTGTATCCTCCACTGGCTGCCTTGTGAATAACCTCTTTCTCTTTTGCCAAACTTGTCATTTCAGTAACTGTACAGTGGTCAGAGTAGGCCTGGCTCAGCAATAAAAGTAAGTGTGGGTTTAGGGGCCAGCAGGCTAGTTACAGTTTGCAACGCAGGGCTGGCTGGTGAGCAGAGATGGGCTGAGCAGCTCAGAGCCCATAACCTTCTCCAAAGCACCCTGAAAGTCATCTTCCAATTCCATGTCCTTGCCATGGGCTCTTTGGTTGTCAGGTACAGAAACATTTGAAACATTTCAACAAAATGCTCATTTGGTAGAAGCAGCCTGTAGATTCTGTGGGGCCGGGGTACTCTCAGGAAAGGGGTCTCTGGCAGCAAGTCTCTGCCCTTCTCTGGGCCCTCTTGGTGTCTGCCTCTGAGGCTCCACAACTTTTCCCTTCTCTCCCTCAGCAGAGCTTGGCACTGACTGGCTCTAGTTGGGACAACTGTGAAGACCAGAGTCTTCTCTTCAGCCAGGAAAAGACTGTGGCTAGGGAGGCATCTCCATGCACAGACTATCTGCTTGCCTCCATAAGCATCTCCTCCAGCCTGCACAGTCCCTGACTGCCCGCCCCTCAGGTTGACCCTACCCAGGGTATACTGCCTGATGTGCTTCCCTCTAAAAGTGTCTGTGTGTGCTCGCTTCAGAAGCACATATACAAAAGTTTTTATGTATCCTCAGAGCCTAAATCTCCCTGCATTCAAGTTCCAGGCCAAACCAGCCCTCTAACTAGACTTCCCAGGATCCTCCTAGAAGTCTAGTTACACCAAGGCCTTTGGCTCTGTGGTAAAACTCCCTGACTACACTAGGCATTTTCTGTGTGCATCCACCATGTAAAAGGAAAGACAAACTTTGCCCCACTACTTTCCCAGTCAACACAGAACTCTGCTATGACCAGATGTCCAAGAAATTTTCCAGTGGACTCCAACTAAGTGTCCCATAATTCAGCTTGATTTTGACACTATCTTCCTGGATTTAGAGCTAGATCTCAGGCCAAGGGTTCTTGATCCCCCAAAGTGATCCTGCTTCAGAAACCAACTGCAAACTGCAAGTTATCACCTGTCTTCTGACCAGTGTGCTACAAATCAAGACTTCCCGCTGCTTTTTCCTCCTCAGCTTCCATTAAAAACAGGCTCACACAACTCAGTAATGCTTATGTTTACCTGATGGAGATCACTATGAAGTAGCTCTGAGCAGGATTTAATATTAACCAACTGGCTTTTCATGTTTACATGTGAGTTTACTTAAGGTTTAGGCCCTTCTCTGGAGATGGGCAGCAGACTCATAGTAAGTGAACCTCTATGAGTCACTGGTCCCCACTGAGGTCTGTAGTGGTCTGTGAAGTTGGGAGCCTCAAAGGATAGGATAAGGTCACAGATGAGGATATTTGGCTCCAACCCCAATTAACTAAAAGGAGACTATAGCTGAAGGCATATTGCTCCTGTGGTGAAGGTGAAGGTGTTCTTGGAGTTAACATAGTCCTCCTAAATTAACATAAAGTATCACTTGGAGGAGTCCTTAAAGGGATTCCCAAGTCCTGCCCAGATTCCTGCATTTTCTTCCATTTCCCCCTCTTTTGTTTGAAAACCAAATAAATACAGGCTATCCAGGGAAGTTCTTGGTCTAAAACCCTAGAATCTCAAGTTCTTTTTTTTGTTGTTTTTGTTTTTGTTTTTTTCCTGGTACCGGGAATCAAACTCAGGACCTTGTGCTTGCCAGGCAGCACTTGTGCTACTGAGCTATATCCCCAGCTCCTTAGAGGCTCGTTGTGGATTATTAATAACCAAAACACTCTACCCACTCAGGAAGAGTTTTAGGAGCTCTGTGACATGAACCAAGCACTAGACTAAATACGTTTCATACCATAGCCCTCAGATGCTTGGGAGCAGAGCTCCTGCCATGGGCTCCCTTGGTGTCCTGAGACATCTAAAGAGATGCTGAACCCCTAGACGGCTTTGCTTGGTGGCCAGATGCAGATGTGCAGGGTGCAGACCCTAATGGTATCTGCTGTTCTGCTGAAGAGCAGATCTGTCTGAGGTCCTGCTGGCTGAGGCCGCGGCAGGCATGTGGGAGTGGATATGCCTGGAGACTGAGGACAAAGTCCTTGTAATAAATTACGTGGGCTTGAAGTGCTCAACCATTTCCTCCTGGGGCCCTTCCGCCTCTTATTCCGTGCCTTGCTCTATGACACACCGGAGCCCTGGCACTGCTCCTTTTCCAGCTCTTCTAGGGATCCCAGGGTGGAGAGAAAGGGAGTCAGCAGACACCCAACCTGACAAGGTAAGGGAGCCCCAGGGGGAGCTCCTCCAGCTGGGAAGAGCGGAGGAAGGGAGGAGGGGCTCATCTCCTGGTAGAAGGATCCCTGGACGGACTAGAGGCAGTTTAGGAGACACAGATCTGGAAACAGGGTGGGGTAGACCTATGGGATAGAGGACTAGAGATGCCCTTCAGGACCCTGAAACTGGAAACCTCAGCCTGGGAACTCAGTCCATCAGCTTCCTGCCGGGCCAACCCCGGAAGTAGAGGAGGAGGTGAAGCTGCCCTGGCCCTCCCTCGGTTTTGGGCAGCAGGTGTTGGCAAAGGGGAATGGTGTTGCTGGGTTACCCCCTGCCCCCCATCCACCTGAAGCCTCCTCACAAATGGAGGGCCTCACTGCAGAATCAAGCAGTGTCAGGGACAGCTCAGGGGCAGATGACAGGCCCCAGCTGTGCCACTCTTGCTGGCACACTGAATTCTTCCTGCACTCTGGTGGCACTGCCTCCACTTTAGGGACTCAGAGCCCAAGCACTGTGAAAGTTAAGGTTCCCACAGGAAGAAACGGAGCCCAGGCTTATCTGAACAGTCCATATGCCTTGGCCAACTGTATGCAGTCACTGCTGAAAGGCCTGGGCCCTAGTGTGAGGCAGGACAGGCCTTCCTGTCCTCAGAACCTCCTCAGCAAGAGTCACTGGGGGAATGAGTTGGCCGAGGAGAGAGGTGTGGCGTGTCGGCCCACCCCCACCACCTCCCTGGAGCTGTTGGCACAGTGTGTGTCTGCTCCCCTCTTTCCAGATGAGGAAGTTCGAGACAGAATTTGGGAGGGACTGGCAGCTGGCAGGAGTAGCACCCACCCGAAACCTGCTAAAATGGGCACATGAGTGTTCCATAACTAGGCCTTGTTGGGCTCTACTTTGTAACTGTGGACTTGAATTCATTCTAGACTATGAGATCTTTGAACTTTGTCTAAGATTTCACAATTTTTGTTTTTTGCAATATTGGGAAGGAAATCCAAGACCCCACACATTTTAGGCTAGTGCTATACCACTGAAGTACTCCCTAGTCCTCGGTCCAGGATTTTAGTTGAAAGGAAACTAACCCTCTGAGTGTGGCTCTGGAACACACTCCACAGCACAATTTTGTTAAGAATCTTTCTGCTCAGCAGCTCGTTGTTCAGGAAGACTTCCTGGGCCTGCTTCCTGGACATTTCTCTGGACCTCCTGGGCCCCTGCCGCCTGCCCCTCAGGTGACACCTCTCAGAGCACTATCTATGGGCATCTGTCTTGGGCCCACTGCACCCTTAGTTCTCAGTGTGGGGCTCTGCAGAGAGGTGGCACAGCAGAGAGGAATGTATCCCTGCTACCTCTGCCCCTACAGACCTCTTCATTGCACACAGCTTTACTCCCCATTCTCACACAGTTCATATAACAAGTTATTCAAGGAAAAGGAGCAGGAATGGTAGCATATTTTTCACAGAAGAGATTAAGCTGGGTAAGGTGACTTGCACAGAGTTACTTGACTCCGAGCTCCTGAGGGCCTGGGCTGGGTCTCTTCAGGATTTCCAGAGCTCTGCAGAGAACAGGCCCTCTGCACATGTATGCCAAGTGCATGAATGGAATAGTTAGAAGAGACCAAGCTGGGGCAAAGTCAAATTTTCAATCCAGTGTCATCTTAGATTCTTGTCACCTCCTTAGTTAATCAAGCAGTGGGTATTGTGCTCCTTCACCATAAGCTGGTGAGGTGGGATTGGGCAAAGGAGAAGTGGGCAGTGAACACTATGGACAGAGAACTCAGGACACTGACAGAGGAGGACATGATGTGGTAGAGGGTTGTGGGGACACCCAGTGAGCTCTGAAGGAAAGGACAGCTTGATGATGGTGGTGAAGCCCAAGGGATATTCTAGGCAAAGGAAGTGGCATCTGCAAAATGCAGAGGAAAGGAAGGACCAGTCCAGCTTGGACGCTGTTGGTACCTAGTGGAATCAAGTAGGAGAGTGGTGGAAGATGCTCTATTATTGTGTTGGTCTGTTTTCTATTGCTAATAACACAGCATCATAGACTGGGTGTGTTAAAAAGAAAAGAGGTTCATTATGGCCCATGGTTCTGGCCCAAGATTAAGGGGCTGCATGTGATGATAACTTCTTGCTGACAGGCATCACATGGCAAGAGATAAGATTCATATGTGTGTCCTCCAACCATTCTCTTTTTATAAGGCCACCAGGGTTCAATCAGGGGCTCTACCCTGATGACTTTATCTAATCCTAATTACCCCCAAAGGCTCCACCTGTAAACATCAGAGACAGATCAAGTTTCCACCTCAATACCTCACAGTGGGGTTACATTTCTACATGAGTTTCAGAGGGGACAAACCATATTCAGACTATACCAATTACTTTCCAAAACAGCAGTCACTAGCTACATATAGCTATTGAAGTGTGGCTAGTACAATGGAGGTGCTGGATTTTAACCAAAATTAAGTTTAAATTGACACACATAGCAAGTGGCTACCATCTCCCCCAGTGAAGCCCTACAGGGTCTTGCATGACTGCAGAGAGAGGTGAAGTAGAATAAGCAAGGACTTTGGAAGTAATCATGGATTCAGATCTTGATTCAGCCACCCACCCAGTGTAGGATGTCAAGCTTCAGTTTCCTCATTTGTCAAATGGGGCCCCATCATTTACTTTACAGGTTGCTGTGCACTTAAAATTAATGAACTACTACTGGGACATTTTTAACACAGTGCCTGTCTGAGCCTCTAACGTTTAGGGGCCTTGGAACACAGAGGTGGCAGTGTGGAAAGGAACACAGTGCAGCGAAAGAGATTGGCATGCACAAGTGTACGTACCTATCCATTTCCCCTTCATTCACAGAGCAAACAAGACAAAGGAAGCTCATAAGTATACCTATAAAGCAACATAATAAAAAATAAAATACAAGAAAAATTGAGATGAAAGGAAAATTAAGGCAAGAAAATACAGTGCAGCTAGGGAAAGGTCAGCAAACAGAATACACACCAGGAAATCCTGTACATTTTCTAGGCACAGACACTAAATTTATTCTAAAGCACAGCAAAGCGGTGAAATCAATGGTGTTCTCAAGTTAGGAAGAGTTTCCGAGGCAAAGACCAGCTCTCCAATGAAACGTCAGGAAGAGGATATCAAGGCAGGAAATGACATTGTCAGTAGCAGTGAATTCAGACTTCTCAAAGGGCTGTTTGTGGAAAATGCAGCATAGTCCCTCAAGGGCTATCTCTCTATGAATAGGACACGCCATGAGCCATCGCTACCATGAAAGAGGCTTTCTTAAAGACTGTCTCTATGAGGGAGGGGAGCTTCTCTAAGAGTCTTTGTAAAACGAGCGCAGTTTCTCATGGGCTATCTATAGAATGAAGCGGAGGTTTCTCGGATATCCTACAAATGAAGGAGGATTTCTCAGGGTTGTCTCTGTAATGAGGGAGGGCTGCTGGAGGGCTGTCTCTCCCAAGTTGTCTCCAGGGCAGTCTAACACCTTTCCTGCAAAGAAAAAGAAAGCTGTTTCCTGGAGAGGTGCAAGCCCCGCATTTCAATGCAGGGTGGTGAATATCAGGCCCAAGGGAGGGTCAGACAGGGTCTGCTGGGAGCAGAGAAGGGCAGACTTTAGCTCTGCCTGGTGGAACTGCATCAGGGAGGTTGCAAGGGAACAGCTGACCAGGTCCGAAAGAGTGGGCTGGAGATGAAGCTGAACAGGCCAGTGCTTTGCTTATATCCACAGGGAGTTTTGTGGGGGTTTTTGTTTTTGTTTTTTTTTGGTTTTTTTTCCTGTACCGGGAGTCAAACTCATGACCTTGCGCTTGCCAGGCAGGTGCTGTGCCACTGAGCTAAATCCCCAACCCTTCCACAGGGCGTTATAACACACCTGCATAACACACCTGCACCCACCTGTGAGTGTCAGGTATGCATTCACAGTAGAGTGGGATAAAGCCGGCCAGATCTGCTCATCCTGAGGTGTTTCAGGAGACAAAGAGGATCCTTGCAAAGTTCTCAGGCCCATATTGCCCCATGGAGGGGAGCAGAACTTGACCGGGGAAGAGAGCGTCCCAGCAATGCCCCTTTGCCATGTAACTGACATCGTCAGGAGGGCTGGCCAAGATCTGAGAGGGCTGGGTCTCTCTATCTTCACTGTCACCTGTTGTGGACTTTTTGGCAGTGGGTTAGCCAGGTCCCATGCCCATTACAGCAGGTAGAATGGAGATCTGTGATTCCACATTCTTATTCTGATCTTACTGGGAAGAATAAAAAGCAGCCTTCGGGGTGACTTGGCTCAGACCACCGACCTCCTAGGCTGCTGCTAACATGGTGCTCATGATTTTCCTCTCTCTGAAATTAATACAGCTGAAGTCTAATCTCTCTGAAATTAAAACAGCTATTCCAGCTTTCTTTTTAATAGTATTAGCATAATATATTTTAAACATCTTTATTTTTAATCTAAGTGTTTTCACATTATGAATCTCAAACTAGACAAAATGTTCAGGTCATAGCGATCATTTGGACGTGAGAAATAGGACGACTGATGTGTTTTCTTCAGCAGTTCCTGTCTTTCGTCCCTGAAGAATGCAGGGATGGCGCAGGTTTGGGGAGGAAAGAAAGGCTATGGTCACCTTGCATTTGACATGCCCACAGCACATATGTGAGATGTCTGGAGAAATGGGGTCTTGCCGGGTCTGGGGTTGGGTGGGGAACAAGGACTGGAGACGATTGCTTGGGGCTCAGCAGTGCTAGGATCCTGGAGTGGTCTGGGGAGGAGGACCCAAGAGAATGTGCAGGCTGAACGAGAACAGAGAGCTACCATCAGCGAGAATACTTTGGTTTCAGTGATGAAATCCAAACGACTTAGTTTAAACCATAAACAGATAAGGAACAGGGAAAGATTTCTTTTGATTTTTGGTTTAATAATTTTTAAATTAGTGCATGTTAGTTGCACTGTCTAGAAGGTTTCACTTTGTTTGTTCGTACATGCATATAACACACTTTGTTCACCACTCCCATTACCCTTCTCTCCCTCTCCTTGCCTCACCCCTTGTCCCTTGCCTCTTCTGTAATAGTCAGAGACAGGGTTTCTGCCTTTTGACCCCTTCCCTCCCCACCTGCCAATTTTATTCTCTCAACCCAGCTGCTTTCAAGAAGCTTGAAGCACAACCTCTGACATTTGTGAAATCATATTCCCAAACTTTGAGACTAGAGAGGAAAACCAACCCCCAGCTCCAACTCAGAACATCCCAGGGGCAGCCATGACTGGCTGTGTGTGGGCCACAGGGCTACTCTGGTGCCATGATTCATGGTCCCCATGGGAAACACAGTGTGGGCTAGTGGAGAAGAGCCCCAGATGGACTCAGGAGGAAGCCGCACCAGGAAGACAAAAGCCACTAGCATTTCCTTCACTCCCCAAGAGATTAAAGTGATGAAGTGGCTCTGGAAGGAGAGACACTTCCGAGGCAGAGGGAAAGCAGGAGAACTCTGGAGGACCAAGGAGGAGGACAGCACAGTGAGATACGGTGGCTCCTCTGGCTGTTTGGAGGTGGAACAAATACAGGGAAGATAGTAGCTGCAGGGCTTCCTGAGGCCAAGAAAATTCACCTTCTGTCGGAGGAGACCTGAACTTATCTCCATGCAGGCTGGAAAGGAGGGTCAGGAGAGAGACAGTGCGTGGAGACATAAGAGGAAGTGCTCCTTGTATTAGTCATCATTGCTGTATAAGGACTGAGATAACCAATCTACACAGAGATTTCTCTTGGAGCTCTGCTCTGGAGGTTCCAGGCTCTGATTGGGTGCACTCAGTGCTCTGAGGCCTTTGGTTGAGGTGCCAGAGGGCAATACTGGGGGGCAGGTGGCAGAGCAAATCCTTTCTCCTCATGGCCCCAGAGCAAGAGTGAAGGGAAAGGGGCTGGGGCCCCACAGTCCTCTTTGAGGACACTCCCCACCCTATGACCCGAAGACCCCCTAGACACTTGCTCTTAGAGGTTCTACCATCTCCAGGTGGCCCCTTCCTGGGGACCAAGACCCCACAGCTTGGGCCTTTGGGGGACATTTAGACCCAAACTGAAGCAACAAGTATTTATTACCTCACCCAGTTTCTGAAGATCATAAATCCAAGAGTGGTGTAGCTGGGTGGCTTGACCCAGAGGCCCTCATACAGTTTGTGATCATGTTCTGAGGCTGCTGGAATAAGACACCACAGGTGGGATGAGTTAAACAGCAGAACTGTGTTCTTACAGTTGTGGAGTCTGGAAGTTCAAGATCAAGGCTCTGGTATGGTGGGCCCTCACAAGACTCTGTCCTTGGGTTGCTGATGCGGAGTGAGGCCATTGTCCTCCTGCTGCCTCTTCACATGATCATCTCTCTGTATGTCGCTGTGTCATTTCCTGTTTTTATAAGCACACAAATCAGACTGGGCTAGGGCCCATGCTAATGACCGTGTTTCACTTAATCACCTCTTTAAAGGTATTTTCTTCAAATATATCCCATTTTAAGGATACTTGAGGTTAAAAGTTCAACATGTGAATTTCAAGAGGGCATGATTTGGCTTGTAATAATGTTGTAGACAGGATGTCAGTTGGAAACCCAGACTGTAGAGTGTCCCTTCCACAATCACATAGCTATGGACTAGAGACCTCATTTCTTTTCTACTTAGGGCTGCTTAAGTGTCCTCACAATATGGCGGTCAGAAAAGTCATAGAGAGACAGCAAGGAGGAAGCACAAGGCAAGGTCTTTGTGAACTTCTATCACTTTATGTGATAGAAGTGAATCACCAGGTCCACACTCATGGTGGAGAGAATTAGTTTCTATCTTGTGAAGGGAGGTGTGTGTGTGTTAGCTTTGCATCACTATAATGAAATAGTTGACACAGGCTTACTTATGGAATAAAGAGAAGTTTACTTTGGTTCATGGTTCTGCAGGTTCAGTCCCAAAATTGGGTGACCTCATCAACCTGGGCCTCTAGTGAGGGCAGCATATCATGGCAGGGTTGTACATCACAAAGAGTGACCACCTAGCCAGGAGCCAGAGAGGAAGAAAAGTTCCATAGTCCCATTCTAGGGCGCACCCCTAGTGACCTCAGGGCCTCTTGCTGGGCCCCACCTATTACACAAAAGTTTCACTAGGTTCCATCATAAAAGTTTCTCCCAATTCTGTCACACCAGAGAGCAATCCTTTTCATACAGACCTTTGGAGGACACTCAAATTATACCCAAACCACAGTAATTTGTCAAAGAATTTGTGGATATATTTTAAGCTAGCACAGTACTGCACAAAGCAAGGGAGGAGGCAGAAAGGGCAAGGGTAAAAGAACTGGTGTGGGGCTGAGAAGGAAGGCAGTCATGTAAATGGATAGGAGAAGGAGAGGGGGATAAGGCTGGAAGTGGGGACAGAGCTCTCTTTTTATGATAAAATAGGACAAGGTGCTGGGTAGAGTAGTTTGAGGGATCTTCAAAATAGGGTTTTTTGCCGAATGGGCTGGTCAAGGCCCAGGCAATGACCCCTGGGTGCTCCTGAAGGCTGTGAAGAGGTCAGCCCAGGAGATCAGCCTGGCTCCTGCATGGAGGGGAGCAGGACTCGGCCCTGGCCATGCTCAGCTCCAGGGTTGGGTCCTGCAAGGTGAGAGGGAAGTCCATCAAGGGGAAGTAATGATGCCACCAAGAGAGTGATGGGCGGGGGTGGGGTCCACATCCTGTGCACTTATTGTGTTTTATTTTAAATTCCATTATGAGTATTACATAGCCACTTTTCCCCAAAACAGATTTAACTCAGTTGCCAGGTGAGTGGGGCACAGAAGTGAAGCTGGGAGACAGGTTGATAGACCGGGGAAGGCAGAAGGGCTGAGGCCACGTGAGGTGAGAGGGCAGCTGCCCATGGGGGTGAGCTGGGCCTTGTGGTCCGCAGGGGTGGTGGGAAGATGCACTTCCGAAGCCCGGCAGCTCTGGGGTGCAGGAAGACCAGGGCAAGCCAGCGGGGAGAGGAAAGCACTGGAGTCTGGGCTCAGAGGGGTGGTCGTGTGAGGGGTGTGTGACGAGCCACGCTTGAGTCCAGCAGGACCAACACTGGGCACCTGGAGGTGGATACCGTGGGGGTGAGGAGGGCCGATGGGAACTGAGCTGGAGACCTCAGATTTCTACTTAAATTGGAGAAACCAGGAGCAGGAAAGGGCAATGGCAGCTGAAGCAAGGCCGTGTCTCTCTGTATCTTCTCCCACCCCACCTGCCCTGGGTTATATGAGGGGGAAGGAGAGACCAGCCTCCCCTCAAAAGAGCTGTGTGGGACCCTGCATTTCATCAGGGTCTTCTCTACATTTTGATATGGCCTCTTAAACCTTCCCAAGGCAGAGGTAGATTTTGGAGTTAGGGAGAAGATGCCTCTTGCTTACCAGCTGAGCAGCTTTGGCAAAGACCTGGCATTCCTCAGTCTTCATGTTCTCACCTGGAAGACCAGGATGATGACATTTGTCCTCAAGGCTACCACCATCCTTGTGCACCTCACTCATCCATCCAAACTCTCACAGCAACACCCTCTCAAGGGGCTTCACACACCTTTCCAGTGGATAAATATGGACTGAGTCCCTTCTGTGGCGAGCTGGTACTAGATGAGGCAATAGGGTGACAAATATCACAGTCCCAAGACCTGCCCCTGGCTGCCAGTTCTCAAGTCTGGGTAACAGTGGGGGCTTCTCCCAAATGGGACAGTTCAGGGCCTTACCCTCTTCATCCCGACTGGTGGTCACACCTGCCTGGGGGCCCCACAGCACCTGGTAGCCGCCAGGTGCCTGGAAAGGTTGGAAATGAAGAAGTCTGGGCTCAGTAAGGGAGGAGAGGCCGGATGCAGGCTCAGTGATGAGAGAACAGGTGCCCACAGGCTGAGCTGGCGCTGGGAGAGGCATGGCTGAAAGGGGCAGCTGCCCTTCCTCGGCAGGACCCCAGGTATAAAGTGGGGCAGCAACCATGCGGTGCGGTGTTATGAGGGTTAATGTATGTGACGTGTGTGGCTCTAGAGGCTGCTTAGCTGAGGACTTCCCAGGATGCATGCTGCTGACTGGTTCCCAGGGTGTCAGACTAGGTACCGCTGGGGCTTCTGGATGACAGGCACCTCCATCCCACTCCCTGTCAAGCCCAGGCCTGAGTTCAAAAAAGATGAGACCAGACCAAGAGGCTGAGGGGTTGCTTCTTGCACTTGGCTGGGGCTGTGACTCAGGCAGCTGCATATTCAGAGCCAGGCACCCAAAAATGCACCCATGAGCACGCACAGCCCCTGACCCCCAGGAGCTCCCCATCAGGGACTGCACTGCGCTGACATCCTGCTTTCTCTCTACTCACAGGTTGTGTGGAGCTGCTGACCAGGATGTTGGCATTCAGGCTGGTAAGAATCGCTTGTGTGCCTCTAAGAGTTTTTTGTAGATATTTACCCAAGGCTGTGAAAGTTACTCAAGTTCTCCCAGGGAAAGAAGAAAGGCAAAGATCCTAGAAAGAAAATACCAGAGGCAAGGGGGGTTGGGAAACAAGACAGACTGTATCATCTGGGGAAGCAAGGCAGCCTCTGGGCCTGGCAATCTCTCATTGTCCCCAGGGCTTATGCAGGGTTTTCTCCGGGTGTCTCAGGTTATTTGCAGAGTCCGCTCAGGAAAAACAGGTGACTGGATGACTACAGGACAAGATGGGACTTGACACTTTGGGCTCGGCATCCTGTTCCCTTTACTTGGCAAATGTCCCCATCCCAGTGGCAGAGATGCAGCTTCGTGTACAGGAATGGGAAGTTTTGCATTTACCATCCAGGGCTGGGGACGGGACTTCAGACTGCCGATCTGCGGGTGCCTGGCAGGGATGGAGAAGCTGGGAGGCTAGGGGAGACCAGAGAAGAGCCCCCTGCCAGCCTGGCCATCCCTCCCTCTCCTCCAGATTTTCACCCCTGCTCCCCCAATCCCAGGGCAGGGCTACCACATCCTCTTTGATAGAAAGTGTCTGCACTACCCTCCTCCTGACCGCAAGGCCATATGATAGCTCTCAACCCTGTTGCTGGATCCACACTGCTGAAAGGGGACCCCCATGACCAAGCAGGAGTCCAGGGGCTCCCAGAACTGATCCCTGGCACCTCTAACCAACAGAGTGGGTAGCAAGGGTTTGTTGTTATCACTACTTTTCAGCTGGGGAATAGAAATAAGGCTAGAGAAAAGCTCACTGTGATCTGGAAATTCAAATTGTCAGAGCTTTTGGTAACTATTACCTCACGCATGTAAGAACTTAGCACCACTTTGGAACACAATTTGGTTTTTTAAAGAAGTTTTTAAACTGGGCATGGTGGCACACACCTGTAAATCCCAGCACTCAGGAGGCTGAAGCAGGAGGATTTCCACGAGTTTGAGGACAACCCAGGCTACATAGTGAGTTCAAGACCAGCCTGGACTACACAGCAAGACCCTGGCTCAACAACAAAAAGAAAGTTTTTAAACTGACATAAAACAAAAACTATATATTTATGAAGTACCATGTGATATTTTGATCCATGTAAACATTGTGTAATTTTCAAATCAGGGTAAACATTATCTATCTCCTCAAACACATCATACAGCTTTAAGGCAAAACCAGATTCACCACAAAAAAGAATCTGTCCGTGGTCATCATTAGCTCAAATGTCCCCCTGAGAACATGACTAACTTCATATTCCCAGAGTTTAGAAAAACACCAGGCTGTGTTACCTATAGTGTAGCAGTGATCCAGTTCTATCTTCTAAGAGCTCAAGTTCTTTGAAAAGAGGGTGATGTCTTACTTACTTTTTTTCTTACCTGGACAGAATACCCAACATCCAAAGTTAAAGGAGGAGAGGTTTATTTTCGCTCAAAGTGTATAGAGGTTTCAGTCCATAATCAGCTGGCTCCAAGGCAGGGTGGCATAGCAGAGGGGCATCACAGAGGAGAGACAGTCCATGGCAGGGCAGACAGGACAAAGCAAGCAGCAAAGAATCAAACTTGGCTTGTTCATTCTCCTTTTTATTCCACCCCAGCTACCAGCCTATTGATTGGTACCACCCATACCCAGAGAGGGGCTTCCATTAGCCACACCCAGAACTATACTAAACTAATTCAGTTATACATCCTTAATCCATAGTGATACACTCCAGATCCAGCCACCTCAAAAAAGCTCCACCTATGAACACATGAGGCTTTCGGGGGACATCTAGATACAAGCAGTCATCTTATTCATCAAAGAATCCTGCAAAGGGCCCAAGTAGTTGAATAAAGGGAAGAACTTCAATGTGCTTACTACTGATAAATCACTTACCCACACCTGCACTCTTCTGGACACTGCTGTGTCCTTTCGCAGCAACCAAGAGGGAGGAACGAGTGGACTGGGCCTGGGTCGGGGTGCTGCTTCCTGAGAAACATGGGAGCCAAGAACAGGGGTGGAGTAAGTCATCAAAAGAACTTTTGGTGATTCACAGAAGGTGGATGGATCTTGCTTGCCTATGTGTGCCATCAGCCATTTGGGCTGATTTGGGCTCTGGTGAGTTCCATTAGATATGTACACACACACACACACACACACACACACACACACACAGCAATTTAAGGATGAATGTGCAGGTAGACATTTGTCTCCCCATGACTGTAGCTTTCATCTCCCACCTCACATGTCGTGAAAGAGCTGAGCCCGGTGCTGTGCCAGGCCAAGTTTCTGGGTAGCACCCAGTTTATAACCACTTTAATGACACCCCACCTTCCTTGCAAATGAGCACTGATTGCCAACCTGCATTCATGCAAAGGGCCTGGGGGCCCTTCCTGAGTGAGGATGGGTGGAGATATTTTGATTTTCAAAGTGTGTCTTTCTTAGATTGGCACAGTCCCTAATTAATGAAGCCACAAAATTTCATTCATGGAATGTAATGGTGAATCAGTCAATCATTCCTTTACCTTTCAGGCAATGCATTCCTTCTCAGACGAAAAAGTGATCTAATGACTGAATACGGGGGCTGTGGCGCCCTCCATCTGTCCCTGTGCAGAGGGAGGGTCCCTGTTCCAATCAACTGACCTGAGTTGGGGCACTGATGCTGGAGCGCTTGCGTCCTGCCGGCACCTCCAGCCCACCTCCCCTTAGGGGAGGAGAGGAATGGGGCAAGTGGGCACACACAGCAACAGGCACAGTGCATGCTCCCTGTGTCAGCGTGTGCACCAGAGAGCCATTCATCCTGGGAGACACTGTGTGACAGCATCTGAGGACCAGGTCTCCCGGGAGTGGGCAGCCCACAGCTTTGCAGTAATTTGTCTTGGGCTGGCCCCGTCCCCTGCTCTGCAGGCAGAGCTCTGCCCAAGCAGGAGGAGCAGCGGCGGCTGGCTGGTTCTTCACTAAGAGCAGTACAGGGTTTGGAGGTCTCTCCTTTCTGTAGCTCATTTTCTTCTCTCAAATCTTAACCTACACTTTTACTTTCTTCGCAGCTGGCCGCTTCTGCTTTTTCTCTTCTCACCCATTCTTATCATGATTCAGCTGTTTCTGAATGATTCTTTTTTTTCGACCAAGAGTTCATGAAGAATCTATTTTCTGCCACTTGGCTTCTCAATTATTTCTTGGTAGCACTTTGCCCACACTCTGGTTTTTGTTCTTCCAGCTCCCTTGGGGCTGATACTGCCTTGCTGTCTGGATTGGAAATGGTCTCTTTTTCATCCTGGCTAAGGTCAATTTTGCTGTCAGATGATTATCATCTGTCTTCAGCTTTTCATTTTCCTGCTTTAATGCCTGGCCACCTGTTTCCACTGTCCTGGGCAATCATTCCCTGAAATTTCAGCCTTGAGGGTCTGACGAGATTTAATCAATTCATTCATCTACTGTGTGATTCATGCTGTCTACTGTTCCTTTTAATTTAGCTTTTGTTTTTTTCCATTGTTGTGGCTAAATCCCAAGATTTGCACATGTCCCATGGCTAACATACATCCTCACCCCTTAATTTATTTTTTATTTTTGTAAAGTTATGTAAACACACAGTTTAATGAGTTAATTCCTTCTTCCTCTTCCCTAGGAGTGACCACTGTCAACACTTTCAGTTGACCCCTTTGAATTTCCCCTTTACATCTTGCAGGAGCTTACAGTGCACTTGATATTTTGGTTTCAGGCATTATTGGTTACTGATTCCCTCTCTATCTGAAAGGACTTAGCTCCACAGTTGGAATCTCTAGCCCGGGCGTTCATATGATTACTATCTGCCTCTCCTCCCCAAAGTGTGAAATCCTAGTTTTAATCAGATTCACATGCAGAGTTCAACCTAGTCTTATCAAAATGAGTGCTACACTCAACTAAGCCAGGCAGAGTACATTAAGCACAGTATGTGTCACTTAATGAGGGGATAACTGGTGAGAAATAGGTTGCTAAGCAATTTTGTGCACACATCATAGAGTGTACTTCTATAAACCAAGACAGCTACAATGTCCCTAGGTTGTATAATCTTATGTGTCTCTCCTTGTGTACCTGGCTATTACTGACTGATGTACCCCACCGGGCGGGAAACAAACTTCATGGGCTTTCTCTGGAATCTGCAGTCAGGGTCAGCTTTTCCGCTTCTTCCTGCATCTTCCAGCAATCTTCCTGCCTGTTCTGTGGTTTCACCCTCTCCTGGCTTTTTGGAAGACATGGTTTTTGTTTTCCTTTTCTCTGCTTGCAAGCAACCTCAAGAGGATGCAAGAGAAAAGTCTGGCTCTTATTGCCATGTTCAACTCTGACAAGCACTCTGCTCTAAACCACTCTGTTACGTTGCCTTTGTAAATAGTGGCTGAGTCTGGGGTGGCGTGGAGGGGGTAGGGATTTTCCTTTGTGAAATGGGGGATGGGAAAGCCTGCCCTTCTGTCTTGCAGAGCATATTGTCCCAGACAGGACAGACATGGCAACGGGTTGCACAGGCAGTGTTTGGTACCTGGCAGTGAGCAGTGCAGGTGACACACACAGTCAGAGGGGAGAGGGAAAGGCAGAGCGCTGCCGGGAGCTCTGAGTTGAAGGCAGCAGACAGCTGCAGGTAAGTCTCTTACAGGAATCAGACCATTGTCTCCCCTCTGCCCTCCAGGGTGACCATGTGTGGCTGGACCCTCCCTCCACCAATAAGACCAGTGTGGCCATCGGAGGTATCATCAAAGAAACAAAGCCAGGCAAGGTCTTGGTTGAGGATGACGAGGGCAAGGTCAGTGTTGCGGGACTCTCCTCTTGGCCCCTTCTGCTCCGCCCCAACCCCAGGGGTTGCCAAGCCTGAGGGCAGAGGTGTCTGTGAGGCAGGGACGACTGCAGTGGGGTCCAGCTCTGGTGCACATTGTGTGTTTGTCTTGGGGATGTTTCCAGATTGCATTTCAGGGAGACTAGGAGACCAAGGGGAGTGAGAGGCAGGGAGGTGGGGAAGGCTGTGGAGGGGAAGGCAAAGGCAGATGTCAGAAGGAAGGGGATTGGAGAGAAAGGCCTGTTAGAATGCGTGGCAAGGGGAGAGGCAAAACACACAATGAGAGTGGGCTGCTCACCCTCCCAGGGAGACCAGACAGCCCCAAGGAGGGGGAGGCAAGGGCTGCAGGGGAGCATCTACCTGCCCTCCCTGCCCAGCCCAGGGCTGCAAGATGAAGCGCTTGCCGACATGGCCTTCAAGGAAAAGGCTCTAGACTGTGGCTAGAAATGCCAGATTAGAGAAGCCAGAAAAATAGTAAGATCTTCTACTTACATAACACTGTACAGTTTTTCAAAAACCAGTTTTGCTTGCATGCTTTTATCCTAACAAGTGGTGAGGCCCCTGCCAAAACCTGACCATTGAATCTAACTTCCAGCTACTATGTAGCTCTTCCACTCAGTCTGAGGTTCAACCTTGGCCTCAACTGCACATGGACCCCAGGCCCTAGACAAATGCTGACAAAGCCGGAGATGGACCTGGTTTTGCCACAGGTGCCCCTGGATCTAAACCACAGACTGACTCTGGTGAGACACCGCCACCAGGCCCAAGTCAGCCGATCTGTACGCTGCAAAGGACCTGGAGGACACAGGTGCAAGGAGTCCATCGGGTGGCTGCCCCTGAGGGGAGTCTGTGCCTGTCATTCCAGGAGCACTGGATCCAAGCCGAGGACCTCGGGGCCCTCAGTCCCATGCATCCCAACTCAGCTCAGGGTGTAGATGACATGATCCGCTTGGGAGACTTGCACGAGGCGGGTATTGTGCACAACCTCCTGATCCGCTACCAGCAGCACAAGATCTATGTGAGTTCTCCTACCTTGTGTCCACAGAGAGCCCCCATAGGTGCACCAGATGGTCTGGAGCCAGGCACTGCTCCGTGGTTCTCACTGTGGAAGGGAAGCCCAACCCCAACCTTTCCCAACCTCTGGTGCCAATCTGAAAGGAGTGGGGGAAGTCACACTCTTGAGGAGGGGAAGGTGAAGCCTGGTGAAGCATGCTGCCTGGCACACAGTAGGGCTCCATGGCACACAGTAGCTGTTGCCCCCTTTCCTCTGTCTGTGGCTGAACCAAAGGTTTGCCTAGGTCACTCCAAAGAGCACCCCTGCCCACCTGAGATGAGGCCTGTGAAGCTGGAATTCCAGGGCCCCACCCACCACTTGTGGAGGACCGCGTGGGTAGATGGGGACCCTTCTCCCAAGCCTGGCAGTACATTCAGGTCCACTCCACCCCAAGGCACTCAAACCAGAATCCCAGGAGAGACGGTGTTCCAAAACTGACCCAGCTCCCAGAGCACTTAGGGCTCTACCCAAGTGAATGTGCCCAGGGGAGGTGGTTGCCTGCCTGGGCCTCCTGTACATGTGGGGGGGTGGCTAGTGAGGTTCTGACCGGCCCTTCTGGACTGCACAGAGGAGTCCAGGAGTGAGCTGGAGACCTTGAACAGAAGGGAACCAGAGGGGAGAAGAAGCACTCCCTAGGGGGACAGGGCAACTTGCTCTGCTCTGGCTGAATGTGGGTGAGACCACCTGGAACTGATGATCACAGCATTAAGCTAAACTGAATTGTAGCTCGCCCTTTCCAAAGTGCCTGCATGCATCCTTTTTCTGGTTCTCATGGCCTTGAAGGCAGAGGATGGATAATACAGCTGGGCCCCATGGGGGTTCTGAAGAGCAGGTTGTTCTGGGCTGGACTCCCAGGAGAGGGGCTTGGTCCTGGGGCCCGGAGCACAAAGGATGTCTTTGGATAATGAGGGCTGTTGTCCAGCCCTCAGGAAGGCTCTTGCTCGAGACCACTAAAACTCATTTCCTGCATGACCAAGCCCCTTGTAAGTACCGGGCAGAGTGCTAAGCATTTAATCTTATTGGGAACATGCCCCTGGAAGCTCACATTCCTGGTGGCCACTCCATCTTCCCTGAAGAAGGCTCTGAGAGTTGAGGGTCTTCTTGCCACCTCCCAACATAGGGCCAGATCCCACTTTCTCACCAGAGTTGTGGGTCCTGGGAGCTCTCCAGGGCTTGCCCCCAAGGCTTGGCTAGGGGGGCATTCTTTCCTGAGCAGGGACCACTAACCACCTCCTCCTTCCCCAGACATACACAGGATCCATCCTGGTGGCAGTGAACCCATTCCAGCTGCTGCCACTGTACACCCTGGAGCAGGTGCAGCTGTATTACGGCCGCCATTTTGGGGAGCTGCCCCCGCACGTCTTTGCCACTGCCAACAGCTGCTACTTCAACCTGAGGAAGAACAAGAGGGACCAGTGCTGTGTCATCAGGTGGGGCTCAGATCCCCTCCTTCCTGGAGGCAGATGCTGCCTCTGAGCACCCTGTAATGGAGCGAGTGTCCCCTCTCCCCAAACCTCTCATGGCCAACAGTGACTATAAGACTGATGGGTTTAGGGGCTCATTGGATTCAGCGAACAGCACCGTTCTCAAGGGCACCCAGCTCACCTGCAGCTGCCCCTTTCCCCTGCCCTCCTAAGGCTATGTCCTTCTAAAGCTCCAAAGTCTCCTTCCTGCAGAGCCCAGGCATTCATAGCCTCACTGGGGCCTGGATTGCCCCAGATGTTGGGGAAGGAGAGCACAGGACAGCTCTTTTAGAGATGGGCCCTCCATGGGTACTTGAGGACACAGGGATCAAATAGGTGAGGCTCTCCTGCCTAACCTCAGGGCAGGCCCAGGTGAGGACAGGTGGCAGCAGCTCCAGGGTCAGCTATCAGTTACTGGAGCCCAGGAAGTGTTCCACTTCAGGTCTGCCTGTTGGCCTGACCTGATCTGAGACCACAGCCCCTCTAGCTGCCAAGGGAAGGGAGTTCTAGAAGGGAGGGGAGATGCATGGGAAACTGGCTCCAGAGCAGCTGGCTTGGTGCTGAGTAGTCAATCAGTCATGGGTTCATTTTTCTTCACTCATCCACCCAAGATGTAACAGAGCCCCCATAGTGCCCCTCACTGTCCTAACAAGTATAACAGCAGCAAACAAAAGGAACTAAAAGCTCTGTCTCACGGTGCTCCCATTCTAGAAGGGAAACAGGCCGGTAATAAATAAATATATTTTCAAGCAGATACTAAGAGCTTTGAAAAAACATGGCAGGAGGAGAGGAGACAGAATAGCTGCTTTGAGTGGAGAGGAGACCTGGCATGGCCTCCCTGAGCAGAGACATTGTTTTGAACAACAACCAGAACACTGTCCTCTAGCATAGGTGACCACCTAATGTCCTCCCCCACCCAGTGAAGCAGATATTCTTATTCCCATGGGGTCCTACAACAAGAGAGGTGGGGATGCTTTCCTAGGGGCACACAGCACTGAAGCGGGGGATTCAAATTCAGGGCTCTGGAGACCAAGATAGAAAGATGCTCTGGAACAGAGCTGCCCCAATTTGGCCCCCAAGACAGGGATAGCTGTCTTTGCCTAAGAGACCGCCTAAGCCAAGCTGGAGCACAGGCTGGCCAGCCAGGAAGCTCCCAGGGCCAGCTCTCACCAGAGGGCAGCATTGCTCAAGGAGATTGTGTCCCAGAGGGAGAGCTGTAGCACATGGTGCACCGCAGGAAATGGGTCATGGATTAGAGTCACACTGGGCTCAAAGGATCAATTGAGCTGAAAGTTTGAGACCTGCCCAGACAACATAGCCCGAGCCTACCTCAAAACCAAAAGAAAAATAATTTTAAACATGAGTTTTGGAGGGAATTTTCAAATAATAGTACTGAAACCACACATGGGGGTCCTTTGATCCAGTCATAATAGAAATCGGGTCAGGCATGGTGGCGCACGCCTGTAATCGCAGTACCCGGGAGGCTGAGGCAGGAGGATCATTGCAAGTTTGAGGCCAGCCTGGGCTACAAAGTGAGCTCAAGGCCAGCCTGAACTGCACAGCAAGACCCTGTCTCAAAAAGACCAAAAAAAAAAGAAAAAGAAATCAGAAGCAGGCCAAGAAGGATGAGAACACAGGCAAAGTTAAAATTGAAAAAGAAGAGAAAATGGGGAAGGGACTTCAGTTTGGGGAGAAGAGCTAAAGGGGCACAGCGGTGATGGAAAAAATCGGGAAGGAGAGGGGTCAGCTTTTGAGGGGTTGCTAGGGTGGGCTAGGGTCTGGTTGATCTTCTAAAAAATTTTTATTAGTACATATAGTGCCCACATTCATCATAGGGAATTTGTACCTGTACACATCTTAATTCTTCTTTTTTCTAATTCCCCATTTCAACCTTCCTTCCCCTCCTCACTTACAGAAGCTTTGTTTCCATTCTTTTTTTTTCTTCCATCTTTGTTTTTAAATCCTTTTCCTTTCCTTCTCTTTCCCCTCTCCCCTCCTTTCCCCTTCCCATTTGAACATGTCCTTACTACTTCCCAGTATCTGTCCTCCATTTTGCTCCTTCTTTACCCTTAGGGCTTCTCCCACGAGAGAAATAATGCAACATTTAAACTTATGTGTCTGACTTATTTCATTTAAAATTATGGTCATGAGGTGCATCCATTTACCCATGAACAACTTCAGTTTATATTTATGGCAGAGTAATACTCCATTGTATATAAATATCACATTTTCTCGATCCATTCATCTGTTGATGGGCATATGGGCTGGTCCCAAGATTTAGCTATTATAAATTGCTATAAACATGGGTATGTGTGTATCGCTATGGTGTAATGCTTTCAAGTCTTTCAGGAATATACCAAGAAGGAGAATAGTTGGGTCAAATGGGACCTCTAGTTTTAGCTTTTGAGGAATCCACACTGATTTCCACAGTGGCTGCACCAATCTACACTTTTTGTTTGTTTGTTTGTTTTTGTTTTTCTCTGGTACCAGGAACCGAACTCACGACCTTGCGCTTGCCAGGCAGGCGCTTTTGCCGCTGAGCTAAGTCCCCAGCCCCACCAATCTACACTTGCACCAACAGTGAAGAAAGGTTGCTTTTGCCCCAAAACCTCACCAGCATTTGTTATTGGTTGATTTCTTGGTGATAATCATTCTGGAGTGAAATGGAATCTGTGATGTTTTAATTTGCACTTCTTGAGTGACCAGCGATGTTGAACATTTTTTGATATAGTTATTGCTGTTTGTACTTCTTCATCTGAGAAGTGTCTATTCATTTCAGATGCTCATTTTTGGACTGAGTCTTTTAATTTGGGGGACCTAATTTTTTTAGTTCTTTATATAGTCTAGATATTAGCCCCTTTTCTGTGGAGTAGCTGGTAAATTTTTTCCCCCATTCTATGGGTTGTCTCTTCATTCTGTTGGTGGTTTCTTTTGCTGTGCAAAAGCTTTTTAATTTGATAAGATCTCAGTTGTTGATTCCTTATATTTTCTGTGTGATCAGGGTTTTGTTCATAAAGTCTTTGTCTATACTTACGTCTTTGAGAGGTTTACCTATTCTATCTTCCAGTGACTTAAGTGCTTGTGTTTTTATATTTAGATCTTTGATACATTTCAATTTTAGTTTAGTGTGTGGTGAGAGACATGGGTCTAGGGTAAATCTTTGACATGTGGAAAGCCAGTTTTTCCAGCAACACTTATGAAGGGGACTATCTTTCTTCCAGTGAAAATGTTTGGCACTTTTGTCAAAAATAAGGTAGCTGAGTTTGCTTGGAGTTGTTTCTGCATCTTTTCTTCTCTTTTGTTGATAATTAAGTCTGTGTTTTGTTTTTCCAGTACCATGCTCTTTTTGTCATGGTAGCTTTGTAGTATAACTTCAGATCAGGAGTTGTGATGCTATTCTGAGTCTCTTCTGGTTCCATATAAATTTTAGGGTTGTTTTCTCTAGTTCTGTGAGCTATCCTACTGGTATTTTGATTTGGGTTGCATTCAATCTGTAAAACAGTTTTGGAAGTATGGTCATTTTCACTATATTGGTTCTGCCTATCAAAAACAGTGAACATCTTTCCATTTTCTGGTACCCTTTTGATCTTGTTTCTCAGAGTACTGTAGTTCTCAATATAAAGGTCTTTCACTTCCTTCATTAGATTGATTCCTAAGTATTTCATTTTTCTTGATGCTGTTGTGAAAGATGTTGTTTTCCTAATTTCTCTCTCAGTGAGTTCTGTATCCAGCTATGGTGCTGAATTTGGTTATTAATACTCTTATTAGAGTATAGGTTCTTAAAATAGATACTAATAATCTGGATTTCTGCAGGATCTGTTGTGATTTCACCCTTTTCATCCTAATTGCATGGATTTGGGTCTTGCCTTCTTTTTTTTCTTCTTTCCTTCTTTTGAAGATTGACTATTTGCATATTTTATTTATTCATTGATTCTTTGTATTGTTTTCTTAGTCTCAATTACATTAACTTTTACTGTGATATTTATAACTTCCTCATACAGTTTGGGTTTAACTTGCTCTTCTTTTTCTAGAGCCTTGAGGTTCAACATTATATTATTTATTTGAGCTCACTCTGTTTTTCTGATGTGTGAATTCACTATTATAAGTTTCCCTCATAGAACTGCTTTTATTGTGTCCCATAATTTCCAGTCTGTTGTATTGGCATTATTGTTTAATTGTAGAAACTGTCTAATTTCTTCTTTAATTTTATCTGTAATCCATTGTTTGTTCAGGAGAGTATTACTTAATTCCACATGTTTATAAAGTTTTTATGCTTTTTTTGCCATTTATTTTTAAGTTCACTGCACTATAGTCTGATAATATGCATTGGATAATTTTAATTCTTTTGCATTTACTTAAGCATGTTCTATGCATTAGTTTATGGTCTATTTTGAAAAAAGTTCCATGTGCTGCTGAGAAGGCTGTGGATTCTGTCGTTTGGTAGCACACTGTGGATATCTACTAAGTCCATTTGTTCAAAGGTTTGGTTCAGCTCTGGTATTTCTTCATTAATTTTTTTGTCTAGTTGATCTGTCTATTTGTGACAGTGGAGTATCAGTGTCCCCCATTACAACTGTATTAGTGCTTATCTGATTTTTTTATATCCATTAATGTTTGTTTTATATAGTTGGGTGCACTGGTATTTGGTGCATATATATTTCTGATTGTTTCATCTTCCTCTTGGATTGTTCCCTTCGAGTATGTGGTGACCTTTTTTGTCTCTTCTGAGTAGTCTTGTCTTGAAATGCACTTTGTCTAGAAACAGAGTAGCTACCCCTGCTTTTCTCTGGGTTCCTGTTGCATGAACTACTGCTTTCCATGATTTGACTTTCAGTCTATGAGTTTCTTTTTGAGTTAATGTGTTTCTGTATGCAGCATACTGTTGGATCTTGTTTTTTGATCCATTCTGCCAATGTTTCTTTTACTGGGGAATTGAGAACATTCACATTGAAGGTTATAACTGATAGATATTGACTTACCTTTGTCAAAATATTATTTTCCTGTTGCTAATTCCCTATCTTTCCCATCTATTTAATTGCTTACTTTGCCTGGTGGATTCATTCTATTGGGATTCTTGGAATTGTTGTCTTCATTGTGTTTTTTAGATACCCTTCAGAACTTTTTAGAGTGTGGTTATGGTCACGAGTTTCTTCAGGTGTTCTTATCATGGAAGTATCCAATTCTCCACCCATTTTGAAAGACAATTTTGTGTGGTACATCAATCTGGGTTAGAGGTTATTTTTCTTTAGGGCTTGAAATACTTCACTCCAATTTCTCTTTGACTTGAGGGTTTGTGTTGAGAAGTCTGCTGTGATTCTGATGAGTTTTCCTTTACAGGTGATTTGTTTCTTTTGTCTAACAACTATTAATATTCTATTCTTATGTTGAATTTCTGGAATCTTGACAATTATATGTCTTGGTGTAGTTTTTAAATCATGGATAATTAGAGTTCTATATCTATTATTTATCTATGTATCAAATTCCTTTTCCATGCTTAAGAAGTTTTCTGCTATTACTTCTGTGAACAGGTTTTTTAACGTCCTTTGTGCTATCTTCTGGTTTTTCATTGATTCCAGTTAATCTTGTGTTATTCTTCTTTGCATCATCTAGCACCCAGTGGGTTGATTTTTCATAGTCTATTGCTATTTATAAGAAGTCTTTCATTTGATGATCACCAACTCCAACCCTGTCTTCTAGAACTGATATTTTATTTTTACAATGGTTGATTCTGCTGTGTATCCTTTCAATAGAATTTTTAATCTCCTGGCTTCCTGTTTGAATCTGTTTTATAGAATTCACTTCTTTCCTTTGTTGAGTATTTGAGTTTTTAGCACTTTCCTAAGTTGTCCTTTTTTAAAAATCTGTATCTAGATTTACTAACCATATCCTTCATTATAGTCATCACCTCTTTAGTTATCTGTATAATTATTTCTGTTTTTTTTTTTCCTAGAGAGTCAGTCTGAGGTTGGGTCTTTCTTCCAGGTTTTCTCATTTTATTTTTTCTTTTCTTGTTGTTTGGTTTCTGCACTGATGCTTGTAATTTGCTTATGGTAGCTACCTTTATTACTAGTATCAAGACCTCTTTAGGAAATTATTACTTTTCAGAGATGTCTTCTAGACATTGCTGGCTCTTGGCCTTTGTGTCTGTCCCTGAATCCTGCTTCTTCTATTTATTAGGGAAGAGAGGTTGCAGCCTGTTTGGTCTAACCCAGTTCTTTGGTACTGTATTGTAGTATTGTTTATGTCCCGCCAGACAAACTAGGTATTGGCATACAAGGAAGATCAATTGATCACAGCAACTATATCACCTTGGCTAAAGTAGTACAATCAGCAATAACAATGACATCAAACACAGACTAAAAAATGACAAACTGTGATAACTAATAACCTGCCATTTTTAACCATGTGTGTAAGATTTTATGGTTATAAGTCAGAAAATTATATACAATAAATATCCACTCAATAGAACAATTTTACCCTAAGGGGATAAAAGTAAAAGGGAGAAGAGGAAAAAATAGAAAAAGAAAAGAAGAAAAAGGGATTAGAAGCAAGACTGAAGGACAGAGGAAGATTACCCAAGCTTTCAGAAACCGGTGAAGAAGACAGAAGAGAAGGAAAGAATGAAAAAAGAAAAACAGGGTCAAAATAGAACAAAAACACTACAGTGTTCACCCTTACAAAGAAACAAAAGCAAACAATCTGAGAAAAAAAACCCCAAATGAACAAAAACAAATAACAGCAGCAAAAACCCAAAAGCAGAGGAAAAGGAGAAGGGGAAAGGGAAGGGGAAGGAGAAGAAGAAGGAGAAGGAGAAGAAGAAGAAGGAGAAATGTCTCTGTGATTTCAAGCCTGTGGTCATCTTCTGGGGTCTATAGTTCTGTGGCAGTGTCCAGTTCAAGGTGTGACTCTGCTCTGGCTGGTAGACAAAGAAGGCAATCGAAGCCCCGATTCATGCTGGATAATAACTAGCAATCTGGCAGTAGGATTAGGGCATGGTATTGGTTCTGGGACCTTCAAATCCACAGAAGTTCAGGCTCAAATTCAAGCCTAATTGTGGGGTTGGGGCCTGAGTCATCTAATTTATAACCCTCTGGTGTCACTTGCCCATAGCTTCCTGATCATGGATATGTCCTGTGATTGTCCTTCACCCAGCCACTGTGATAGCTTAACACTGGGAGCCCTGAAATGAAGCTGACTGAGGCTGCTCTGAGTCCTGGGCTTAGCTGGCCCTTCCCTAAAAGGGCATCTGACTGAGCACTCTCCAGGGGGTGGGACTGGAGTCACTCACCAGCTGCTGTAGTGCACAGCATCCACTTCTTTGTTCCACGGATGTGTTTCTCCCTGAAGGCCCCTGCAGTTGCTTGCTTTCACTATATCTCTGTAGGTTCAATCTTCCTTTCTCATGCCTCCAGCCAGGAGCCAGGGAGAGAGTGCATATTGCCCCTTCCTTTTTCTGCATTGTGGTCTGTTTCTTCAATGTCTCTGTTGGTACCAATTTTCTTTTCAAGTCCTTCCTAGGTCCCAGGGGCCCACCTCTCTCCTTTCCTTCTTGAAGTTGTTATTTTCCAGTGTCTGCATTCCAAATCTTGGAGTGGCTGATTTGTTGCTGCTTATAGCTCTGTCATCTTCCCAAAAGTTTCTGGTTGATCTGTATCTCAGTTCTGATTCTGTGAGGTGGCTTTGGAGAAGTCCTTATCTCTTGAAGGGCAATGGGGTTTTCATGAGATGACAGCACTGCTTATGTGGGCAGCCTCTGTTTCTGCCATGGGGGAGCTGCTCCCTTTTCAGGGGGACAGTCTCACCCTGGGGAGATCTATCTGCAAGGATGGGCTTTTCCTTGAATCCAGGGAGACTTCGGCTTTAGGACAGTAACTGGAGACTTCTAAGCCTCACTTAGTCCTGGAATAGGACTTTGTAAAAGCTGGCAGTTGAATGTCCCTGCAAATCTTGAGATTGCTTCAGTTATTTGTGATGCCTTCAGTCATGAAGTTGATTTGAAAGGTTAGGTAAATTTAAAGCTAATAAACCTTGTAATGCCAGTTTTTATATAGACACTCCTTAAATGATTAACATGCCCGGGACAGAACTGAAAAGGGATCTGACCCAAAGTTGAATATAATGAAAGAGAGAGATTCAAAATGAAGGTTCCAAACTTTATCTCGCGGTTAGTGACCCATAGGAGATCTTCAGGCCCAACTGAAGAGTTTACGCGTTTTAACAAAAGTAAGCACCGGGTTTCCCCAGGGCTGTGAGCAGGGCCTTTTAAACTTTCTTCCCTCTGTGGTCTGTCTGCATTGGTGGGTTATTTGATGAGCCTGTTTGTAAAATCACCTGCACCCAGCAAATGCCCATGGGAGCCTGCCACTACCAGCACAGGTTTGTTGGTCTAACTCTGCTTTGTTGCCATAGCAGTTGTGGACCTTTCTGTCATGACTTTTTCAAAATGTTACATTTTTAGAAGAAACAATGTTTTTCTGGGATTTGTATCAAAATGGTACAAGAGGAAAAACAAAGTTGACCAGAGGTCCAAGTAGGGTAAAGTGCTTGTGGGAACTTTTGTAAACTCTATGTAAACTTCATTTTGTAAACTTTACTGTGTAGGAATCATTCTTGGAAGTTTTGCAAAATGGCAGATCCTTATTCAGAGGTGCTGGGTGGAGTCTGGGGTTGCCTTTCTGATTAGATGACAGATGCTATTGGCCCACAGGCCACACTTTCATGAGCAAGACGTTGAGTCCTCTTATTCTTTTGTATTTATGGGGCATTATGTCCCTGGAATATTCCGGATTCTACTATGCCAAGGATCTTGCAGCCAGGCAGGGAAGAAAAGACAAACACACCAATAACTTATACATCTCAAACAATATGAGAACTACAAGGGACTTCAGGGCTAACGGTGTGGGATTTCTGCATGGGGAAAGGGTGTTCCTGTCAGACTGGCCCAGGAAGCAGGCCACAGGTGGGGTTGCAGGAGAGTTGAGAGATGTTTAAGAACTGGCCTTTCTATGAACTCATGTCCCCCCATGCCTTTTGGCAGCGGTGAGTCAGGGGCTGGAAAGACGGAGACCTCCAAGCTCATCCTGCAGTTCCTGGCCACTGTCAGCGGCCAGCATTCGTGGATTGAACAGCAGGTCCTGGAGGCCAACCCCATCTTGGAAGGTAAGTGGTTACTCTGAGGATGCACCCTTCCCCTTGATAGAAGCCTTCCTGCAGAAGGTGACCGTGAGAAGCACAGGGTAAATCACAGACCTGCAGGCAAAGGGTGGGGTGGACAGGAGTGTGGGGCTCCCAGAAAGCACACAGGAGACAAGACTGATGACTTTATAAGCTTTCCCTGTGGGTTTGCACAGGATGTAAGGAGCTTTCCTCCTTAGGGGGCCTCTGAGATCAAATCAAATTGGGAAACGCTGGCTGTGCTCATTCAGGTCCCCTAGGAAGCAGCTGCTGAGCTATGCACAGTTAGGACTGCAAGGGGCTTACTGAGGGGGTGACCTTTGTGGAAGAAGTTAAAGGAGAAGGAAGCAGTGATGTACAGGGCAAGACTCCAGACTAGGACGCTGATTGGACACTTCAGAAAGGAAAGTAGAATTAGGCAGGAGAGGTACTAGCTGGAAGCCTCATGTTTGGTTAACTGTTGAGCTTTGATATCTTGGAATTCTCCCTAACTTTCTGCCAAGAGGCTCCACAGCTGCTCCACAGCAGGCCAGCAAAGTCCTAGCGGGCCTAGTGACAGGCTGTGGGTCTCACTGCCCCTCAGAGGAGTGCAGCATAGGTGCCTGTGTCTGGGGATCAGTGCCTGGTGGGGGTAGTCCAGACACCCATGACCTTAGCCCTAAGGCTGTTAGCCATCTCTACTAGACAGCACAATCTCTCTTGTTTACTTATGAGTGAGATATGCTTTATGTACAATGACAACTCACCTTTTTTGGTGTAGTCCTGTAATTCCCCGTCATAACTATGAAATAGAATGATCCCCTCACCTCTGAAAACTTCCCTCAGGGCCCTTTGTAGTGAACCCAGCTTCAAAGTTCCAGGCCCTGGCAACTAGATTTGTCCTTCCCCCGACCCTAAGTTCTGTCTTTTTCAGAATGTCATAGAAACAGAATCATTGGGTCTGTAGCCTTTGCATCTGGCTTCTTTCATTAGTGGAATGTACTTGGGATTTTTCCCATGCTGTTGCTGATATCCACAACTCACTCCTTTCTAAAGCTCGGTAGAATTCCCTTATGTGGAGATACCACAGTTGTCTGTTCACCAACTGAAGGATATCTGGCTGCTCTATAGTTTTTAGCAATTATAACTACAGCCTGTATAAACAATTGTTTCTATAGATTTTGTGTGGACACATGTTTTTCTTTTGGATAAATATGCAAGAGTAAAATCGCTCGGTCAGTAGTGTGTGAGCCATTGAAGTTTATCAGAAACTGTGGCGATGTTTTCCAGAGCAACCTTCCCATTTTGCTTTCCCATCTGCAGAGGAGGAGAGTGCTGGTTGTGCTGGGCTGCCTGGCACCTGCCGCCATCCAGGCTATTGGATGATAACTCAGTTGCTGCCTTTATGACTCACGTGGTCAGGTGCAGTTTGAAAGTCCTTGGCAGAAGTCCTAGTTACAGGTATAAGGTGGAAAGGCCCTTCAGGGGCTTTTCATAGTGGTGCTCATTATGGGCCTTTGTGTATAAGAGCTCTCCCCTCATATTCTTTTGGCTTCACTAGTTAATTATTTGTTTGATTAGGGTTTGACAGGAGTGTCACCATTTTGATTCTGACAACTTTCACAGTACATAGTGGGACATAATGGAAAATCTCTTTCTTACTGTGGATCACATTAGAAAAGCCATCAGTAATAGCTCTGAAAGAAGCGTTTTAGATTATGCTACAACCCAGACACCTCCCACTCTGACCACCTCACCCACCTGCTGCTGGGGCCAGCTCTTGTTGTTCCTGTGCAGCTTACCCTCTCCATCCCAGCCACAGCCTGCAGCCTGGGCCTCTCTAAAATGCAGATCTGCTCCCTCCCTCTTACTTCCTGCCTCTCTCAACCTCTGCAGCGTGGATTCCCAAATGCCGATCCTGTTGGGAATGTGCCCCCAGACTCAATTTGTTGGTGTCGATAATAAAGCACTCAGACACCCAAGAAATCTCAACAAGGCAAGGCATTTTAATTCTGCAGAAGGGTGAGAGTGCACTCTTAGCATGAGGTAGCAGGTACACAGAGATGCAGCAGCAGGCTCCTTTTATTTCCTACCTCAGAAGCAGCTGAACTCTGCGTTGGCTGGTTTGAAGGTTCACAACCTGTCCGGATTGGCTAGTTTAAGTGGCATGAGGGGAGGGCCTGAAGGACTGCTGGGCAGAGCTGCTAAGAGAGGGGGGAATAGGGGCATGGGGGCAGGAAAGTCTTTGGCTGTTGGTACATTATCTTTGGTGCTCAGTCTTGCCCCTAGAATCTAAGCTGAGAAGATTTTTAAGAAGTGAGGGAGAGCAGCAAAGGGTAGACTAGAGTTTAAGATAGGAGGTGCTCCTGTTTATATCTATCCTTTGATAGAAAAGACAGGCTTATGGTTTCTCACAGTCCTGGTATTCAGGGCTTGGTGCCACCTGCCCTCTGCCACTGACCAGCTCTGTCCTCCTCCCACTGCTGTCTTGTGTCCGGTTTCTGTCCCACAGGCCCCCACACCTCCTGACTTCGAAGCTTGCCCAGCATGTGTCCTTCTTTTCAGTGTGCCCCTGGCTGCCTCACTGTCTGGGACAACCCCTCCTGTCCTTCTGTTCTAGGCTCACCCCCTTCTCTGAGAGACCTACCAGCTGACCCCACTAAAAGTAAGTTTTCTTCTCTTTGTTATTGTTGTGGGCATTGCCCACTCACCCTCAGCCTTTGGAAATGCCAAGACAATCCACAATGACAACTCAAGCCGCTTCGGGAAATACATCGATATCTACGTCAGCCCCAGCGGGGTGATCGAGGGCGCACGGATTGAGCAGTTTCTCCTGGAGAAGTCCCGGGTCTGCCGGCAGGTGAGCCCTCCAGCCCAGGGAGCCTTCTGAAAGTGCGCGCCCCTGCCCACTCCCTCTCCCACACCAGGGGCCTCCCTGGTGTTCCAGCAAAGGATTTTCTGTTTTGAATTTTTCATCCATTTAATTTTCGTCATTCTTTAGTGCATACCATGCCTCACCTTTATTAGAATTAATTCTGAGACTGGGCCGTTCCAATGCATCTGTGTGGAGGGGGTCGTTCTCACATGACGGTGTGATCCCTGACATTGGGGTGCACAGACATGCACACATGAAGACTCAGGGAAGAAAAGCCAACAGAGGGGCTGGGCTGTTTGTGAGGACGGCACCTGACAAACCACGGCAAGCTGCATAAAGAAGTTCACATTAGTGAACTGCCCCACCCTGCCCGATGCCAGGCAGTTCTCACTTGGTCAGAAGAGCTGCAGAGCTGAGTCTCCTCCTCCCTGGTGTACAAGTGAGTGCCTAGGGTCACAGGGCTGAGCCTGACAGACACTGGGGCTTGTCCTTCCCAGAAGCCCACACTTGTTCACATAGCAGTTGGTGAACTGGCAGAATTTAGTACCCAAAGAGGTAACCCAGAATGGACAGGAAACCCCTCAGCAGATTAGAAGCAAGCCTTATCCAGGGTAAGAGAAAAATTAGAAAATTATGGCACAGACTAGGGGTGCAGTTCAGTGGTAAAGCATGTGCTCTGGGTTCAAGCCCCAGAAACACACACACACATATACAAGGCATATTTATATTATGGGATGATGAACGGAATTAAAAAGGAGAGGGCCTGTGTATGTCATTGTGTACGGATCATAAAAAAACAGAATAGAAAGTTGAGTCGGATATGGTGGTAGAAGATACGTGTAATCCCAGCACTCAGAATACTGAAGCAGGAGGATCACCACAAGTTCGAGGCCAACCTGGGCAGCTTAGTGAGACCCTGCCTCAAAATTAAAAAAAAAAAGAGTTGGGAGGATATTGCTCAGCAGGGCAGTCCTTGCTTAGCATGTCCTAGATTCATTCCTGAGTACTGTTTAAAACACAAAGCCTCAGATGGCCTTGTGAGCCGGTGGCTGTCAGAGCTCCACCAGGCCACTGAAAGCCTGCAGCATCGTGAGTGAGAACCCCTTGGGGCTTTGGGCAGCTTCAGGGCTGGGAGCAGCGGCCAAGATGCAGGGAGCACAGGGCATGGAGTGAACCCGCCCACAAGGATAGCTCCCAGGCCAGCCCAGCCCTGGGACCAAGGCCAGAGCCATGCCTGGAGGGGAGACCTTGAAGGTAAAAGTGGGACAGTGCCGGGCCCAGGGAGCCCAGGGGACTGGCTTACCAGTCCTGCACCTTGCCCCCTTGCAGGCCCCAGAAGAGCGAAACTACCACATCTTCTACTGTATGCTCATGGGCATGAGCAAGGAGGAGAAGAAGCTGTTGGACTTGGGGACACCCTCTGAGTACCATTACCTGACCATGGTGAGCCACCCCCAGAATGCTCCCCTGCCGTGAACAGAGAGGGGGTAGGGCCAGCACCCGCTCAGGCTTTCCTGGCTCTAGCTGGGACTCCAGCTGGCTTTCCCTTCTGCTCCAGCTCCTTCAGTGCCTGGCCTCACTTTGTGCCCGCCAGGGGCCTCCTCTTTCCCTTGTGCTAAGTTCACCCAGGTCCCCAGCTGCACTGGTGGTCTTCCTGACACACCTCATCTTCCTTGGCTCCCTCTGGACTGACAGAAGGCTCCACTCCTAGGAGTTAGGTCTCAGGCAGTCGTCATGTGTCTCCTGCATCCGTCCTGATAGGTGCCTTGAGGCCAGCGGCTCTAGGAAAGCAAAGACCTAGCTGTCCCTGCCTCCGGGGAGGGTGTGGCAAGGCAGCCATGTGCTCACGGTAGCTAACAAGGGGGGAGACAAGTCCCACCCTTTAGGTCTGTCCTGTGGTCACTGCCTCAAACCTTTCTCAGCCCTTGCTTGGACCACGGCAGTACTTTCCTCAGGGCTGCTCCGTTGCCGTCCACGACAGCCACAGGACAGCTTTGATGGCCGCACATCTCTGGTGCAGTTATTTGGGAGGAGTCAAGCTCTTCAGCTTCCAGGTCCCTCCCAAGACCCTCCATCTGGCACCGCTCCCCTCTCAGTTCTGACCCCAGCCCCATCGCAGCCTCTGCCCCTGCTTGTGCTCTCACTCTCGCCATTGTCCACCCCTTGCGGCTTTGAAGGTCAGAGAGTGAGCAGGGCCAAGTGAGGCACCTGTCACAGCCATGACACTGTCGCCTGCCTCCTGCTGGTTCCTCTTGTATGCACAGAGCCAGGAGCAGGCCCGGGCTCACCGTGACTGAGTTTCCGGTGGGGAACCCGGGGCCTGGCTTGTGGTGAGCTGGGGGAAGTGTTTGTCAGAGGAACGAGCCCACAGCATTCCCTGGCAACAGACGAGGCAGGTTTTAGCACGCTGAGACGGATGACTCTGGGAAAGGAACAACTTGCTTAAGGCCATGCAGTGACCAAGTGCTGGTGCTGGTGGCCCAAGCACACTGTGTCATGGCATCATGGTTCTGACTTGGAAGGACTCGTTTTTCTGAGCTTGCCCCTGGATGTGGCCTTTCGGGGTCTACCCCACCCGGCCCGATGCCAGGCAGCTCTCATTTGGTCAGAAGAGCTGGAGAGCTGAGTCTCCTCCTCCCTGGTGTACAAGTGAGTGCCTAGGGTCACAGGGCTGTACATGGCAGACACCGGGGCTTGTCCTTCCCAGAAGCCCACACTTGTTCACATAGTGGTTGGTGAACTGGCAGAATTTAGCACCCAAACAGGTTGCCTTGAAGATAGGCATTGCGTCACTAGCTCCTGTGAAATGTGACTTCTCATGGGCCTCTGGCTGCGTCCCCAGCCTTGCCTGGTGTCTCGGCCTTACTGGCCCTGATAGAGTAGGGGTACTGGGGTAACCCTGTTCACTGAGGTGCTCTGTTTCTCAGGGTAACTGCACATCCTGTGAGGGGCTCAATGACTCCAAGGACTATGCTCACATCCGCTCGGCCATGAAGATCCTCCTGTTCTCTGACTCCGAGAACTGGGACATCAGCAAACTGCTGGCGGCCATCCTCCACCTGGGGAACATAGAGTTTATGGGTAACGCCGCTTCTGCCCCTGCTCCCTCCAGGCAGAAAGAGCCAGGGCACTGGGGCAGCAGCAGGAAGAAGTCTCTGGGGGCTCACACTGACCCAAGGGTCATGTGCTCCAGCCTGCTTCTGGGAAAATATATCTGAAAAATGAAACTATGATTTTGGAGGCCACATGGCAGGGGGAAGGTATCAAAGCTTAGGGCCCTCCAAAGGTGGGGATTCTGCTCAGTCACCCCCTACTTGTGCCAGGACCCCAAAAGGCTATGTCTTCAGGTTAAGAGTGAACCAGAGTAAAAAAATCCATGCACAAACTGGCAAACCTGTTTATGGACATCAGGTATCCTGGCCTGTGAGAATCCCAAGCACCTGATAGAAGTTGCTAGCAATAACGAGGAAAGTGCCAGCAACATAGGTTCTTAATGATTCCTTCTAATAATTTTTCGAACTCAACATCCTGCATGCAGCCAGAATTAAATAGGAACAGGGGAATAAGGTACCATGAGCAAAAACCAGCCGAAATGTTAAATAACAGAAATAGATAAAAAATTCAGGTATTGGAATCACTGGGCACAGAGCACAGACTAGCTCTATTTGTTGTGTTCCAGAAAGGAAAAAGCCATGTTGGAAAATGTAGAGAGGGAACTGAAAACTCCAAAAGGTGGCATTCCATGTTTTAAAAGGAACAAGCAGAAATGCTAACATTAAAAATATCAAGAACTCAGTGGATGCATAGGTCTAACAGTGGAGGGAATGTGTGGGCTTGAGGGAAAGTCACAAGAAACGAGGGAGGGGCAAAAAGGAAAAGAGAAAGAGAAGGAGAAAACCTAGGGACTCAGTAGAAGATGTAGCAAAGTGCTCATTGGAGTTAATGGAGAAGAGGGACAAAGATTGGACAGACTGTGGCTCATTCTAGACATCAACTCACAGAGCTCCGGGGAGAGACAGATCTTTCAGGAAACTGTTTTGGACCGGAGGGTATCCATTTGGAAAACAAGAGTTTGGATCAGGACCTCACATCATATCATAACACAGACTCCAGGTGAAGGGAGTGAGGATGACCCATGATCTATCAGCCAAACCCAGCACTCCTGAGGGGCACCAAACAGGAAAGAGTGTCAGAAATCTGGTCTCAAGGAAGTGACCTGGGCGCAGGAGAACACAGGCAGTGAGGTCACATGAAAGGTAACACTTACTGTAGGTAGAACTAAGTGCCGTGAGAGGACAATGCTTTTTCCACAGAAGTTGAAAAAAGAAGTCACCTCTAGAGGAAGGAACACCATCTTCACAAGAAAGGACACCAGAGGATTTTGGCGCTGGCAGGGTCCACTTGGCTTTATTGTTACATGACGTTGACTTTATTCTGTACAGCACACCTTTGTGTTTGGGCTTTTTTTTTTTTTTTTTTTTTTTGAGACAGGGTTTCACTCTGCAGTTCAGGCTGGCCTTGAGCTCAGAGGGATCCTCCTCCCTCAGCCTCCCGAGTACTTGGATTACAGGCATGCTCCACCACACCTGGCAAGGCACTTTTTTATCTGTATGTTTTATCTCATGATTTTTTAAATTTAAAAGAGAAACAGTAAACCACACCTGACTCCCAGCCTGGTACTCCTAAGGTGGATGCTGGCTTGAAGAGGAGAAACTGGAAGTGGAAAGGTGCTCAGAGACTATTTATTCGATTGAGTGAACAAACAAATGCCCAGGTTTCTATGGATGGTGGAGTGGATAAGGGCTGACAGCTCACCTTCTCACATAATAGACCCCAGTCGGCTCCACCAGACCAGTGCCTACTGGGTGTCCCAGTTCTGTCTTCTCCCACCAGACAAGCCTTAGATTCCTCCAATTTCCCTTTGACCCAGAGCCCTTAGCTGACCAGGCAGCAGAAGCCATGGTCAGGGCCACTCGTTCACAGCTGAGGTGCTCATTGTGGCAGTTACTGGGAACATTCATACAGAGGAGGGTCTGGAAGGAGAGACCATGGCTCATCCCTGGGGAGAGTTGGGCTGAGGTGTAGATTAGGGGCTACCACAGGCCTCAGCCTTCCAGGGACACAGTCCTGCTCAGGAAACTGGTTCTCTCTCTAGCTTCCATCTTTGAGAATCTGGACTCCTCCGAAGTGATGGAGACGCCCGCCTTTCCCACCGTGATGAAGTTACTGGAGGTAACTTGATGATAGGCTTTGCGTCACTAGCTCCTTCTTGGTTTTTGTTGGTTTGTTTGCTTGTTTTTGCCATTCTGAGGTCTTCATGGAGTTACATCCCCAGCCCAATTTTACTTTTTAATTTTGAAGCAGTTTCAGAGCACTAAGTTACTCAGGCCGGGCATGCACTTGTGATCCTCCTGCTTCAACTTCCTAGGATTACAGGCATGCTCCTTACATTCAGCTTAGCAATTTTTGTGAGAAGGACTAGGGGCCTGAGTTGATAGATCCCAGCTGTATAATCTTGCCCAGGCCCCATCTCAGCCTCCCTTGCTCTCCCAGGTTGTGACTTGGCCTCTGTGCCCCTGGGAGCACTGGGAGCTGACCATTAACAACACAGCAGCACAGCGAGCACAGCTTTGATGAATGCTTCTTCCTCCTTCCCATGCCCCTCCTGCCCATCAGGGTCTCTGCATACAGCCCTCCGCCTGCCCCATCAAATCCCTCCACTCCCTACCAGGGCACCTGACCCCACACCCACCAGAACATCCCTGCCCTGTGTCCTGGTCCCCAGCACTTCTCCATAGGTTGTGCTATTCTGGGAGAGTGGCGTGTGCCAGTGAGTGTCCAGCTCATGCATTCAGCCATTCCCGTCATCCAGACGGAAGAATGAACCTTGACTGGGAGGGAGGGCAGCAGGCTCTGGTGGCTGACACGGAGGACACTGAGACACAGCTGACACTGAGGACAGTTCTCTGAGAAATTAATAGATTCAGAAGCAAAAGCACAGGCTCACAGGTTCTGTCACAGTCCATCTTCGTTGCTCTAACAGAATACCCGAATACCCGGTTCTGGGTGACTTACAGCAAATAGTGGGCTTGCAGCTCTGGAGTCCATGGTGCCAGCATCTGCTCTGTTCCACCACATCAGACATCCACACAGAGCAACCATACCAGAGAGCTGCTTTTGTAGCACAGCCGCTCCCTAGACAATCCAGTGACCCCGTCACCCCTGAGTCCGTTTCCGAGGGAAGAGCCCTCATACGTACCTCCCAAAGTCCCACCTTCAAGTACTTGGGAGTCTGGGGAGTAAGTTTCCAGCACAGGAGCTTTTGGGGACACATTCACGCCACAGCAGGTACTCAGGAGGTTTGGGGTTTTCCGGCTCAGCCTTCTTTTTCTGGTGGGGAGGGCCTGCCCCATCAGACACCCCTTGCTACTTAGGCCTGCAGCCTTCAGCAGGGGTGTTTTGGGTTGGATGTCACTGAGGCTTGGCCTCAGAGCCCACCCTGTGCCAGCCCCTTTCCTGGACCCTCAGGACCATGCTTGGCACCACTATTCACCTTCCTGAGTGCTCTGTGCCCCAGCACTGCCAGCGCCCTGGCTATGTCCCCACTCACCTGGCCCTGGTCACAGAGCTACCCACCATCAGTTCCTGGGCATGGGTGTCTGGTTACTAGATGCAGCAGGAGTGGAAGGAGTCCCAGGCCTGCTCCACAGGCAGATGCAGCCCTACCTTCCTTCCCAGGTGCAGCACCAGCCCCTCCGGGACTGTCTGACCAAGCACACCATCCTCATCCGCGGGGAGCATGTTACCAGGCCACTGAACATGGCGCAGGCCGCTGACCGCAGGGACGCCTTTGTCAAGGTACAGGGCCTGCTTCCCACCCTGTTGGTGGAGAGTAGGAAAGAGCAGAGATGGGAGGGTGGGCAGGTCCCGGCTCTGCCAGTCACCTACTGGTGACAGGGATTCCCAGCCTCCCTGGTGTTGTTGCCTTGCCTTTAAAGCAGGGTAATATCCCTCAGTAGGCCTGTCATATCCAGTTGGCACACAGCCTGGCCAGGTAAAGTTGGAGAAGGGGCAGCTTCCCCTGTGCCTCAAAGCCCAGGGGTTGCACCTTGTGTCTCCCCAGGGCATCTATGGGCATCTCTTCCTGTGGATTGTCAAGAAGATCAATGCTGCGATCTTCACACCACCGGCCCAGGACCCCAAAAATGTGCGAAGGGCCATAGGCCTCCTGGATATATTTGGCTTTGAAAACTTCCAGAACAACAGGTATGAAGATCTCAGCCTGCCTGGTTTTGAAAAATGAAGCTCAGTGGTTTCCCTTTAGCTGAGCAAGCGGGAGGAAACCACCCCCTCTCCCATCCCACCCACCCCTGTGCTGCTGCACTAGGAGCCTGGGGATCCTACTTTCGCTCATGATGCCGGGCTGTCTGCCAGCAGGACAAGTCTTTCTGTGAGAGACCTGTGTCCCTCCCCCAGGGCCTCAGTGTGCCCAGGAAGGCCACATAGCTGAAAGCCAGCCCCCGGAGCCAGGCTGAGACCCCAGCCTTTGCCACCTTTCTTGAGCCATGAGCTTTAAGAGTGACTTATGACCTGAGGTCAGGGAGATGCTAGGAACCCCTAACACTGATTCAGCTGGGGGCATTTGTAGCTCTCCCTGACTTTGGAGTTTGGGGAGGGGGTAAGTAAGGAAGGATGCCTCTGACCCAGTGTTCCCAGTGACAGGAAGCTGAAGAGCTGTGACCAGGAGGCAGACGTGACTGTGACAAAGAGGGGGAGTAGAGTAGACAAGGGTGAAGGGAGCAGGCAGGGAAACCAAGCTGGGCAGACGATGTCCTGGCATTATCAGGGCAAGAGGTGGTCAAACGGGAAATGTGCACCCGGGACATTCAGGAAAAAATTATTCAGGCCTGAGGCTGGTTCACTGAAAATACTGGGCAGGACAGAGCCCAGACCACTGGTTCCAATAAGTCAAGGCCTCTGGGTACTGTCGAAAGAGCCAGGGTCTGTCCGGACCTTGGCATGCCTCTGCCCAGGACCCTATCTCTGGTGAAAGTCGGCCTTGGGAGGTATCTAGATCTCGCCGTCTCCCAGGGCTGGTGAGCCACAAGCCACTCCAAGTGTCAGTACACTTGGGATCCCAGCCAGCCAGGCCAGCCACGGCAGGGCAGAGGGCTCCTCACTGTGTCAGCGGGGAGGCGCAGACTCAGCCGAGTGCCGTGGGGCCACAAACACATAGTAAACTCCAGTGGTTTCTGTCCCAGGGGAGCGGGACAGGAAAGCGGACCGAGCACAGCCACGGACACCGTAGGTGTGGATGAGTGGCTGGGTCCCGAGATCTGGTCATGTGTGCGGAGACCCCTTCCTGTAATGATTAACAGTTCTGTGGTTACATGATGTGCACAGAGATAGCTACAGTATAACTCACACTGTTTTTTGCTCAAAAATAAAATCTGTGTAACTGTAAAAACATTGAATGAAACTATTTCACATGAACTAGATTTTATCTGAAAATGGGTAGAATTTTTGCTACGCTGTAACTGTTGTGTATTCTAGTATTTGAGGTGAGATGGCTGCTTTTTTATTAATGAGACATGAATTGTGTCTCAACAGAAACTAAATGGACATTTCAGAATAAATTATTGCTGTCTGAAAAAAAGACCACTGCCTGAAGGAAGGCCCCCCTATGGTGATAGGGCCACAGCCTGGGGGTCTGGGGCAGGAGGGGCTGTCGGCACTTGGTTATAACTTCTGCAAGGTTCAGGGAGCCCCTCCAGGCAGTGTGCTTGGCATGGGGGTCCTGAGAATGTCGCCTCACCTCTTGGGTTAACAGACATTGAATGAGCAGTCTCAGAAAGATGAGGTCCTGCCCAAATAGGCGACTGCCCTGAGGAGGAGATCCCAAGAGACCCAAAGGCGAGCAGAACCCCTGAGTCAAGAAGAAAGAGAGCAGAGTGTGGCAGAGAGAAATGGAGCACTTGGGGGCTGCAAGGATTCAAGTCTAGCCAGAGCGGCCCTAGGGAGGCTGGAGAGGTGGCCAGGGCTTTCTCTGGTGGTCACTTGCCAGATCAGAAAGCAGTGGGAAGTGGGAGATTTGAAGCACAGAGAGAGCAGATGTGCACACCAGAAGGTGCTGCTGTAGGAGCAGAGATGAGGCCACTACTGTGCTCCAGGTGAGCAGTGAAGCTGGCCTAGACTAACTTAGCAGCAGTGGGGACAAAAATTGAACAGATTGAGGTGATGTTGGAGATAACATGGACCAGCTTTGGCCACCGGTAGGTATGGAGGAGGAGGGGCAGAGTCAAACTCGACTCCTTGTTTTCTGACTTGGGCCAGGATGGTTGGTAGAGGGGCTGTTTCTCAAAGCAGGGAACCCAAGAGGAAGATCAGGCCGGAGGGTTGGTGGGGGTGAGCGGCGTGGGGATAGGGAGCACATCTGGCAGACACGGAGGGGCCTGGCAGACAGTACTGGGTCTTTGGAAGCTCGTCTCAACGCACGTCCACGGTCCTGTGGGGCAGGATCTTCCTGTGTGCACTTGGCCCAGTGCAGAGGCTCAGTGTCAGGATGGGCAGGCCCAGCAAAGGACCTGGGATTGCAAGACAAAAGGGCAAGGACTTGACGCTAGCTGAGCCTCTCGCTGCTCTTCGCCTGACTGCTATGGGATAGAGAAGGCGACGGCAATGGAGGCGGAAATGTGCAGGGAAATGTGTGCTCTGTGTGCACGCAGCGGAGCAAGTGTCCGTGGTGTGCATCTGTGTGCGCATGGGTGTGTGCAGAGAGCAGTGACTGCAGCTGTGGTGGGACCAGCTGACCCCGCTCCACCCTGGATGGTGGCATTATCTCCACAGCTTTGAGCAGCTCTGCATCAACCTTGCCAACGAGCACCTGCAGCAGTTCTTCGTGCAGCATGTGTTTGCCATGGAGCAGGAGGAGTACCGCTCAGAGAACCTTGCCTGGGACTACATCCACTACACCGACAACCAACCCACCCTGGACCTGCTGGCCCTCAAGCCCATGAGTGTCATCTCCCTCCTAGATGAAGAGAGCCACTTCCCAAAGGTGTGTGTCTGACATTCTACTGGAGCCCCTGCTCACGTCTCCTCTCCGAGGTTAGGAAACACCATTGTGGTGGCCCATGTGTTTACAGGGGTGCTGAAATCTCTAGGAGAAATAATTAGATGGGCCCTAGCATAACCAGACCCTCCTCTCCTTCAGTGCCCCCTTCAGCCCACCTCTTGCAGGAAGGCTTCCCTGACTATGGGCTCCTGTTCAGAGAGTACAGCAAGAGAGCTGAAAGTGGGGGGAGAGGTAGCAGACCTAGCTTCTTTCCCCAGCTATACTGTCACTCAGTGTGACATGTTCAGGTGAGGGTTAGAGTCTCCTGTGTGAGGAACCATCAGTCACTTGAATCTAGCTTGTTTTATCCCCATGAGGAAGCCCCTGAGCTATGGGTGTGGACCACTTGTGCCCACTGCCGGACTCTTAGACCTCAGCTCACAGAGCATTCTGGTTTTTCCAGGGGACAGATCTCACCATGCTGCAAAAACTGAATGGAGTCCATGCCAACAACAAGGCTTTCCTAAAACCCAAGAACATCCATGATGCCAGGTTTGGCATTGCCCACTTTGCCGGTGAGGTATACTACCAAGTGGAAGGTGAGTTCAGCTTCCCTCATGCCCTACCGTATCTAGAGTGGGCTCCAGGAAGTCCACGCAAGGGGCTTAGAGGGCAGATTATTTTGCAAGTTTAGTAATGGGATGATAAGATAAATAGTATGGCTTTTACTGGAGAAAGTAAATGGAATGGGCCAGGCATCTGTTTGGGTAATAAATCTATCAAGTATAGTTCACATACCTTATTATTCATCCATTTCAAATGGACCGCTCAGTGGTTTTTAGTATATTCACAGAGTTGTGCAATGATTGCTACAAATTTAGAGCGTTTTCATCACTCAGAAGAAACACCCATTAGCAGTCACTGCCCAGCTCCCCCCAGTGCTAGGCAGCACATAACTCCCACCTCTATGGATCTACTGCCCCAGACACTTTATGTGACATGTGGTCTTCTGCAGCCAGCTGTCATAGGATCTCAAGGCTTGTTTATGTTGTAATATATCAGTACTTCAATTCTTCTATTGTAGGATAATATTCTGTGACGTGGATAGACCACATTTTGCTTGTCTCTTCATCAATTGATGGATAGTTGGGTTGTTTTCACTTTTTGGCTACTCTGTATAATGCAGCTGTGAACATCCATCTCTAGGGTGATCATGGGGTGTCTCCTTCCTCATGGATGGGGATGATGGCTGAGCTGGCCTGCTGGGTGGGCCCTGCTGTCCCCACAGGCTTCCTGGAGAAGAATCGAGATGTGCTAAGCACGGATATCCTCACTCTGATTCACTCCTCCAAAAACAAGTTCCTGAGGCAGATATTCAACCTGGAGTCGGCAGAGACCAAGCTGGGCCGTGGTACCATCCGTCAAGCAAAGACAGGGAGCCAGCTCTTCAAGGTGAGCTCCAGTGCCCTCCTGAGTCTCCTGGTCTCTCACCCCTGATGAGAGGGCCAGACAGATGTGTATGGGGAAGAACATTTTGCTCATTAGTGGGTGCCAAATGCCTGCAGCACACAGCCAGGTGCCTGCAGAATAGGCTCTCGGAGACCTGGATGGAGGAATGGCGGAATGAATGCACGCGTGCATGAATGCACTTGGCAGCAGCCCTCACTGTGCAGGGGAGGAGGGGTGTCAGTGTGACCCAGCCCTCGGCCCCCTAGCCCCTACTCATGTCCAGTGTTCCTGTTAGCAGTCTACAGACTCCGCCAAGCGGCCCTCGACCTTGGCAGGCCAGTTCAAGCAGTCGCTGGAGCAGCTGATGAAAATCCTGACCAGATGCCAGCCCTACTTCGTCCGCTGCATCAAACCCAATGAGTATAAGAAGCCCCTGGTAAGGGGAAAAGGGTGTTGATGAGGAGGAAGGGGTGAGTTTGAGGTATTTAGGGCCATGATTGCCCCTTCACCAGTCCTGGCCTGTTCTAGAGCTGCTATCTGCCCCTACTTTTGTTTTGTTTTGTTTTATTCTGGTACCAGGAATCGAACTCACGACCTTATGCTTGCCAGGCAAGCGCTGTGCCGCTGAGCTAAATCCCCAGCCCCTGCCCCTACTTTTGACTGCAGTCAGTGACCTGCAAGGTTTTGGAGCACCCAGAGGCCCTCAGTTCTCTTAGCTCTGCCATTTATTTGCTGTGTGTGCTTGGCCAGGCTCTGGACTTCCCTGAGCCTTGATTTTTCTCTTCCATAAAGTCAGATTCACAATGCCTGAGGGTTAGACATAGTATTGACCTGCAGTGGCTTTATTTGGATGTGTGTGGTGAGGGGTGGGAGCCCAGGCATCCTTGATCCATGGGCTCCTCCTGGAGCTGCGGACACAGGGACTCCCTAGACTGGGATGTGCCACTTGGAGGAATAAAAGTAATTCAAAAGCATCTTATAGAGGGATAAAAATAAATACTACATCAACCGTAGTGCTTTTCTCAAAAGACAAAATTATATGAAACTGGGGCTGTCCCACAAAAATGAAGATGTCCCTCCCTTACAGCTGAAATGGGAAGAGGTCGGACAACTTCGCCTGTCCCGTAGCTGCCTGGAGATGTCCCTGTGCTCCCAGAGGCCCTCTGCCTGTGTGCATACTGCCTGGCTCGGGAGCTGCAGGGCAGGAAGGCAGGTCTAGGGTTGAGGTGCAGCTTTGCGGGTATCTCTGCCTGGGACCTCGCTCAGGAGGGGCAGCTTCCTGATGGGTGATAGGAAAGAGAAGCCCATGCTTAGGGCCCAGACCCTGGCTTGGGTACTTCGGAGCATGGCTGTGGGCCACTTCATCTTTAGGAGCCAGTTACCCCACCACACAGGGCGGTGGTGAAGATCGAATGAGACAGAGCAGGAATAATCAGTAGCAGCTCTCTGCTTAGCCAAGGTTCACCACTATGTGTTCAGACCCAACAAGTAGTCAGCCCCTAGCCCTAGGGCTTTGGGGGACTGAGGGGGGCAGACCTGCTGATTTGCCCAGCTAGAGGGTGCCACCCTAGGAAAGGCTCATGCACACACTCTTCTGGTGGCCGCATCAGCCTCATACGGGCAACCCAGCTCCCTGGGGCCAGCTGCCCCCTCCAACTGTCCGGTGTCTGCCTTGGCCAAGGGAGATACTAGCTTTGCATTGTTATGACCAAATAACTGAGAAAAACAACTCAGAGGAGAAATCAGAGGTTTCAGTTCATGGTGACTCCGTTGCTTTAAGCCTTGTGACAGCAGCAGCCAGGAAGCAGAGCAAGGACAGCGCCAGCCAGGAAGGGGCCAGGGAGCAGACAGCACCCAAGGTCACATCTCATGCTCCAACCCCTTCCGCCAGCCCCGCCTCCCATCAGCTCCCCATGGCACCTTCACACCATGACTTCATCCGCGGGTTAACCCACCAATGAAGTTAGAGCTTCGTGAAGTTAGATCCAGTCACCCATGAGATCCCACCTCTGAACGCATGAGACTGGGGGCATTTTAGATCTGAACCCTAGTAGAATAAGCTAACGAGAAAGTTTTGTGCCTCTGAGAGAGCAATATCTCCTCACTGCTCTGCGTCGCCAGCCTGCTGCAAGCCGGGGGCCGTGAGAGTGTTTCCAAGGGGACTAGTGCAGCTGTCTTTTCCACTCACTGTGCTTTGTGTGCTTAGGCTGATGAAGTGTGTTCTTATGGGCTCAGTCGTTCACTGATGATCAGTTTTTGTCCTCTCAGAAACCCTGTGAAGACTTTTCAGCTTCCTCCACTCTCTCTTGAAAAAAATGTCATTTTTATTCAACAAACCATTTGTTTAGTTCCTCCGTCTTCAGGGCGCAGCCCGGCGGGTCCCAGGGCTGCTGATCTCTGACTGTGGGCCCTGCTTCTCCACCCACAGCTCTTCGACCGGGAGCTGTGCCTCCGGCAGCTGCGCTACTCAGGCATGATGGAGACCGTGCGCATCCGCAAGTCGGGCTTCCCCGTGCGCTACATGTTTGAGGAGTTTGCGAAGAGGTTTGGGGTGCTGCTGCCCAGCGCCCAGCGTGTTCAGGTGCGTGCTCCACATTCTGTGCCTAACCTTGCCCAGTTCTCCCCGTTCTCTGGGCCGCTCCAGCTCCCTAATCCCAAGGGACCCGTTCTACTGCCCTCCTGAGGGATATTCACCCACCCCAGACCCCCATTCTTAGCAGGACCGTGGCCACCCTTCTCTCCATCCTCCTGCGTCCTCTCTCACCTGGTGTCATCTCCCCGTCTCTCTGTGCTGCGGCACAGTTTGCTCTAAGGCCAAGGGTCCCACAGCCACATGGAAGTCCCAGCCCGGCACAGTGCCATGGCCTTGGAGCCTCAGCCTGGGGCGCTCCCCTTGACCACCCTGGGATCTGAGATCCTGGTCGTGTTTGTGCCCAACAGAGTGGCCCCTGATGTGAAGCCAGTGAGAGAAGGAGGGAGACACAGATCTCCAGGAAACCCCAGAGGGGTCCCCTCAGCCTCCCACCCGGGCCATGCTCCAACCAGCATTAGGCTGCTCTGTTTTTCCTCTTTAGCTTCGAGACAATTTTCGTCAGATGACCCTGAGCATCACTGACCTGTGTCTGGAGACAGACAAGGACTGGAAAGTGGGAAAGACCAAAATCTTCCTAAAGGTGAGACCCTGAAGAGCCAATGGGTCATCAGCCTCCTGGATTGCATGGGCCAGGTTCGCTTTCACACCAGGCGTGGAGTTCACCCCTCACGCTGAGCAGTGCTGCTGGAACCCACTCTGTGCCCTCGAGGCCCCTCGGGTCCTAGGAAGCTCAGGTCCAGAGGAATTGAGGGCCAGCTGCCAGAGTGCCAGGAACTGGCTCCACCACACCGGGAGCCTCCACCTGCCTCAGAGGGCTTGACCCCTGGGGAGGCTCAATGTGAGGATTGCGTGTGTTGACACCAGGAAAGCAGCTCTCCTTAGGTAGCTTGTGGCACACCCTGGTCTCCCCACACATACAGGGAGGCCTGGTCAGACAGATGCAGCCTTGCAGCAGGCCAGGATTGCCAATTGGCTCAGGGAACCTCCACAGAGGGGATCTCCGTGTCCCCCTGGCCTCCTAAGCTTCGGCTGGAGAGCGAAGTAAAGACAGGAATCTGAGAACGGAGCCAGGAAGAGGGTCCCTAACTGGACTGTTCACCTTCCTCCGATAGCCTGCCTACTGTTCTCTGCTCCCACGGGGCCTCCTGCCCCGCCCTCCAGCTGGTTCACCTGTCTGTCTGTCTGTGCATTAGTCAGTCCGAGCTGGGGCTCTGGGCGCAGACAGGAGGAAGAAGCAGAGGGACTTACGGCTTGGTTGGGAAGTGAGGCTCAAGAGGGAGCGTCCAGGGCACTGCCCAGGAGGGCGGGCAGATGGTGAGGCTCCAGGGCATCAGTGTGGCTGGGTCGGCGCAGGCAGGAGGTCCAGGAGAAGAGGAAAGCACCGGCCCTCCGCACCTCCCTCCTGGCTGTCCTTGGAGGCCACAGCCAATGTCCAGTCTGTCTCTGTGGCCAGTGCTCTCCCAGGGGACACAAAGAGGCTTGGTGCTTACTGAGCCTGGCCTGAGGGAGGCAGGAAACCCATCCTCTTCCCACCCAGCCTGGGATGATCCCTGCCTTCTCAGGGCTCAGGTGGCGGCTCTTGCCTCTCATCCCAGGGCACAGAGATGGTGGGACTGAGGCTGGGGACAGCCATGCCCAGGGACGACACCTCATGCTATGGACCTTGCTCACAGGCTATGGGAAAAAAAACTATATTGAAACAAGCATGGGTCCATTGTATAGTTGGATGCAAATACTGCATGAATTTTGGGAAATAAAACACAATTTCAGAGAAATTTTATGACAACCTCCCCCTGGGGTTCCATTCACAAGAAGGAAGAGCTCAAATGGGAGGTTCTTGGATCTCTTTCCCTGAGTCCCAGCTGGGTCAAGCTGAGGTGCCTTCTTTGCTGGCCTCCTGGGGAAGCTTAGGCCAGAGCTCTGGCCCCAGGCTGGTGCTGTGGGAAAGGCGGCAAGGACAGCCTCGCGATGGTGTCGTCTCTACCCGCAGGACCACCAGGACACTCTGCTGGAGATACAGAGGAGCCAGGCTCTGGACGGAGCAGCCGTCAGCATCCAGCGGGTCCTGCGAGGCTACAAATACAGGTGCCGGCCCCACCTCCGCCTCCGCCCACACACCTGCTTGCCATGTCCTCTGCGCACACTTAGGAAGGAAACTGACACAAAAGACCTCCTGACAGGACAGTGCAGCCTGAGAAAGCCTCATCAAACTGTTTGGGGAACACAGAAACCACTCTATACACAAGAGTTGTGAGCAAAATGATTTTGGTGCTTGATTAATCATCTCAAAGAGCACACGGGTTTGGGTAACAAGGTAGTCTGGTCTAGAGGTAAAAACTGCCCACAACTTTGCATGGTTATCTGCACTGGAAACTCCAAGAAATTAATAGTTGCTATTTCTCTGGGAGAAACGTCCAAGAATGATAAAGCTTGGGTCAAGCAGTAACAACATGTTTCACTTTTTAAGAAACCTCCAAGGTGGATATAGCAGCACACTCCTATAATCCCAGCACTCTGGGCAAGAGGACCCATCACAACTTCCATCCCAGCCTAGTCAATTTAGTGATTTAGTGAGAACATCTCTAAGAAATAAAAAGAGCTGTGGGTGTAGCTCAGTGCAAAGACCCTGGGTTCAATCCCCAGCACAGAGAGAAGGTGGGAGGTAACACCTTCGGTCAAACTGTTTTCCAGAGTGACTGTACTATTTCACATGCTCACAGGCAAAGTACGAATTATTCCGTTCATCTGCATCCTCACCAGCATCCAGTGCAGTCTCTGTTCACACACAGCCACTCTGATGAGTGTAACAGTGTCCTATTGTGGTTACAGCTTATATTTCCCCCTTGGCTAACGAAGTTGGACATCTTTTCCTGTGCTTATTTGACATATGTATGCACCTTTTTTTGGTGAAATGTCTGTATATGTTGCTTGGCTATTTTCTAATTAGATTTTTGAGTTTTGAAAGTTCTTTACATATTCTAGATACTAATCTTTTGTTGGCTGCATGGTTTGTAAGTATTCTCTCCCAGTCTATAGCTTATCTTTTCGTCCTCTTAAGAGGGACTTTTATAATGTCTAATAGACAAATTTTTCTCTTAAGTTTTTTTCTTGTTTGTTTATTTGTTTTGAGACAGGGTCCCCCCATGTAGTTCAGGCTGGTCTTGAACTCACTACGTAGCTCAGGCTGGCCTTGAACTTGCTGTGATCCTCCTGCCTCAGCCTCCCAAGTTCTGGGATTACAGGCATGCACCACCATGCCCAGCCCCTAATTTCCCTCTTATGGATCATATTTTTGGTGTTGAGTCTAAAAAATTTCTGCCTGAAGATTTTCTCCTATGTTTTTCCAAAAATTTTGCATTTAGATCTATGATTCATCTTTCACTGGAGTTAATTTTTTGTATAAGGTGTGAGACTTAAATCAAGGCTCTTTTTAAATTTTTTCCTATAGATGTTGCTTTAGCATCATTCACTGACAAGTCCATCTTTTGTTCAATGAGTTGCTTTTATGTCTTTATCATAAATCAGCTGGGCATATGTGTGTTCTGAATTCTCTAGTTCACTTCCCTTGCTGTGTATGTATCCTGCTAGAGGCCACAGTGTAACTCTTGTAGCTATGTAGATGGATTTATTCCACTCTTCTTTTTCAAAGTTGTTTTAGCTATTCTAGTTCCTTTGCATTTCCATAGACATTTTAAAATAATCTTATCTATATCTATAATAAAATATAGTTGGAACTTTTTTACAGCAGTTGCATTGTGTATCAACTTAGGGAATAATGACATTTCTACTGCTTGAATCTTCCAGTCCATGAATGTGACATCTCGTTCCATGTATCTAAATGTTTGATTTTATTCGTGTCCGTTTTGTAGTTGTCAGCATACACACCCTGTACATATTCTGTTAGATTTACAGTTAAAGTTGTTGAGGTTTTTTTTCTTTGCAATTGTAAGTGGCACTGTATTTTCAATTTCATCATCAGTGTTCACTGCCTGTTCGTACAGCGATTTCTGTGTGTTGACTTTGTATCCTACAATGTTGCTAAACTCCCTTTCACTGATTTCTTGGAGGAGTTTCCCATGTAGAAAGCCATGTCATCTGCAAATAAGGACAGCTTTATCTCTTCCTTTCCAATCTATGTGTCTTTTTTTTCCTTTTCTCAGGCTAGAACTTATTATACAGGCTAGAACTACCAGCAGTATTAGTGAGTGCTAACAGTAGACATCTTTACTGTGTCCCATATCTTGGGAGAAAGCATTCAATTCTTAATCATTAATTCAGTGCTTTTCTATTTTTATAATGTAAAATTATATGACTCTGTCAGCACTGCTTTAGCTAATTTTCACTAATTTTGGTGTGATATAGTTTCATTTTCAGTTTTTTTAAAGAAAAATTTCCCCTTTGGCTCCTGGATTACTTCTGAAATATGCTGTTTAGTTCCAAAGTTTTTGGAGATTTTTGCATTATCTTTCTGTTATTGACTTGTAGTTTGATTCCATTGTGGTCAGAGGTGCATTCCATATATGTTAAATTTCATTAAATATGTTAAAGAATTCCTCCGTGACCCAGGATGTGGTCTGTCTTGATATATTCTAAGGGAGCTTCAAAAAAAAACCTCATATTTCTGCTGTTGTTGGATGAAGTATTCTTTAAAAATGCCAAATAGGTCTTGTTGGTTGGTAGTGGGGTTGAGTTCTACAACCTTGTTGATACTTTAATTGTCTGATCAGTTGTTGAGTGGTATTGAGCTGTCCCACTGTAACTGTGATTTGCCTTTTTCATTTTAGTTCTGTCAACTTTTGCTTCATCCATTTTACAGCTCTGTTTTTAGATGTACACACATTTAGGATTTCAGTGTCTTCTTGGTGGATATGCATTTTTATACTCATGTAATCTTCTCTATCTTGGATTATTTTATTTGCTATGAAATCTGCCTTACATGATATTAATATAGCCATTCCTACTTGATTACTATTTGCATGATCTACATTTTTCATCCATTTACTCTCAGCCTACCTATATTACTACAATTTTAGTGAGTTTTTCATAGATAGGATGTAACTGGGTCATGTTTATTAATCAATCTTACCAATCTCTATCTTTTAAATAATGTATTTAGGCCTTTTAAATTTAATGTAATTATTCACATCTTGGAGCATCAGTCTCCTATTTTATTTTTGTTTTCTATCAGTTTTTATTTTCCCATGTGTTTTCTACTTTTCTGTGGGTTACTTAAATATTTTTTTAGGATTTCCATTTTGATTTATGTATGGTACATTAAAGTGTATCCTTTCAGGTGGTTGCTTTTTTTTTTACTGTTTTCTTTTTCAGTACCCGGAATCAAACTCAGAACCTCACGCTTGCCAGGCAGACACTGCACCACTGAGCTACATCCCCAGCCCTAAGTGCTTGCTTTAGATATTATGTGTCATACATATTACTATTTCCATATTTGTATATATACTTTAAACAAAGCATAGAAATCTTTTATATCATTTGCCCTTTCCCACTTGTAATATAATTTTCTCAAATATTTTCTCTACATACCACATCAGAGAGTGTTACAAATTTTGCCTTGATTATCAAATATATTTTAGCAAACTCAGGCAGAGGGAAATTGTATTTGCCCACATTATTGCTTATTATTCTTTAACCCTTCCTGACATCCCAAGGTTTCTTCTTTTGTCATTTCCTTTCTGTTCGGAGGACTTCTTTCAATCATTCCTTCAGAGCAGTCTACTGACAGTTCTCTTCCTCTCCTGCGTGTGAGGATGCCTTGATCTCCCTGTTACTCAGTGAGCGTCTGTTGCTGGGTGGGAAGCTCTGGTTGACATTCTTCCCTCTGGGCACTGGGAGAGGCTGTGCCCCTTCTTGCTGGCCGCCTTAGTTTCAGATGAGAAATCCACTGTCATCTGAATTGTTTTGGTCCTAAGGTAGCATGTTGTTTCCTTTTTGTTGCTCTGAAGGTTTTATTGCCTTTGGTTTCCAGAAATTTGATACCAAGATGTGTCTTGATGTGGATTTGTTCTGTTTTGAGTTTTTTCAGCTTATCTATAAGTGTCTGTCTCTTGCCCAATTTATGAACTTTCCAACTATCATTTATTTTATTACTTTTTTAGCACTACCTCTTTGTCTTTTCTTTCCAGGACTCTGATGACAAAAATATTAGACTTTTTGTCACAGTTCCTCTGGCTCCCAGACCCTGTTCATTTTTCTTCTTTATTGGAGACAGGGTCTCACTGCACAGCCCAGGCTGGCCTCGAACTCACAGCAGCAACCCCCTGCCTCTGCTCCTGAGTGCGCACCACCACACCTGGTAGTCCCGCCCAGTTTCTTCGTCCATTTTCTGTCCGTTCTTGTCTGAGTAATTTCCTGGACCTGTCTCCAAACTCATTGACGTACTCCTCTGTTATCTCCATTATGTTGCTGGGCCCATCCACTGAGGTGGGGATTTTTTCAATTGTATTTTTCAGTTCTAAAGGGTCTGCCTGGCTCTGCTTTGTGTCTTCTATGTCTTCACTGAGACTTTGCTTCCCTGCTTGTTTCAGGTTGTGTTCACAATTGCTCATTGAAGCACTTTTTTGTTTTATTTTCAGAGCAACTTTTTAAAAATAATTTTAAAATTTTATTAGCACATGTTTGCAGTTGGTGCATTTTGCAGTCCTCTCAAGGAGGGGTTACACGCACACACCACAGTCTGTGTCCCTGTGTTTTTGTATGACGGCTGACATCTCTGTCACCTCAGGGTTGGCATCTATTATCTTCTCTCCTTAGTATGATAAGTGACTTTGGATTGAAACGTGGACATTTTGGGCATTGCATTATGAGAACACAGTGTCTTTAAATGTTCTGCTTCTGGTGGCTTCTTTCTACTCAGGCAGGACTGGGCGGAGAGAGGAAAGGCTCTTCTAGGGGCTTGTTGGCCTGCATCTATTGACATTTCTGGATTGCTGAGTTCTTCAGTTCTAGCCTGGGTAGATGAGGTAAAAGGAAACCCTGGTGTCATTTCTTCAGCTATGATGTCCCTAGATGATCTGCTTTCTTCTCGCCACCTTTCAGAGTTGTCTTATGTTTGTTTTGAATATAACACCCAAGGCTTTTAGTTTTACTTAGCAGGAGGATTAGGTAAAAGTACATCTACCCCATCTTCTTGGAAGTGATGACCATTTATATTTCACCATGCTTTTGCTGTTCTAGTCAACGAAACTGGGCCAAAAAAATTACAGAAAAGATAGAATCATGGTTTCTCAATGGACTTTGTATGTGTGTATGTGTGTGTGTGTGTGTAATGTGTATACATATGTGTGTTGGGGATTGAACAGAGGGCCTCATACATGCTAAGCATGCACTCTACCCCTCACCTACAATAGCCCTAACCCCCAGGATAACTTTTGGTGTAGGACAGTCATGGGATTATAGTCTGCTTAGCAGAATCCCTGGCCACTACTCACTGGCTGTCAGTAGCACCCTCTCCCACCCTTCCTGCCATTATGACAACCAAAATACCTCTAGTCTTTGCCAAATGTGCCCTGGAGGGCAGCTATAACTAATTTAGGAACCACTGTATAGATACCGAAGAGGAGATAGCTTATCTTCATTTTTGGATGACTTGGTTGTTTACCTGGACATTCTGTTAGAATACTGGGAAGTTAAGTATACACAGTCACCCTTTAGTATCTTTGGAGAGTTAGTTCCATCATTCAATATCTGAGATGCTTGTGTCCCTTATATAAAATGGTATAATATTTCAATCATGTCCAAGTTACTCATAACACCTAATGCAATGGAACGCTGTCTAAACAGCTATAGTGTTTAGGAAACAATGAGTGACGAGAAAGAAACTCTGTATAGGTTCACTGCAGATGTGAATTTTTTATTCAGATACTTTCAACTATGGGTAATTGAAACTGTAAAAGCAGAACCTGTGTACACAGAGGATTGACGTGTGTGTGCATGTGTGTGTGTGTGTGTGTGTGTGTGTATAACTAAACAAATATCAAAAGTTCTGAGTTACTTGGACTGGGCATATCTAAGGAATCAATAAATGGAAGATTTTTAGATGGTTTTAACATGGCTGTGACCTACTGGTCTAAACTTAAGACAGTTCTCCAAGAAAGTTACTAGAAGTGAAAAGAAGACTCAGCCGACTGGGCAATGAGAGCTCTATGTGGCCTAAATCACCTGGGACCGCCTCTGTCCCCCAAAGCCCAAAGTTCAGATTCTCCTTTCTAGGTCCAGCTTGGGCTAAGGGCCATAAGGAGGGTTTTATTCCTTCACAGATCTTGGAGTTAAGGAAGGATTTCTTGATTATCTCAAAAACTATAATGTCCCCATCCTGAAAGTTGCGTTACTGCCGGTAGACTTCTTGTTCCTAACCAGCCTGTGTACCATTTGTTCTGTACAGGCTTCTGGGAAAGTACTTACCCCGGCAGCTTGTCATCCCTCTTCCTTCCCAATCAGGTCCCCGGGCCTTCCAAACATCTGGCTTGTTACATACCTCCTGCTCTCATCCTTCCCTCCCCTAGGAAGGAGTTTCTGAGGCAGAGGCAGGCAGCTGTGACCCTCCAAGCTGGGTGGCGAGGCTACTGCAACAGGAGGAATTTCAAGCTGGTGAGAGAAAGCTCGGGAGGCTGTGCCTTTGGGAGCAGTGGGTAGATTTTAAGAGTCTGTTTCCCTGATTAGAGACCTCAGGCACAAACAGTCCCATCCCTAACTCATGGAGTATAGATTTTAAATGACAGACATCCACACCCACATGCTCACCTTTCAGACCCGTGCTCATGTTCTTCTGCAGAGTTCAGGGCATCCCCAGAGCTAGACTGAGGAATCTTGCTCTGAAATGAGATCAGTTCTCTTTTTTCCCAACTTGCAGGCAACCACACGAAAGCAAGCAATTGTGGTCACACTCAGTTAAGCCTCACTTAACTTTGTTATGGCCATGATTGTGGTTGGGACATAAAATGGTCACATTAACAAAATGAGCCTCAAGGCTTTCTGCATTCCATGTTCATGTAGCGTGTGATGGTGGCCAATGTATATGGAGAGGCTGCCTGGGACCTGTTGTTTTATTTACTATTAAACCAACACTATAAGTCAAAACACTGAGGCATGGAAGAAATCGGTAGAGTTTCCAAGAGCACACAGTTAGCAGTGAGCTGACATTTGGATGTGAGTCTACACGACTTCCATGGCCTAAGCTGACTCACACTGGCTTGATCTCTGAGTAGCCAGCAAAGCTGGTCCCATGTGCTCAGGAACAGTTGTGACCAGAGGATATTTACAGCATACAAATGGCCATACACATACTTCTTACTTTCCTTCTGTTTTAAAGACCCCAGAGGTTAGCTTGATGGAGCCACCCACAGCCCCAAACCCAGCCCACACTGTATAGTCCCATGGCGGACACAGTGGCTGGACTTGGCTGGCAGTAGCAGTGAAAAGAAAGTCTCTGGAATCAAATTGCTCGTGTGAAACCCAAGCCAGTTCTTCCTTCCTGGCCCCCAGGAGGCCACTTTATGATTTTACAAATGCTTAGTTAGCACTTACTTGCATAGCAGACTCTTTTCTAAGGACTTTACAAGCAATGATTCACTTGATAGACTCGTGCCCGTATGTAGCACTGGCCCTCTACCAAGAAGTAGGTGCCTGTCCAGCTAACTTCCAGGGTCTCCTGGGAACTGCCACTTGGTGTTCCTTAGGAAGGCCTCTGGTTCTGAGCCCTCCTCCTTCCTGGCCCCTCAGATCCTGCTGGGCTTTGAACGCCTGCAGGCCATTGCCCGGAGCCACATACTGGTGAGACAGTTCCAGGCCATGCGGCAGAGGATAGTGCAACTGCAGGCCCGCTGCAGGGGCTACATGGTGCGCCAGCAAGTCCAGGCGAAGAGGAGGGCAGTGGTGGTCATCCAAGCACATGCCCGGGGCATGGCTGCTCGGCGGTGCTTCCAGCAGCAGAAAGCCAGCGTGGGTAGTCATCCAGCCTCTGGACAGGTGGGACTGGCTGGGGCCTGCGTGGGCGAGAGCAGAGGGGAGGAGAGAGTGAAGAGCTCTTCTCAGAGTCCCCTTTCAAAAGTCCACACTTCCAAGCCAAGATGTTTAAATCTGTTCCAATCATTCAAGACCACAGCAAGGATACAGAAGTCAGATTAGGCCTGCCATTGAAATCATACAAAAGGCACCTCGTCCCTCTCCTCATCCCAAGTCAGTAGGGCAGGGGCCATCGCACCATCTGGAAGACTCAGCCACCGCCTAGGGCCTTGCAGAGAGTAGCATGAATAGGCAACAGAGGAGGGGAGAGCCTCGTACCTGTACCCTGGAAGTGGAACTCCTCAGGCCCTTCCCTGTAGTAAGCCTTCGGGACAGTTTCTTCGCAGGGAGAGTTTCCTGGAAGGCACAGAAAACTTGGGCCATATGAGCTATAGAAGGCCGTGGCTCCATGTGGGAGAGCAGAGGTCTGGGTACAGGGCTGTGTGTGACAGCTCAGGTGACAGTTTTCTGGGAGGTCGGGAGGATAGGGAGCATCGTTCCAGCTCCAAGAAGCATGCTCCTTGAAATCTCACTCTTACATGATCCCATTCCCTCTATGAATTGTTCTAGACTTAACTTCATTGCTTTTCACTTAGCTCATTTGGAAACTGTGCTAAGGCAAAAGAACTAGGGTGACATTTACCTCTGTCCCACAGATGCAAATTAGGTCTACTGCATAAAATGCACAGGCCAGATGAGACAGCAGATGCTCAGACAAGTCAGCAGAATGCTTCTGCTCTGGTGACCCAGCTTGGCTGCAGGGTACCCTGACCTGTACACTCTTTAATATAGGCCTGGACCTCCCTCGGAGGACCCCAGATGCACTGTGAATGAAGGGACCTAAGTGGTGGTTTGGGGCTTCCTGGAGTTTAAGGTGCTGCTGCAGGGATCAGACCAATAATTTCACCTCTCTCCAGACCTCTAGTTATCACTGGGAAATGAAAACTCCTGGCTGATCTCTATTCATCTTAGCTATCTTTGCTTTGGACAAATCATGGTAGGACAGGGTTTACCTGGCTTCTGGAAGATACTTGTCCTGTGAGAGTAGACAGAGTGGAACCCTTTTAGCCCAGCCTGTAGGTCACCATCTCCCCACCTGCGTGTGCAGGGACCTGTGATCATCCCAGCTGAAGAGCAGAAGGATCAAAGCGCTCTCCCTACCAAGAAGCGCGAGTCCATTTACGACACTGTCACTGACACAGAGATGGTAGAGCAAGTGTTTGGCTTCCTTCCGTCCATGATTGGGGGCCAGGAAGGCCAGGCCCCTGCACGCTTTGAGGTAAGACAGCCCTAGGGGGTGGCCAAGCCCTTGGCTCTTGGCGAAGCTGCCCCAGGGAGCATCCAGGTGAGTTTTGCTCTTTCAGTAGCTATGCAAAAAGCAGGCGGGCAGTCGAGTGGTCAGACCCTTCAAAGCCAAGGAGCTTGTTCCCCTGTAAGACTTCCTGGAGCCCCCACGGATATGCTTTCAGCCAGGCAGCACTTCCCACACATGTCTCAAGCCCTTCAGGCTGCTGCTGTGCAGATGCGGCCCAAGAGCCAGGATGCAGAGGATGCACCTGAGGCAATAGCGTGTGGGGTTGGGGCGGTGGCAGGGAGCAGGAGCTGTGTCTAGGACTTTGCTGTGGACCCTTATCCTACCCTAGATGCTGGAGACCTGCACACTGCCCCAACCTCGGTGCTCGAGGCCTCTGTGCAGTGGACCCCTTCCTCAGGAGGAGCACTGCCCTGCCTTGCTGGTGTGCAGCGAGGCAGAGAGGAGGGCTGGGGTGGAGTGCACAAGGCTCCTGCCTGCAGGGCAGGAAGGCCAAGGCCGTGCACACACAGCCCACTGCCCTCCACCAAGTGTGGGAGTTGGGGGAGGGTTCAACCCCAGAGCCCAGGCAGATGCCTCTGCACCTGGCAGTACCCAGATAGAACCACCTCAGGCTCCCTAGACCCCAGCACTGCTCCCCTGCTGGACAGCTAGCCAAAGACTCAGCTGTTATCTAAAAAGACTCACTTCTTCCCTCAACCATCCCCAGGATCTGGAAACCAAAAGCCCCAAACTGCCCAAGATTGACCTGGAAACCAAGACCCCAAAACTGCCTGAGATTGACTTGGACACAGTCCCCATGGTGGAGGAGCCAGAGGAGGACACGGATGGCCTGGCAGAGTACACCTTTCCCAAGTTCGCTGTGACTTACTTCCAGAAATCAGCCAGCCACACACACATCCGGCGGCTTCTCCGCTACCCACTGCTTTACCACGACAATAACACCGACTACTTGGTACCCAGTTGTTCTCGGGCTCCCAGTGGCTCAGCTGCCCCAGAGCCCCGAGCTGAGGTTCAGAGGGAAGGAGCTCTGGTTTAAGGGTGCTGACAGCAGGCTGCAGTCAGCCCTGTCTCCTTCCCCAGGCCGCCCTGGCCGTGTGGACCATCATCCTGAGGTTCATGGGTGACCTGCCGGAGCCGGTGCTGTATGCCAAGAACAGCCTGCGGAGCAGCCCGGTGATGCGGCAGATCCACAGCAGGCTGGGCCAGGAGGGCGCAGCGGAGGGTCCCCAGCACAGTGGGTCTGTGCAGGTGAGTGGTGTGAGGGCGGTGAGTAGTGGTCTGGGCAGGACAGAGGTGGACACAGGTTCCTCTCCTAAGGGCCACCCAGAGCCGCCCCCAAGCCAGAGCACCTGGGCATGCTCAGTCCTGAGTTGTACTTGTGAACTCATGAATTAAGAATCATACCCAAGACAGTTTGCATTATGCAGTCATTAATGGAGGAAGTCCCCTGGACTCTGAATATTGGTTAGACTTGCAGTGAATTCAAATGTGTACAACAACAATAATAGCAACCGATGCTGTTGTTGACTGACTGCCTGCTATGTGCCTGTTGCTTCTCTTTGTTTAGTTCCCAGCTGACCCATCCCTACAAGTTAAGAGTTAGTGTGTTTGTTTATAGTGAGAGAAATGGAGAGGTGAAGTGACTTGGCCCAGGTCACAGCGAGGGTGAGTGTGGGAGCTGGCTTTGCACCCATTCTGTTGAATTCAGAGACCACTTTCTTGCCTCTCACCTGACAGTGTCCCCTGCTGGGAGGTTAATTCACATCCGCTTCTGCTCAGAGGTGCTCAGCAAGGCCCAGTTAGTTCCCCGAGGAAATCTCGGTGGAGCTCACCAGAGGGGTGCACAGCAGTGACGGCAACCTGGCCACTGGCTGCAGGGCCCTGTGTGCCCCATGCACTGACTGCATAGCTTAAGGGCAGGTCTGTCACAAGGCCTTGTCCCGGATTGCTAGAGGCACAGTCTCCACCAGAGTGCTAGAGAGCTATCACCATGTGATGAGTTACCCCCCAAACAGCACTTGTCTATTATCTCACAGGATTTCTCATAGCCAGGAACAGCTTAGCTGGTTAGTTCTGGTTCAGAGTCTCTCAGGAGGTTGCTGTGAACATGTCACCCAGAGCTGGTGTCACCTGAAGGCATGACTGGGCTGGAGGGTCCACTCCCAAGATGGCCATTCATGTGTCTGCTGACAGGAGGCCTCTGTGCCTGGCGCGTGGACCTCTTCACAGAGCCACCCGCACAGCGAGTCTTCCCCCAGACAGAGTGACCCAGGCAGGAGAGCAGAAGAAAGACGCAGTGTCCAGGCATGAAAGTCACAGGGCACACAGGGCAGGAGTGTCAGGGGCAGGCGTCCCTAGAGGTCACCTTGGAGGCTGGCGGCCCCTCGGGAAAGGGGCTCTGGGAGGTAGTGTACCCACACTGCATCCCTGGAGGTGACACTGGATGCAGAATTCTTCCCAGGTAGGGTTTCCTGCTTGCACATGTGCCCCACTCACAGAGCCCTGAGCCACAAGCCTATCCACCTCCCAGAGCGTGTCAGCCAGCGTTGCCCGTTCAGTCTCCAAACCAGCTTTGTCCCAACCAGAAGCCAGAGCCCAGGCCCACAGTGAGCTTTAATTTGGACAGCAAATTCTTTTCATGACAAGGTGTGACCTCCACCTAAGGAGATCACAGACCCTAATAGCTATGGGCAAATCAAGCCAGGAACATCTGAGCAACAGGGACACTTGCTCTACGTTAGGTGACTGGAGGGTCAGTAGCACTGAGGGACCACTTAGGCTCCCTTCTCCTGCTGCCTGTGTTTTTCCACAGAGACTGAGCCACAAGGATAGAGGGACCAAAGACATCTCTTCCATGAAGCTGAAGCGGTCCTCCCGCATCACAGGCCAGGTGAGCCTGGGGCAAGGGCCCAGCCTGCTTCCGGCTTCCGAGCTATTGCTTCTGCCCCTGGGTGTAGGACCCTCCTTGGCAAATGGGGAGAATTGCAGCTGTCTTCACAGCCATCTTTGGGCTTCAAGGTGGCCAGCCAGCTGAGTACAGGAGAGGAGGACTTTGACCCCGATGGCCCCATCTCAGACAGACCCATGTCCAACCTGGAGAAGGTGCACTTCATCGTGGGCTATGCCATCCTTCGGTCCGGCCTCAGGTCAGTGCCCACTGCTACCCCACTCCACCCAGAGCCCCAAGCTCCCCACTGACTCTCAGCCCAAGGCCACAGCCTCCTGCCTGTCCCTAAGAAACCCCTTCTTCTGTTCCTTGGCCTGGGGCCTGAAGCCTCAGCCTAGGACAGCAGATGACAGCCACTGAGTATTCTCTACTTGCTGTGGATTAAGAAACCCATGCATAAAACCCAGTTTTAGGAAAGATTTATTGTGTTGGCTCTAGTGTAGGAGTCTGAAAATGAGCATGTTCCTCACTTACATTATATGTTGTTACTTTACAAGTTAGATTTTTATGCAAATTCTAAGAAAAAGTATACTACTTTATGGGAAGGACTGCAGTATTGTAGGGAGTTGCTTATTTTATTATTTTTAACCAAACTGGAGAAATGTTGGTCATTGTTTCTTCAAATATTCTCTTTCTCTCCCCTCTCCCAACCCATTCAAACTCTAATTAAACCTATATAAAACTTTATATGACTGTCCCTCAGGTCCCTAGGAGTCTGTTCATCTTTTCTTTCTTTTTTTTTCCTCTGTTCTTTAGATTGGATGGTTCCCATTGGTTGATCTTCAAATGTACCCATCTGTCTTCCTCAATCTACTGCTAATATATTATATTATAGCTTAAGTTATATCTGTATTATTATATTTTTCCTGCACATTATTACCTATCTGCCAAGATTCTCTACTTGTTTATTTGCTATGTTTCTAGTTTCTTTTATGTCCTTGAGTATAGTTATGGTGGTTTTTAGGTCATTTCTGAAAATTTGACGTCCAGATCATACCAGAGTCAGTCTCTACTGGCTGTTTTGCTTGAGGGTGGTCATGTTTTCCCATTTCCTGATAAGTCAGTCTTTTGGATTGTATCCTAGATGTTGAGGATGATAGAGACTTTGGATTCTGTTATGTTCTTTCAAAAAGTGTAGAGTTTTTTGTTTTAGCAGACAATTAATTTGAATTCAAATATGTCTCTTCCACAGTGAGCATCAGGTGGAATTCATATTCAGTCTATCTCACCATGCACAGACACGGGCTCAGCAGCCATTTAGGGAGGTTTTGTATGCAGAATGTAGCACTCTTTTCTGGTGTTCTTCATTCCAGGATTATGTTTCTCACACTCATGCTGATGGGGACACCCCAAACTCTGCCTCTGCTTCTTCAAACCAGTAAGACAATAGGTCCTCCACCCAAGCGCTAGCCTATGTAACCCCACCTGGGCAAGTTCTCTGACCCAGTTAGTCTGCTGCTAGTTTCTCTCACGTTAATCCTTGCCAGCCACCACCTCCTCCAAGCAGCTGTGTCCAAATGAGGTGCATCATGGGTTCTTCAGATCCCTCTACAGGTAGTGCCGCTCAGTGCAGCATCCAGCAGGGCCAACACTTCACTGACCCCTGGGATCTCCTGTTGACTCCAGCCCCAGTGAAACATCTCACAGCCTTTGGCTGCTGATTCTCCTGGAATAATAGGCTGCCTACTTGTGTGGGACCCCACCAAGATGCCCAGGTGTCAGCTCTTTCCACGGCATCCTCATGTCACACTCTTGTACGCCTCACCACATGGTGCAGCTCCCAGACCTTGACTCTTCTGAAGGCCTCAGGATTTGCTAGAAGGAACCCGTCCCTAGTCTCTTTGTTCATGGAGGCCCTCAACTACAAGAGCAACAAGTCATAATCTTACAAGGGCTCTGTCAGCATGCTCCAGTGCAGTAGCTTGGTCTGGGAACAGGTGGGAGGCAATGGGATTCTGGAGCTCAGCATGCTTCAGATGGGAGGGAAATGGGTCTCATCTCTAGAAGGCAGCCCCATCCTAACAGCAGCTGTCTTAGGGTTCCCCTCACTCCTCCCTCACTTGAAACAGTGGGAACAGGCCACAGATCTCTCTGTCCCCAAGAATTTCTTTCCAGAAGTCACCTTCCAAATTCCTGGCTAGAAGTAGCATGGTGGCAGACTTGTTCTGCTATCTTTTAGGAAATCCTAGAAGAATGTATCTCTTTAGAATGTTGGGTACTACCACCCATTTGTCTTTGGATCTGAGATCTTAACCAAATTCTAAGATAAAACAAATGTTCCATATCTGCCACACATTTGATATATCTCATTACATCCTTGCTCAGAGTAAAGCTCTGGCCTGAGGTTTGGGGATGCACAGATGAAGAAAACAGGTCTCGATTCTTAGAGAACTTACCCTTTAGTTGGGGGCTGTATTAGTCAGCTTTCCATTACTATGACAAAATACCTGAGGCAGTCAATTTATAACTAAGAAAGATTTGTTTGGGCTCATGGTTTCAGGGGTTTTTGTCCATGGTCACTTGATCCTATTGTTTTGGGCCTGTGGTCCATCATGGTTGGAGCATGTGGGGAAGGAAGCTGCTCACCTCATGGCCAGGAAGCAAAGCAGAGAGAGGCAGGGAGCAGGGCTTACAGCCCCCAGTGGCATAACTTCTTCCCTCTGGGGGGCCACATCCCAAAGATTCCACCACCTCTCTGTAGTGTCACAGGCTGACAACCAGCCCCTTAACACATGGGCCTTTGGGAGACATTCATCCAAACCAAGAATGGGGGCATGAAAGGACCAACAAACTCCCAAGAGTATGTGCTCAGGTTGGGGCCTGCTCAGAACTTGTGGGGCTATAAAAAGAAGTGGTCTTAATGCCCTCCTGGGCAAGGAAGGAAGGAGCAGGATGTTTACCAGACAGGATGAATAGGTCTCAGAGCTTTCAAACAGCCACAGGGGTCTGAAGTTCTAAGTGGTTTGTCACAGCAAAGATATGGAGTCTGGGTTCCATTCTAAGGGCAGTGGGAGAAAGTTTTAAGCAGAAGACAATAATCGTACATAATTTACAGATAGCTCTCTCTGGTATTGATATGGAAAGGAGAGCCTGGGAGTGGAGGCTGAGAAGGGGCTGTGGCTGAGGTCTAGAGCCAGCTTATGAGGAATGGCTCAGGGAACAGGAAAGACACCCAGGACACAGGTAGTAGGACATGGTGGCTGATGAGATGTGGAGGATGGAGGGGCAGGAGGAGTTTAAAGTGACTCCCAGATTCCTAGGAGGGATGCGTGGCAGTGCCTGTAGAGGGCAGACAGAGGAGAGGTGCTGGAGCCAGCCCTCACCAGCCCTCAAGAGCCAGGTGTGTGCATCTCTTTCCAACTCCGTGCTCAGAAATGTCACAGCGGCAACTTAAAATTGGCCTTGGTGGGAACATTCACACCACAGACGACAGCAAATGCAGAGAAGCTGGGGAAACTGGTGGGTAGACATTCACCCACCCAGCGCTGAGCACTAGGGAACGTGCCGGCTTCTGACACACGGGGACCGGGAGGCTGGGGAAGCCAAAGGGTCCAGGAGAGCCTCACCAAGAGGAGATGCGAGGGGGGTCATGAACCTGTGGGAAGGGGGCGGTCAGGAGGTGAGGGCTGAAGGGTTCTCCCATGAGACTCCCTTCCTGCTAGGGAAGGGGGCGTGGTCACTGGGTAGAGGGAGAAGTAACTGTCTGAAATAACGGTGAGGTCTGGAAAGGAGCAGGTCGACTTACACAAGAAGCAGGGCAGAGAAGGCTGCGGCAGCAACATGGAGTGAGGGTGTGGTGGGCAGAGGGTGTGAGGGAGAGAGCAGAGCGCAACAGAAGGAGATACCTGGGCGTGGCCTCTGTGAGCTGGGAAATGGGGGCCGGATGGAGTGGAGCACAGAGCCCTGGGGATCTCAGAGGGGGCTGGGGAGAGCTGGGGGCTGAGGCGTGCCCCACAGGCGAGCGCCCATCTGGAACGTCTGTCTGCGGCTCAGAGCCAGCCCCAGCCCACCCCCTGCTGTGTCTTCCAGGGATGAGATTTACTGCCAGATCTGCAAGCAGCTCTCGGAGAACCCGAAAGCAAGCAGCCGGGCTCGGGGCTGGATCCTGCTCAGCCTCTGCCTGGGCTGCTTTCCGCCCTCTGAGCGGTTCCTGAAGGTGGGCGGACGGGGGCTGGGTGGTCGCAGCAGGAAAGTGGGTGGGCCCAGTCCTGGGCAGGTCCAGAAACCTCAACCCGTGACTGGGTTTTCTGCACCTACAAGCTGATGGCAGCAGTACCTGCGCTTCTCTGGGCCTCAGCTTCCCCAGTCAGTAAAAGATAGCACTTTGCCTGGCTCCTTCCATCCCTAGCCAGGGACTGTGGGGGCTCAGAAACCACAGTGGCTTTTCAAAACCAAAAGAAGGAAGGTGACATGCACCTCAAGGTGACAGGTGTCCAGGAGGGGGCTCCTGCTGGACATGGGTTGTCATGCCTCTTCCTACTCCTTAGAACTGCAAATGCAGGCTATGGGCAAGAGCTTCCAAGTATTCACGGCCCCAGGCTTTGCTGCCTTATTATACCTTTTAGTTATGATGATAAAAATAGTATGGGATTGTAGTGTGTCTAAAAAGAAAATGAAGGTCACACCCACAGCCAGAGATGACCTGAGCTAATATTTTCTTCTGGCTTCTTGTTGGTGCCACACCTGGGGTCATATAGGAAACACTCACTTGCTCACAAGTCCCTGTAGTGACAGCAGAAATGTGGTCACCCAGCCACCTATCCTGGGCACTTGGGCCAGGACACTGACTCCAGTAAACCCTCCCAGGCTGGCTCCCTCACCTCCATCAGACAAAATCATTTTCATATGTTTGTCCAACATATTGTGGACATTGGCATTTTCCCTATTTGTCTCCATGAGTTTCCTCCTGGAGCGAGTTTCCCCAGTGCAGCTTCAGTGTCTGAGCAACCCCAGAAGGTATGAACTTGTGGGTGGATATTTAAGGTCCACCATCTGATTGCTCATTGCCATAGATACCAATCCCTGCAATCAAAAACTACAGGTTTTTGTTCTTAGGATAGGTTTGAATAATGGGGCCAAACAATGTGCCTATTTTAAAACTATGCACTATTTAAAACATATTGCTCAAATGTGCCTCTGAAATGTACCAATTTATATCTGGAGATGGGGGCATTTGCCTATAATCCCAGCACTTAGGAGGCTGAGGCAGGAGAATCATCACAGGTAGCTTGTGCTACATAGTGAATTCAAGACCAGCTTAAACTACATAGGAAGACCCTCTATCCAAAAAAAAGTACCAGTTTACATTCTGTCTCATGATGAATGGAGAACACCCTTCCAAATGCACCTTTACAAACTGAGAGTGATCTTTTTAAAACTTGTCTGGGCAGAAAGTAGAAATCAACCTCCATTTTGAGTGTCTCCCCTTCTTTGTTTGTACCCCAGTACCTGCTGAACTTTATTGGCCAAGGGCCGGCTGGCTACGGACCATTCTGTGCAGAGCGCCTGCGGCGCACCTGTGCTAATGGAGTCCGCACGGAGCCTCCCACCTGGCTGGAGCTGCAGGTAGGGACTGGCAGGGGTGGTGATGGGTAGTGTGGGGGTGGCGCAGCTGATGGGGTGACCTGCTTTCAGTGTTCCTCTGTCTCCTCCAAGGCACCGTCTGTGCCAAGGTCCCTTGAGCTCTGGAGCTCCACCTCCCCCATCTGAACCAACCATCCTTTCTGTGCTCCTGGATGAGGGAAATGAATCTGACACTAGCAGGATGGTGTGACTGATGCTAGTGGCTTCGAGGTTACCCCTCCAGAAGTGCTTGACTTGTCAGGAGCGCAGCGGCCTTGCCAAGGTTGTCTTCCTTGGTGCATTGCTGCTGGGAATGAGTGCCACCTTGTCCTGCTTTGGCAGCTGGAACACTGGCCAGTTCTAGAAGCGTCCTCAGGAAGGGTTGCTCGAGTGGCCAGGGTGGAAGGGCATCCTACCCTAGCTCTACCCCCATCTTTGGTCCCAGCCCAAGCCTGAAAGGTGTGTGTGGGCCTGTAGTGCCCTGTACTGGGGTCCCAGGGTCACCCCCAGGGAACCCCGTCTTGCTCTCACTATGTCCCAACTCTGCAGGGATGAGCCCTGGAATTGTAGGTGAACTTGTATCAGCTGGAAATATACACACAGTGCTGTACATAGGAGCTCAGGACCAAAAATGTTCCCAAGGAGTTGCCTTGTGTGAGTCTGAGTCACTTAACCTCACCAAGCTGAGTGAAGGACCACACGGCTTGTTACGGCCTCCAGGGCTGCCAAGGCAAACTTGGAGAAGCCCGAAAACCTCAGATGTGCATGGCAGCATTTTTTTTGCTCCCGGCCAGCTGCAGGCCTGAACTTTATTAACGCTGTGCTGAGTCCCTTGGGGCCCCAGGAGGGTGGGCAGGTGGGGTAGGAATGGTGGACAGGCCTCTGGTCCATGGCCTCTTGGATCTAAGGCAGTCAGCCAGGGCCTCCAGCCAGGGACGCTGCGTCTCAATCTGCTCCTAGGCCGTCAAGTCCAAGAAGCACATCCCCATCCAAGTGATCCTGGTGACTGGGCAGAACCTGACCATCACCGTGGACTCGGCCTCCACATCTCGGGAGGTCTGCCTGCACATCGCCCAAAAGCAGGAGATCACCGACCACCTGGGCTTTTCCCTCCAGGTCGCTGTGTATGACAAGGTACTGACCAAGGCACACAGCCAGGTGACACAGCCAGCACCAATGTCTGCCTCCGTGGGAGGGGCCGCAGGGAAGTGTGTCTGGACCGATGGGCAGGCTGTGGCCCTCCCAGCCTGGGCTGATGTGGCCTGTGCTGAGAGTGGCTGTCCCTGGGGTGTGGCACACAGGCAGCTGCTTAACCCTGCTGCCCGACTCTATCCTCAGTTCTGGTCCCTGGGCAGCGGGCGAGACCACGTGATGGATGCTGTGGCCCAGTGTGAACAGTTGGCCCAGGAGAGGGGCGAGAGCCAGCGCCAGTCGCCCTGGCGCATCTACTTCCGGAAGGAGTTCTTCACCCCCTGGCATGACTCCCAGGAGGATCCTATCAGCACCAAGCTCATTTACCGTCAAGTCCTCCATGGAGTCTGGTCTGGCGAGTACAGCTTTGAGAGGGTGAGGAACCTGAGGTGGAACCACATTCCAGAGCCAGCCGGGCCTCCACGTCCTCCCCTGGGCCAAAGGTGTGCTCGAGCATCTGAGGCTTTAGTACCAGCAGCAGCAAACAGAGGTGGCCTCCTCACCTCCATCAGCCCAGGCCTGTGAGACCTCGCTCAGCAGCTGTCTATGGAGCAGCAGGGCCTGGAGGTCAAGGATGTGGCCCTGGAGCCCAAGTGCCCAAGTCCAAGTCTCACTGTCTGTCTCCCTGGCAGTGCAACTGTGGGAAATCTTGTCACCTCCCAGCCCTTAGGCCCACACACGGGTACACAGAGTGCCAAGTCGTTGTGAGGATAAGGGACAGCAATGGGGCATCTATGTTCAGAGTACAACAGGAGCAAATCCCCTGTACTGAGTCTGGAAGGCACTTCCTGGGGAAGCAAGGGCGCCGCCGCAGTCCTGGGAGCCTACCTGGAGGGCTGTGGGCCGGGAGCAGGGGCCAGGTGCTGCCAGGGTCCCTGCTGAAGCCCTGCAGTACTGGCCGCTGGTCTCCCGCGTGTGGCAAGGCTAGAGCCAAGGCAGCATAAGGCCTTGTCCAACTGCGCCCCACACAGCAGTGACACGGGCTCCACCTGGGAACCCAGAGAGGAGCCCACTTATCCTCAGCAGAGGCCACAGATGCCCAGAATCCCCTGCTGCCAACAGGGCCTTTGGGGGCCCGGCTAGGCAGGTGGCTCTGGTCCTGCCTAGAGGAGGTGGCTGCACCTGCTGCCCAAGTCCTCCCGAGCTCCTGGTCATCACACTACAGGGGACAGGAGCTGGCCGCAGGGCAGGGGCTCGAGGGGGCCCTCACTTGCTTCCCTTCCCCTGCGTGCCCCCACTGTGCAGGAAGAAGACCTGGTGGAGCTGCTGGCCCAGCACTGCCACGTGCAGCTTGGCACTTCGTCGGGGAGCGAGGCTGTCCAGGGTCTGCTGCCCAGCTGCATCCCTCCCAAGCTGTACAAGACCAAGTCCCCAGAGAAGTGGGCTAGCCTCATCACTGCTGCCCAAGCCAAGGTCAGCTCTGAGCCTGCCCCCAGGCGGGCGCAGCGTGAGGGATGGATTTCTTGGCCCCTGCAGAGCAGGAAAGCTTAAACTGACAGTTAGGGTAGCCCTGACCATGAGGCTTACAGTCTTGCTCAGTTCAGTGCTAAGCACAGGCCCTGCCACCTGCTCCCCTTCCAAGCTGGCATCACTGCTGGGCTCCGTGCCTGTCTGTGCTGCAGCACAGCTAGGCCCTCGCCTCTCTGCCCAAGGGGCCATCCACAGCCACCAACTGCTGCCATTCCGTGGCCTCAGGACAGTCCTGCCTCTGTGGGATCCCTCCCTGTCTCCAGACCTCTCTGTGTCCCCTTCTGAGACACAAGTCAGTGTAGGGACACCGGTCTGGTACATAGTGTATCTGGCCAAGTCACCCAGAAAAGATGCATCCATTCACATCCCCCAAAGCTACTTCTAAAGTAGAAACAAGGGAGATAATATCTGCTCCAACAAACGAGGAAAGGAAAGCTTGGTGTGGACACCCCACCATGGAGGTGGAAGAAAGTGGGCAGAAGAGGAGGGAGGCAAGCCAGAGGAAGGAGAGAACTGGAGGGGAAAGTGCAGAGGGGAGGCCCTGTAAGAACCCTAGAGAAGGAAGACAGAGAGGTCCCAGGAATGAGGGCCGCACAGCAAGGTGGCCTCATGCATGCAACTGGAGCCAAAGGCACACACTGGCGAGAGCAGGCCTGCGTTGGTCAGATTCCCACCACTGTGCCAAAAGACTAGAGATTTAGAAAGAGGAAAGGTTCATTTTGTCTCAGGTGTCAGAGGGTTCAGTCCGTGGTCTGTTGGCTCTGTTTTAGGGCGAGTCAGAGCATCATGGCAAGGAGCATGGGGTATAGCAAAGCTGCTACCTCACAGCAGCCAGGAAAGGAGTGAGGGTAATATACCTTCACAAGCACAGCACAGTGACCTAGCTTCCTCTCACCAGATCCCACCTCCTAAGCTGCCATCACCCCCTCAATAGCACCAGGGCCTTGGGGGTGCATCTAAGATCTAAACCATTCCAAGGCCCAGGATGAGGCCTGCAGCCCATGGGCTCACGGACAGGCAGAGCCTTCTATGCTGAAACACAGCTGGTAGGAGCTGTGCCAAAGCCTCTGGCACACTGCTGCTAATGAAGAGAAGGCCTGCTACCCTTCTGCAGGCACCTCCTGAAGGAGTCTCCCCTAAGACCCAGTAGGGCTGGGCCAAACCCGGAACATCCCCAGAGCATCCTTTGCTAGGCACCGGCTTTCTATAAGGTAGAAGCTTCACAAAATGATCTATCAAATAATCACCCTACACACTGAGCAAGGGACGAGCAACAGGAGGCCGGGTGATGGCAGTGATTCCAGGATCCTCCCACAGGCCCCATACACCAAGACGAGAGCAACGGCGCTGGCGGTGCGGCAGCAGGTAGTGGATGCCGCCCGCCTGCAGTGGCCACTGCTCTTCTCTCGGCTCTTTGAAGTCACCACGCTCTCTGGTAATGGCTCTGCAGGTTGGGGGCGTGTGGGCTGGGCACCCGGGGGCCTGCGCAGTCCTTACTCTGGTTCTCCTCGGCCAGGGCCCCGCCTCCCCAAGACACAGCTGGTCTTGGCTGTCAACTGGAAGGGACTACACTTCCTGGACCAGCGGGAGAGGACAATGCTGGAACTGTCCTTCCCGGAGGTCACAAGTCTGGTCACCAACAGGTGAGGGCCTCTTCCTTCTCACTCACCTCACAAACTGAGTCTTTGGGAGAGACAGGAAAAGAGTGATGTTGGACCAGGGATGTAGCTCAGTGGCACAAGTGCCTGCCTGGCAAGCACAAGGTCCTGAGTTCGATTCCTAGTACCTAAAAAATAAAAACCAAGAGTGGTGTTGTCCCCAAAAGCTGGCTGGAGTGGAGAGACAAGGATCAGCATGTGCAGTGGCCACTGGAATTGGGGATACTGTACCGCCTCACCCTGTTCCTGGCCACACTGCATTTGTACCTTTGCTTCGCCACAAAACCCAGCCCCCCTGGGAAGGTGATGGAGTTCGCCAACTCTCTGGCAGCAGTCACTTAGCAGGCTCCTTCCCTGCTTATGGGTGAGAACTGGCCATGAAGGACAGACAGGTCATCTCCGAGATGGGTGAGGGAACAGACAGCCTTCTAAACACCAGCACCAGGGCTGTCCTGGCTCCTGGCTCCTGGCTCCTGGGACTCTTCCAAGCTCTTCAAGAAGTCCCACCACATCCTACTAGAATGTTCCTAGGTTAAGGCCCACCCCAGTGTGGTGTGACTATTTTAACTGTCACCACTGGTGGGCAGCCAGGGGCACACTGGCTGCCATTCACTGAGGCGGACCATGCTGGACAATGCCTGGCTGCCCTGAAGTCCTCATGGCACTGTGCACCTTGCCAGTGAGGAAAGTGAGGCACACGGAGGCCAGGTTGCTGGCCAGGGTTGCAGGGTGACCCCGCAGCGGAGCCAGCCCCTCACGGCAGTATAGCGCTCCTTGCAGTGCCCTGGTCCAGAGCTACGCCCGCACTCTCGAGCCCTGAGCACTAGTGGTCACTCGCCCACCCACAATGGTGTCTGGGCCTGGGGCCAACCTGGGCTCAGACTCTGATCCTTGAGTGCTTCCAGAGAAGCTACCCTGCGGCTATGGCTCTGGAGGGCCACCCTTCCGGACTGTGGAGGGGCTGAACCAGGGGAGACGCGGGGAGGCCGCTCCTACACCGCACTCTCCACCCCACAGGGGGGCCCAGAGGGGGCAGAGACTGCTGCTGTCCACGCTGCAAGGAGAAGAGTATGAGTTCACCACCCCCAGCAGTGTGGCCATCGCCGAGCTGGTGGCGCTGTTTCTGGAGGGCCTGAGGGAGAGGTCCGTGTTCGCCATGGCCCTGCAGGACCGGAAGGCCACAGGTGCCCACTGGGGGGGCTGTCCTGGGCCACAGGGGGGTGCCGGCCCGTGTTCACCACGGCAGCAACATGGTGCAGAGCAGGCTCGGAGACCAAGCAGAGGGAGGGAAAGAGGGCTGGGTCCCCACACTGCGGGCTGGTATGGAGCCAGGCCCTGCCTCCCGTCAGCTGCTGTTTCCTCTCCCACAGACTGGAAACTGGGGGTGCTGCAGGAGGCCATCTCAAACCCTCCCAAGCTAGCCCTGCTTGCAGAAGCACGGGCAGGGCCGACCCCACCTGGGGGCCTTGTGCACCAGTCCCACAGCCGCCTCGTCATTCCATTGTGCAGACGTGGCTCAGGAAGGGAAGCTCTGCCAGGGCCACCCAGAGCTGGTGGGCAGCCTCGGCAGGTGTGGCAAGACCTCGGGACCTGTGCCTTGAAAGCAAAGTGGAAATGCGGTTCATGCCAGGACTGAGGAGAGGGGATCAGGGATGCAGAAAGAGCGCTCAGTCAGTCCTCACAGCCACCAGGAGGGAGGCACAGCATCTATCTCCATTCTGCAGATGAGGGGATGGGCTCCGAGGCCACCTCAAAGCCTGGCTCAGGGCCGAGGTCAGAGGTCAGGGGGCAGCGGTGACAGGCATGACTCGATCCCGAGTGGCCTCGAAGCCACACTCTGTGCCTCAGTTTCCTCACTGCCTAGAGAGACACTCATGAAAGCCTGCATAGCCTCAGGCCCCTGCAGAGCCCTCAATAAATGTGGCTTCTTTGTTCCTGTATGGGTGACCGGGACCTGCAGATGACATCGCTCTCCTGCCCTTCAAGAAGGGGGACTTGCTGGTCCTGACCAAGAAGCAAGGACTGCTGGCCTCTGAGAACTGGACGCTGGGCCAAAATGACAGGACAGGCAAGACAGGGCTGGTGCCCACAGCCTGCCTCTATGCCATCCCCACGGTGGTCAAGCCCTCCCCCCAGCTGCTGGTGAGTCAGTCACACACTCACCTCTGCCCAGCCAGATGCAGAGGCACAGCGGGGCACCCAGCTGAGGGCCCCCGCCATCAGTCTGTGTCCACCTCAGAGGGGTCCAGAAGCTCTGGAGGGTACAGGCCAGCCCGGCCTGCCTCCAGGGCTGAGTGCGAAGTAGGTGTGGTGTTTATGCAGAACTCCGCACCGGCACTTAGTAGGTGCCTTGTAGATGCAGACCGTACCCCTCTCCTGCTATGGGTATGAGCTAGGGACACACTCATCCTCCCAGCCTCGGCCTTGTTTTCAAACGATCCCATGACTGCAGTGTGCCTGAGGCCCCTTCCACCCTAAGAAGCACTCCACCTCAAACCTCAAAGCAGCCTTTTGGGCAGCCCTTTTAACTTGCACAAACTGAGTGCCCACTGTGTGTCCTGTGCCTGCAATACAGGGATGAACTCGGCAGCAGCACCAGCCCCCAGGGAGGGTGCAGACAAACAGATGGCAGGGTGCACAGTGCCACCGAAAAGCAACGCTGGTTGTTATGGGAACAAATGTAGGGTGGGGCTCTCCCTGTTTGGGGGGCATCTCTGAGGAGGTGATGTGTGGCTCAGGCCTGCAGGGCATTAAGAGGTGCCCGTGAGGAACATGCCCTCAGGAAGGGCAGTGGGGGTTCTGAGAGGCCCAGGGTGGCCACCCACTGAGAGGGGCTGGGCCTGACTCCACAGCCACTGGCAGCAATGGAAGGAGACTTGGAGAGGTTGTGTCCCCAGGCCTGGGTCGCACTGCAGGTGGCACAGAGGGAGGCCAAGGCCAACCCAGCCTTGGAGGCATCCAGGTCAGCATAGCCTACAGAAAGGGCCTCGTGCGAGTGGCTGCCGGGTGCCCACAGGCCTGTGCCCCTACAGAGCTTGCTGGCCATGTCACCAGAGAAGAGGAAACTGGCGGCACAGGAGGGACCCTCAGAGCCACTGCCTGAGGAGCAGCCCAAAGAGAAGCCACACACCCTGGAGGAGTTCTCCTATGAGTTCTTCAGGTGCCCACACCGCTGAGGGCTACAAGGACGCCATGGGGCGGGGGCGGGCCTGCCACGCTCCCCGGGCTGAGGCAGAGCCAGCAGGAGCTCGTGGAGGGGAGGGTCCCTCTGGTGCTCCCACGGCCACCCTGGGAGGTCACGCGGCAGCCTGAGGACAGCACAGCCCTCACGCCAGCCTCCCTCCCTGCAGGACCCCAGAAAAGGAGACTGTCAGCAGAGCCGTGATGCCCCTGGGCCGCACCCAGGGCCACCTGTGGTCCTACTCCTTGGAGCCCCTGCGGCAGCCGCTGCTCAAGCACGTTCATGACAAAGCCGACCTGCGGGATGTCGCCTGCCAGATCTTCCTTGATATCCTTTCCTGCCAGCTGCCCTCCCTGCCCACCAGCCTCGAGCACAGGCACCCACATCCCTCCTGGGCCCACAGAGCACAGAGCGGAGCCAGCGGCAGCTCCCTGTAGGGCACGGCAGGGCGCAGCGTGGGCCGGGTCAGGGATCCATGTGGGGCTAGCACTGGGTATCAGTATGGGTCAGTACTGGGGGTCAGTGTAGGTCAAGGTCAGGGTCACTGTCTCGCCCTGGTCAGGGCTCAGACTGGGGCCCCCAGCACTGTTGTCCTTGACAGCTGTACCCATCCTCAAGTACACAGGTGACTACCCCTCTCGGCAGACCTGGCCCACCCTGCAGCTCACGGACCAGATCTTTTCATTGGCCCTGCAGGAGCCAGCCCTGCAGGATGAGGTCTACTGCCAGATCCTCAAGCAGCTGACTCACAACTCCAACAGGTCTGCCGGGTCAGCAGGGCAGAGAGCCCTGCCCGTGGCCTGGCAGAAGTGGCCTCTGGCAATGCCAGACCCCTGCCCAGCAGCCATGGCAGTGGTGGGGAGGCTGCAGCCCTGGCCCTCTGTCTTCACGCCCTGGGGATGTCAGCGCAGAGTAGTCCTGCCCTGGCCCTGCCCGCTCTTCCCTCTGTCGGTATGACCTAGGCAGGCTTTGGCCTCTCTGGACCTGGACCTCAGCGTCCATAAAACAGTGTGGAAGCCCTCCCTGTCCCTGGGCATGACAGCCCTGTGATGTGGGCAACTGGTGGCAGGCAGGGGTGCCTTGCTCCTCCCTTGGCTGGGCTCCAGACCTCCAGCCCCAGGCCGGCTCACAACTCATCACTGCTCCTGTGGTGCCTGCCTGGCCTGGGTCCCCAGAAGGTGCCCTCCTGCTGACGGGTGCCCCCTGCAGGCACAGTGAGGAGCGGGGATGGCAGCTGCTGTGGCTCTGCACCAGCCTCTTCCCACCTGGCAAGGCACTGCTGCCCCATGTCCAGAAGTTCATCGACACTCGGAGGAAGAAGAAGCTGGCTCCCGACTGCAGCCGCCACATCCAGAGGGTCCTGAGGTGAGCCCACTGCCTCGCGCCTCTGCAGATCACCCTGGAACCCGCCCAGTGCTCCAGGATTTCATGGTGTAGTGGGATGGACTCGAATTCTCTTCAGAAACTGATTTCAGTATGGGGGTGGAACCAGGCCCTGAGCCACTGGGCAGAGGAGGAAGGTGAGGCCGGATAGGCAGCCAGGGCAGGCTTGGGCAGGCTCAGTGGAAGGCGCCTGCCTACAGTGCCCCTGCCCCACCACCGATGTCCAGGGACAGGGAGCTGCCTGTCTTTGCAGTCCATGTGCCATCTCCCACCCCTCCAGGCTCTTCCTAGGCTGTCTGAGTCATCCTGCTCTCCTCCTGAGTCCTGTGGCTGAGGGGAGGGTGGGTGACCTGTGTGTGGTCACATATCTGCAGCAGCTGTGCCCATGGAGGAGGCAGGCACTCTCCAAGAGGCCCTGTCAGAGTCCCTGCCCACCCTGCCCAGTGCCATTGTGCATGAGAACAAACAGGAGGCCCACCCTCCTCACCTAGGCCCCCAGCCACCCAGGCACCAGGCCTTCAGGGGCTGTTTCAGAACCGGGTCCTTGGGAGTCAGATAGACCCACTTCCATTATGACCACCTCTGAGGCACATGCCAGGCCCACTAGGTCTGCAGAGCAGCCTCTGGGAAGTGTGAGGGGCTGCGTCCACCCCCCTGCAGTGGTCACTTGGGGTTCTTGCTCCTGGCATCTGGCTTAGGGGCTCACTGGAGGAAGGGGCAGGGGAAGGGGCATCTTCATCGAGCACTTTTCTGCCCAGGACAGGGCCCCGGAAGCAGCCTCCACATCAGGTCGAGGTGGAGGCCGCTGAGAAGAATGTCTCCCGAATCTTCCACAAGGTCTACTTCCCCAACGACACCAGTGAGGTGAGTCCCAGCCTGCTGCTGGTCCCCGGGCAGAGATGCGCTCTCCGCTCTGCCGCCACTCTTCCTGCACTCGCCCCCAGGGATCCCAGGCCAGCACAGGGAACACCGTCCCAAGGGGACAGGCAAGAGGGTGAGGACTGAGGGGGACTGCCAGTGGCTGTTCCCAGGAGGAGGCCAAGAGCATGGGCAGCAAGGTGGAGTCCTAGGGCTTGGGGGCGCTGGGACTTTGGTCCCTTCGGGGACAGTGGTGAGGAAGGGCCCGGGTTGGATGTGGCCCGGGACAGAGGTGGGTGGCCAAGAGACCGTGACTGAAAGGCAGCACGGGACAGTGGGGCCAAGGGGACAGGGGAAGCTGGGTGCTGCCCTCGTGCCCTCCCCAGCCTCGGGGACAGTCGAGTCCCTCTAATGGAAGTTCCCAGCGTCTGGCTGCAGGGCTCTCAAAGCAAGTCCCAAAGGCCAGGTCTCCTGGGTGGGTCCAAGGGCCCATGACAGCAATGTGGCCATCCAGGTGGCTTTCTGAAGGGAGTGCCATCCTCTTTGGCACCTGCCACAAGAGTCACGCGAGAGCGTAAGTGCCAGGCTGTGAGGTCTGAGACAGCCTCTGGGAGCAGCCTGGCCCCATTCTGGCCCTGGGCCTTACTGTCTCTGCCCAGATGCTGGAGGTGGGCACCAACAACCGAGTGCGAGAAGTATGCGAGGCCATCGCCACCAAGCTGCAGCTGGCCTCCTGGGAAGGCTGCAGCCTCTTCATCAAGATTGCAGATAAGGTGCACAGCTGGTGGGCCAGGCCTGGAGAGATGCCAGGTGCACCTCAGCCCATTCAGCACAGCTGTGCAGGCCCAGACCCCTCACTGCACAGCTGAGGCTGTGAGGGTGAAGAGGGGTCTCACAGCCAACCCCAACCCCCGTATTGCACCCACCAGCAGTCCCATTCTGACCCCAACTGAGCCCTGCCTACCAGGCCAGCATGCATGGCTGCTGGACCCTAGCCCCAAAGGGTTGTCTTTGGAAGCCACCCCACCTGCCTGTCCTCTGTCCCTTCCCACCCCAGGTCATCAGCCAGAAGGAAGGAGACTTCTTCTTCGACTCCCTGAGGCAGGTGTCCGACTGGGTGAGAAGGAACAAGCCCCAGAAAGAAGGTGAGGGGTCTATGTGGAGGGCAGGTGGCTGGGAGGCAGTCGGGGCGGGACTGTCGGGCTCCTGGCACCTCCTTCACACCCCATCCCTTTCATTCACTCACTGCCTGTATGTCCCTGAGCACACAGGTGGCTGTGGCCCAGGGTGATAAGAGATGCCCAGGGCCATCCCATGGGAGGTGCAGGAACATCCCAGGAAGAGGTGGTCCCTGCTCTCATCGTGAAGGGCGAGGAGCAGGGAGGCTGAGGGAGGACGTGGCAGGAGCTCACAGCTCACAGGGCATGGGTGGGAGTCAGTGCAGGGTCTGTGGGACAGGCATGGTGCCCACTGCTGGGTATAGACTGCCGCCCCTCGCCCAGGGGCGCCGGCGACACTCCCCTACCAGGTGTACTTCATGCGGAAACTGTGGCTCAACGTGGTCCCAGGGAAGGATGTGAACGCAGACACCATACTGCATTACCACCAGGTACCAAAGGCCACTCCCACCCCAGGCCACCCTTGAACCATGGGAGAGGCAGCAGCCAAGGTGAGGACAGCAACAGGTCCCATGAGGTAGGCAGGCCCAGCTCCTGAGGGTTCTGGAACCAGGAGTGGTGCACAGCGGTAGATGGGGACAGTGTCTCTGCTGGCACCTGGTGCACGACTGCCTGTGGAGAACAGACCTTGCCCTGAAGGCCAACCATGTGCACATAGCATAGAGGTGGCCTTCGTGGTGCTCGGCTAGGGAGCCCTGCCCTCACACCCACAGACCTCAGCTTTTGGCCTGCCCACTCTCCCAGACTGTGGGGGCCGACACCCCAGGCTCCAATACCTTTGCATGAAGCTGCAGAGTGGGCTGGCAGCCTGAGGCCTGTCATGTCCTCTGCTCAGGAGCTGCCCAAGTACCTGCGTGGGTTCCACAAGTGCTCCCGAGAAGATGCCGTCCACCTGGCTGGCCTCATCTACAAGGCTCAGTTTGACAACGACCAGTCCCAGCTGGCGAGTGTCCCCAAGATCCTGAGGGATCTGGTGCCTGAGAACCTCATACGCCTCATGTCCTCAGAGGAGTGGAGAAAGGTCTTAGCAGGGCCGGGAGGGAGCCCTCAGCCCACTGCCCCTACCAGGACCCTGCCTGGGCACAACAGGCACATCGCTGGGTGTGGGAGGTGGGCTGCATACTTCACACGTCTCCTCACCCCGCCCACAGCCCTGGCCCACCCCCTAGACCGCCCCACGGTGCCTGGCCTCAGGAAGAGTGCCATCCCCTGTGTAGGCAGGCCAGCCCCAGCTGGGCCCTCACGGCCTCTCCTCCCCTAGAGCCTCCTCCCCGAGTGCAGTAAGCACCAGAACAAGACAGTGCCAGAGGCCAAGGTGGCCTTCCTCAAGTACATCTGCCGCTGGCCCACCTTTGGCTCGGCCTTCTTTGAGGTGAAGGTAGGTTTCACCCACAAGGCCACTCAGCCTGGCCCCAGGCGCACCCGGGAGGGGCAGGCCACCAGGCTTGGGAGGAGTGTGTGCCTACATGTGTCTCCAGTGGCATGTGGAAGGTGGCCTTCTGGGCAGTGCCACCTGGTGCCAGACTAGGCTGTGACCACCGGCCCCTCCCTGCAGCAAGCCTCGGAGCCCTCCTATCCAGATATCGTCCTCATCGCCATCAACAGACATGGGGTGCTGCTCATCCACCCCAAGACCAAGGTAGAGCAGTGAGGCCCAGGCAAGGCTGGCCCAGGATCGCAGGCAGTGGGGCCATGGCGGGCAGCAGCTCCTGTGCATCCCACCCCTCCTGTCCCTAACACGCACGCTGCAGCCTGCAGCTCTGCTCCCGCCCACCTGCCGCTCTCCCCGCAGGAGCTGCTCACCACCTACCCCTTCACCAAGCTCTCCAGCTGGAGCAGTGGCAGCACCTACTTCCACATGGCACTGGGGAGCCTGGGCCGCAGCAAGCGCCTGCTGTGTGAGACCTCGCTGGTGAGCCTCGTCTCGCCCACATGCAGACCAAGGGCTGGGGACGGCGCCTGTCCTCTCTGACTGCCACCAGGGAGCTGCTCGCTTTGAGGGGTGAACCGCCCAGGATCAGCCTGGGCTGGCAAGGGGCCCAGAGCAGACTGGGAGGGCTCTGCGGCACAGGGCGGGTCGCGCTGGAGCTGCTTCCCTCTTCACCAAGACTCACTGCCCTCCCTGCCTCACAGCCGCTTACCCCACCTCCCCTACCTAGGGCTACAAGATGGACGACCTGCTGACCTCCTACGTGGAGCAGCTCCTGAATGTGATGAACAAGCAGCGAGGCTCCCGCGCCCCTGCACCAGCTACCCCCTAGGAGGAGTGGGCCCTAGCTGCCCGCTCAGTCACCTTCTGCCTGGGTCTCTCACCAGCTTGGGCCTGGCCTCTGCGTGAGGCCTTTCACACCACCCTCTCCCACACTCCCACTCTGCTCAGCACCCAGACAGCCTCTCCTGAGTGCTGACCCTGGAGGGTCAGGCCTGCAATGACGATGGCTGGCTCCTCTGGATATTCAATAAAACCCACACAGCATGGACTTGTGTCAGGCAAGGGCAGGATGGATGCCAGATGAGGGAGGGCCTAGGAGGCCCTGGTCCCAGAGGGTTTTCTCCCTGGGAACAGGTGACAACTGTGTTCTCCAGGAGTGACTTCACACGCTGTGTCTGCTCTGCTGTCTCCTCCCCTTCCCCACCCTCCCTCCCTTTGTGTTCTCAGCTGGGGAGAGGGGCTCCCTGGAGAGCCCTGCTCTGCACTCTTCTCCCCAGGAGGGGGACACAGGGATGGATATCTCTCCTGCGGGCAGGGTGGAGGGGCCTGAGGGCCCTACCTGGTCTCGGGGTGCTGACTTCCTCTGAGGGCCCCCTTTCCCCGACAGGCCGGCCTCCCCAGACTGGCAGGCCGGGCCCGTGTGCTCTCTGCCTGCCGTCTGGCCTCTGCTCTGCCTTTCACAGTCTCCACCCTAGAGCCGGAACAAAGCACCCGGATCACTGCTGGTGGTGAATCAGCCTTCATTGTGCGAGTGGGAGCCTCCAGCCAGGGCTGCTCTGGCCACTGGGAAGGGTCGCCCTGAAGCAGGCAAGAGCTGCCTCTGATCCCGCCCTCCCGCCCCCGCTCTGGTGCAGCGAGGGGAAGCACCGTAGAGCTGCGGTGCCATGTGGTGTCGAGGCTCCGAGGGATGGAGGGAGCCCCCTTGTGCTTCCGGCTGGCTCATGAGTGGGGATGGCAGGGCTCGCTGGCCCAGTATGGCCATGGGGATCTGAGTGGCTGAGTGGCTGTGGGCTGACGGTGTCCTGGAGGTCTCCACTGCAGGGCTGGGCCAGCACATGCACACAGCGGGACCACTCTGGGGCCCGTGCTCCCTGGGACAGTGGGTGCCACCAAGGCCTTGGTGGCAAGGACAGGTCAGCTGCATGGCAGGCAGCTGTGGTGCAAGCAGGAGCGGGCGACCTCAGCCCCGATTTGCTGCTGTCCCTGGAGCTCGCAGGGACAGGCAGAAGTGGCATCAGATGTGGGGCAGCCTCCACAGACAGGAAGACAGGAGCTGGCAGAGGGGAAGATGACGCAGAAGGCAGACGTGGGTGGAAAGGGGAGAGACGGAGGGAGGCTGAGGAAGGCCAGGAGCAGCAGGGAGAGAGGAGATAGGGAGGTGATAGGGAAGCAGGCTGGTGGGCAGCAAGGAGGGCAAGAGCCTTCAGGCAGAGTTCACATCCACAGGCTTGGGCTGGGCCTTGCGGGAGGTCAGGTCCGCCAGCTTCTTCAGCCGCTTCTTTAGCTCCAGCGGGAACTTCTCATAGCACTTCTTACACACGGGCTTCATGTCAAACTCCACAAATTTGTTCCTGCAGATAAAGCCCAGCAGTCCGTGCCTCACCGACCCTGAGCGCCGATGGTGCCCCAGAGGCAGAGGCAGGCTCCTGCCTCCCCGCTCCAAGCTGCTCCCGGCCAGCAGGCCAGGCCCAGGCGACCCTTCTTTCTTATAGGCTTCTCTCGGGTTCTGAGGCTCCAGAATCTTCTATGGCTCCCTGCGGCCCTTGGAAATCTGGGTCCCGGCTCATTTCTCACAGCTTGCCTGTGTAGGCTTCCTATGACAGCCTGCTATCTGACACACTTCCTTCGCATCTGCTGTCCCTGGGCTGGGATGACCTTCCCTCCCCTGAGCTCAGAGTCCTTGCAAGTGTGTTCCCACCCCTCTCTGTGCCCATCTGCCTGGGCTACATCCTCAAGGCTGACCACAGAGAATATGCAAGAGGCAGCTGAGAAAGGGGGGTTAGGGGAGCCTCTGCTCCTTGCTCCCTGTGGGTGAGGGAGGCGGCAACTCACTTCAGGGTGAGCTTGCTGTTGCAGGTGGAGCAGGAGAAGCAGTTCACACACCAGGCCTTGTTGAGGGCCGACACCACTGTGAGGGGAGAGGGGGCTTAGCAGGCCCTGCGCAGGCCCAGCTGTGTGAGGCCAAGGCCAGCTGGGCCCACAGCTGCAGAGCCCATGGGTGGGGCGGGGCTGGGGGAGGCTCACCATCGCCCTCAATCACATGGCTGCAGTTGTAGCAGACGTCCCCAAAGAGCTGTGGACACAGCAAGCTGTCAGTGCAGGCTTCAGGCAAACACCCAGCCCGGGGCCCCACACTGTCCCTCTGCAAAGGCCCCTGCTGAGGCACTGCTCCCTAGTGCTGCTCCTGCTAGTGCCCTGCCAGAGCAGGGTTTGTGGCAGCCTTTCCCACCTTTTGCACCAGAACGGGGGGATGAGGGGAGGTGGGCAAAATCATCTTTCAAGCCCAGACTTCACGCTGCCACCTGGTTCACCCTCACAACAGGTCTGGGCCAAAGGGAGCAATTTGCAAGTGAGGGTCCCAAGTAGAGAGCTGCCCAGTCTTAGGACCCTGAGCAGAGCCCCTTGGGCCTGGGCACATGGCAGCCCGGCCCACCGCCCTCCCCAGCCACCCCCAGCCTGTACTCCCACGCTGCTGCCCTGGCCCACCTGGTTGTAGTGGGTCTCACAGTAGGCCAGGCCTTTCTTCTCATAATGCCGGTGTCCCAGGAAGGGCTTCTCACACTTGGCGCACACAAAGTGCTGGGGAACAGAAGGTAGCCAGCAGGTATTGGGACCACACAGGAGCCATGGAGCAGAGGGAGGGCAGACTCACAGCTGTCAGAGTGGCCAACGCCTCTGCCGATGCCCAGGGCCTTAGCAAGCCCTGGTCCCCCTCAAAAGCATCCATGGTGACATCCCGTGTCACTGTGCTTTCTAGCCTGGGCTCCCTGCCCAGTAACTTTAGCACAAGGTCCCAGCTGCCTGCAGGGGCACAGTGGCCCTCCCAGGTGGAAGCTGCCCTGCTGTCGTGGGGATGTCCCCTCTGGTGTCCCCACAGCCCAGGTCACAAGAAGCATGTGAGGACATAGCCTCCCCTGGGGTTGGGGGCCAGGCACCATGGCCCACTGCATCTTGGAGAACCTTCCCAAACAGGCCACCAAAACACAGCTTTGGACACAGAGGTGGCCAGGCCCCTGGGGAATGCAAACCTCCTTGCCGGGTGTGTAAGGGCATTAGAGCTCTCAGTCTGGGGAGAGCTCCAGGTGACCTGCATGCCCACCCGAGGAGCTGGCCAGCCCCAGGCATGCACAGGGCCATGTGCATAGTGGTCAGCCAACCACAGCCACCCAGGTTTCCTCCTGACTCTGAAATCTCCTAGAATCTTCCCGTGATGGCAAAGATGGGCTTTTCTGCCCAACTATGGTCTATGCGCACGGGTCTCCCGGTTCCCATGGGTGGGCTGGGGTCCAGGAGAGGCAATGCTTACAGGTAGGTCCTTGCCAGAGCCAGGGCCTGGCTTGGGCTGAGGTGTGACGGATGGACTGGGAACCAAGGCACCCCCCCAGAAGCGCTGCACCCCTGCCCAGTCACCTCCACATGCCACTGCTTGCCCAGCGCGTTGACCACACGGCCTTCGATGGGCCGGCGGCAGGCCCCGCAGATGGGGACACCCATCTTGTCATGGCAGGGCAGGCAGTACAGCTCCCCCTTCAGCTCCCGGGCCTCGGCAGTCAGCTCTTTTCTGGAAGACAGCGGGAGCCCCTAAGTGCCACCCTGCCCTTCTGCAGGGTCACCCCAGCCGCTCCAGCCCGAGGGCCCCAGGCGCTGAGAGGCCCCACTCAGGCGGTGCGCTCTGATCTCTGGCCCGTTAGAGACTTCCTGTGTGCGCCCAGACAGGCCCGGGAGCACAGACTTCCCGCACGGCCGGCAGAAGGGCGTCTGTGTTTTGTGCCCCGAGCTCTCTGAGAAGCAGGTCTGTTCTCAGGCCTCCTCCTCCTCCTCCAAACCAGACTGGGTGTCTGGGACAGGCATGAAAGGGACCCAAGGGGACAGCTCTGCATCTTTTCTTTCCCCCGCTGCCCCTCTCCAACACCAGCACGACCCTTGCTCCCTCCACCCCTTCCTCTCCCCTTCATCTCAGTCCTGGTCCCTGCAGTCTACCCTTGAACAGACCTCTGCTGAAACGAGCTTCCTGCTGTGGCCCCTTCCCAGCCCACCCCAGCCCTGCCTTACAGCTCTGCACCCAACTGTCTGGACAGCATCTCTGCCCACCTGGCTCACCCCCCACCACATCATTGCCCCGCTCTGTGATAGTCCTGGGCTTCCATCTGCCCAACCGGAGGGACAGGGCCGGGCACCTACCCACAGTGGGTACAGTTGAAGTGATCTGGGTGGTAGGCGTCGTTCCTGAACATGAGGGGCTTCTCATCGATGACCAGGTGGCACCGCTGGCAGATGTACTTGCCCAAGCCCTTGGCCTTCTCACGGCTGTGGCAAGGCCGGCAGAGGTGCCTGCGGGAGGCGAGGGCTGTGTTAGGCAGGTTGCCGCCTCCGGTACAAGACAGCCAAGGTCACTTGCAGGAGAAGAGAGCCCAGGACCCCGCCTGTGGCCTTGGCAAGAGCCTGGTGCTTTAGAGAGGCTCAGCCCAGGATGCAGAAAAGTAAGATGCCCAACCACAAGGCCAGGAAAGCCTCAGGTACTCCATCTATGAGGTATAATCAAAAAATACGATGAGTATTTAAATTTCAAATTTTTTATTACAGTAAAAGACACATCACTATTAATCTCCCTTAAAACACTCCTCCCGGCTTCTGACACACTCACCCCACGATTCTTGCCACTTTCTGAAGCAGCTCTGGAACCCTCCTCTTTCAGGAGTGTCCTTTGTTGCACCACCACGGCTGCACTGAGATCACAAACCAGTGCAGAACATTTACCTTTCGTGGTCATTTTCACTTTGGGGAAGAGCCCAGAGTCACACGGTGCCAGATCGAGGGAAGAGGTGGACGAGGAGACGCTGATGTCTTTACGAGCCTCCTTTCTGTTGGATGGCCCTTGGCAGCAGCCCTGAACCTATTTTTGAACACACCTCATAAAGACACGCAAGAGGACTTCCATACTGCTTCTGAAAGTGGCAAGAACAATGGGATAAATGTGTCTGAAGCAAGTGGGGAGGTTTTGAGGGGGATTAATGTGTCTTTTACTGTGACAAGTTTTTGGGTTTTTTAAAACTAAGCATTCACTGTGTATTTTGAGCACATCTTGTAACAGCAGGGCACCTGTGCTCAAGGAGACTAGACTATACTAGAATGTTCGCGGTTGCTGTCTTTACAGGATGCATTTCCTCTTTCTACTTTTCCTGAGCTTTGGATGTTGTGTGGAATAGAACAGACATTTACTGGAAAATGAATTTTATTTCTAAAATGTCTTTTAACACGGTGAGCTCTAGCAAATATGAGCCTTGGAACCCCCATGCCAAGCAGAACAGTGAGTGCCGGGCCATCCAGCCCACTCACCCCTCCCTTTGGGGTCTGCCGGATGAAGGGGGCTCTAACATGTACAGGCACTTTCTGTCCCCAGACACAAGCACGGCTGTGTCGGACGGAGGCCCCAAACCAGGGACTGTCATAACACAGTCTTTTTTTGTGAAGACCTCAGTCATTTCTGATGCTACTCCTTGCACTAAGCAAAAGCTGTGTCTCGGTTGAGACAGACATCAACATCGTTTCTGTTTCCTGGCTTTGAAAGGTGGCAAGAATTTAGATTCAGAGTCCCCTGGCAAAGATAAAGAAAGACTCTGATCCAGCACCCCTTGGGGCCCAATCCCCACCCGATGCTCCAATCTCATGTGCTCCAGACAGAACAAAACTCTCCCTTCCTGAGCCCCCAAGGGGCTGCCCCTCTCCCCTTCACCAGCCTCCACCACGCCCCTCTTTAACAGGAGTTTACACAAGAGACCAACTCTGCTTAAGATCTCCAACCAGCAACTGTGGGCAGGCTCCAGGTGTCAGGGGAGCTGCCTTGGCACTCTGGCCGGGACCCCAGTGCCCGTCTCTCTGTGCCTGGACTCCAGCCTGCAGGGCACTGCTCCCCTCTCGCCCTGGTGTATCATCTTCCCTGCAGGTGAGCACCACAAGGGAACCATCTGCTACCCACTACCATGCCCCCTCCAAGTCCCGTGTGCCCAGCACACGGAGGCAGCCCCAGACCATTGCGCTGAGTGTGCAGGTGGGTGGCTGATGGTGAAGAGAGGAAGGGCAAGACAGGGAGCCTTCCTCCCTGTGACAAGAGCCTCCTGGCCTGGACCCCTGGGTTTTCCTACCCCACAGTGGGCAGCAGAGGTGGCTATGGAGCCCACCCTCCCCTGACACCTGTGTCCTGGTCCCCACCCAGCCCACTGCATGGCAGCCCAAGGGTAGGCCATCCCTGTGGCCAACGCCCTTCTCCTTCCTGTGTCTCTCTCTCTGTCACAGCCATGACTCTATTCCCCACCATACTCCAATTTTGGTGACTCTTGTTTGCATGAAGACACTCTGGAGCCGATATAGAATAACTGTGGGGGAGCCTGACTCCTCAAAATTCTATTGCAATGGTTATTTGCCCTTGAAGCTACTGTCATCGGTCATTTCAATTACAGAAAACAGGCTAGGGTTTAGCTCAGTGTATCACAGCACCAAAAAGAAAGAAAAAAGAAAGGAGGGAAGGAAGCATGGACATCTCAGGTGCGGAAATGTAGGGCAAATCGGGACAGGCAGGGAAAAGTTAAAGGGCCTCAGTGAGGTTTCTGGCAAATAAAGAATTAAACCTCGGGGAAGGGGGCAAGAAAAACAGAGAGCTGATAAGACCACCTGGCCCGGCTGCTTCAAGCCAAGGCTCAATTCTACCTCCAGCTAAGCACAAAAGAAACAAAATGGGGAGGGGGCTATATTAGTAAAAATAATTCCGTTAGTATAAAAATATATACTACCACCTGGACACACACATACCCATGTGTAAGTACACAGATATTTTATTACTCTCACCACACTAACACTAAAATGCACATGCACCCTACTTACTAACTCAGCCTTGAATGTAACTCTGCCGTCCCTCACAAGGTGAGCCCCTGGACAGCACAGAAGCCACAGAAGCGCTTAGGCAGAACGCACACGTAGGCAATGGAAGGGGCAATAGCCAAGTCAGGGGTCTCGAGCCCAGCGGCTGATCAAGTTATAGCAACTCCCCAGGGGGAGCACCCTTTCTTGCCAGGTAATCAAGGAGGCTGAGAACAAAGACCCCGAGTGCAGGCTCCTGGCTCCCTACCTTATTCTGACAAGGTAGCTGTCTATCTCCTTATTTTCTCCCCTTTCCAGTAAGGCGATTTTGTTTCTTTTTCTAAAACTCGTATCTCTGCCATGGCAGCAGAAGAGCTTTAACAGCCATCTCAGACCCCTTAAAGGAAAGAGCCTTCTGGGCATTCTGCATTTGAGACATGGCACAGTCATCCTTACTGGGAACAAAAAGGGGTTACGCAGGCCCCAGTCCAATTCCCCAAAAAGAGAAAAGAGAAAGACTCATCAGGGATACTGGCCTACACCCAGGCACGGGTAATTATGGATAAATCCCGATGATAAAGGGCCAGGGAGGGACTTTGCGGCTGTACTTGACCCTGATGAGGTGAGAGACGGCCTATCTCAGTTGCGCAAGGCCAGGGGGGGATTTCCAGGTAGAAACCTACAGCAGGGCAGCTTGGGGCCTAGACAAGCTTTCTCCCCCATTTTACCCTTGGAATTGGGGGGGACTTTGCCAGAGGGAGCCCCAGAATCAAAGAGACCCTCACACTCAGCCTTTCTTTTCTTTAGATGGGGCCTGGACAATTACCCATCCCACTACATTTACCCGTAGAACATCTTTTCAAACACTGAAGACAGTTAGATCCCCAAAGTTTGAGGGAAAAGGCCCTTGTCTCTTACTGTACTAGGGCTTGGCCAGGGTACGCACTAGGAGACCAAGAAAGGTGGCCTAGGGGTGGGGGAGCTTTAAATTACAATACCATAAATCAATTAGATCTATTTTGCCAAAAGGAAGGAACATAGGGAGCAGTGGCTTATGTCCGATGGTTTTTTTGTCCCAGAAATCATCCTGAATAGATGTCTCAGTGTTTCACTGACCCTCCTTCATTAGCTGCTTTGGGAGCAATCCCTTCCCTTTGTCCCAGTGGGGAGGGACCCAAAATTAAGGTTCCAACAGGGAAAAACCAAAACCCAGAGAGCCTCCGGGACAGGACATCTGCACCCCATACCCTGGAGTCAGGCTCTGTGCCCCAGCTGCTAACCTGATGCTGCTCCATTCCAACCACAGAGGACAGCTGAACCCACCCATTCACTTATGCTGAACTAAGAGAAGTTGAGCAAGATTTGGGAAGTGTCACAGGTGATCCTGACAGATATGTCCAAGCCTCTTAGACCACCACCTCTCTCGAGACTCACATGGGATGACACGACACTCACCTTCAGTGAGGTATTAACCCAGGAGAAAAAGAGAGGATTCTGAGAGCTTCAGTGAGGACAGGAAACACCTATCACCAGGCCCATAGATGCGCTGTGAATGAGGCAAATGAAGAGAGGAGGAGGTACGCACATCTGTGGGAGAGGAGGCCTGGCCCTCTGCCAAGCCTCGCTGTGGTAAGGAAGGGCTAAAGCCAACAAAAGTCAAGCTGACAAACTATGCTGTGCTAAACCAGGTTTATCAGGAGGAGAAGGAACCTCATCAGTATTTTTACAAAGGCTTACCATGCTCTGACCAAACACACCCTCATAAGCCCCTCTGGGAATGAAGGGAAAAGTCATCCTCAAAGATAGATTTATCTCCCAGTCTGCTCCTGGCATTTGCCACCAACTCCTGAAGATGCTATCTGATCCTGACAGGGAAAATGTAGGACTGGGTGATTGTCTCTGAGAGGCTACAAAGGTCTTTCACAACAGGGACCAGGAAATTCAACAGATAGGAAAAAAGAAACACGGAGAGCTGGGTGCTGCTCTCCAGGGCTGCCCAATTACCAAGTCCAAACTTTGCTATTGTTGTAAAAAGCCATTTTAAAAAGGTTTGCCTCCAACAGGAGGAAGTCCAACAAAAAAAGACCTCATGTGGCCTCCAAGCCCCTGCCCTATCTGCCAGGAGGATTGCTGGAAAAACCAGTTCCTCCTCTGAGCCAAGAAAACCCCCAATAAAGGTCCCTGGGGCTTTATATTCAGGCTCCCCTCACTCCTGTTCAAACAGCAGAGCTCCAGGTTGAACTAATTGTAGGGCACAGGCTCACAAGCTTTTCAGTGGACACTGGCACCTGGCTTTCTGTCCCTGCACTCTCCCCTGGACCATGCTCTACACAAACAGCTACTGTCCAAGGCATCTCGGGATGTGAGGCGGGAAGATTCTTCTCTAAACCTGGGGAGAACTGTAGTTTGTCCCTCTTTTCTGATAATGCTTGAGAACCCCAGTCCATTGTTGGGAAGAGACTTACTGTCCAAAGCACATGTTTGAATCCTGCTTACTCCAGGGCACAGCGTCATGAGAAATTTCCCTCTCCAAGAATTACAGGTGGACCCAGCTATATGGACAGATGGACACAGAGTGGGGAGCACAAAAACAGCTACACCAGTCCAAATCCATCTCAAAGATCCCACTTGCTTTTCCCACCAGGAACAGTACCCATTTTGTCCTGATGTGAGAGAGGGATTAAGGCCTACAGTCCAACAACTACTCAAACAGAGACCCTGGAGAGGCTGTCAGCCCTTATAATCCTCCTATCATCGGAGTTAGAAAGGGGCCTACTAAGTGGAGATTTGTTTAGGACCCACGTCTCAGTAATGAGGCCATGGTACCTCTATAGCCAGTCATGCCTGATCCCTACACATTGCTGACACAGCCTCAGCCAGCTGCTTTTCTGTCTTAGGTCTTAAAGACGCTTTCCCTTGACACTTGAGAGCCAAAATCTCTTTGCCTTTGAAAATCCACTTGTGGGGATGGGATAACCGACCTGCACAGTCCTCCCCCAGGGGTTTCAAGATAGCCCCTACCTTTCTGGCCTAGTCCTAGCAAGGACCTGCTAGAGTGGAAAAAAGACATCACCCTCTTACAGTATGTCAATGATTTGATGCTCTGTGGGAACACAGACAGCCAAGTAGGAGAGGAAACTGAGTAGTGACTCCTTAACTTCCTGGCCTCCTGAGGTTATAAAGTCTCCCAAGAAAAGGCTCAGGTATTTTTAATCCCTGACCACTATTTAGGGCTGTTCATTTCTCAGAGCACAAGGGCACTAAGTCCAGAGAGAATCCAACCCACCCTGAACTACCCTTTGCCGAAACATATAAAATAACTGAGAGCCTTCTTAGGGGTGATTGGGTTTTATAGAATTTGGATTCCAGGATATGCTGAAAAGGCCATGTCCCTCCACCAGCTTCTTAAAGAGACGAACAATGCAGAACTCCACTCCTTGTCTGGAGCCCAGAGGCCCAACAGGCCTTCCAAGTTCTCAAGAAAGCTCTACAAAAGGCCCCTGCATTGGGCCTGCCAACTCAAGACAAATATACTCTCTTCTTAACTGAGAGACAGGGAGTGACTGCAGGGGTTCTCGCCCAGTTCCTGGGGCCTAGCCACCAGGTAGTAGCCTATTTAAGCAAAGACCTGGACACGGTGGTCAGAGGATGATCAGGCTGTTTGTGGGTTTTAGCAGCTGCAGGCATATTAATCCTAGAGGCTTATAAGCTCACCCAAGAGAAAACTCTTGATTAGTGCCCCCATGACACTGAGAGACTTCTTAATGCCCCAGTCCACCCTTGGGTCTCTAAGGCACGGATTTTAAAATATGAAGTTCTTTTGTTAGAAGGACCAGATGTAAACACTGAAACCTATCAGAGCCTTAACCCTGCCGTCCTTCTGCCTGATCCCAACAACTAGGAGAAAGTGAACACAACTGCACAGAGGTTCTAATCCACATGCAACAGCTGAGGAAAAGGTTAAGCAATCAGTCTCTCAGTGACCCTGAGGATGAGCTGTTCACTGACAGAAGCTCCTCTGTACAGGACAGAAAGGTGGGATATGCAGCGATTGGCCATGTGGGAATGTTAGAGTGAGGACCATTAACTCAGAATACAGGTGCTCAAAAGGTAGAACAGATAGATTGCTCTCACCCAAGCACTAACTTTTACTAAGTATGCAATCCATGTGATCCATGTGCTCACTGCAATTTGGAGAGAAAGAGGCCGGTCGACTTCTAATGGATCTCCTCTTAACTACGCCCCAGAAATTCTAGAATGCATTGAGGCTGTTCACCTGCCTTGACAAGTGGCAGTCACTCACTGTCCAGGACATCAGAGAGGAGCAGATTCTATTGCTGTAGGCAACGGAAGGGCCAATGAGGCGGCAAAAAAAGCAGCTTCTCTGCACCTAGAATGCTCCCTCTTGTGGTCAGCTGGTCTATTTATTAGCTACTAGCTCACCTGGTTTGGGGGGATTTATTTTGTTTTTTTTGGGGGGATGTGTTTTTTTGAGTTAGGATCTCCCTATGTAGTTCAGGCTGGATTTAAACTTACAACCATCCTCCTGCCTCAGCCTCCCGAGTGCTGGGATTATAGGTGTGTGCCACCACATCCAGCATCACCTGTTTATTCTGATAAACAAATTGTACATGCCAAGGGCCAGGGATGGGCCCTTAACTCTGAGGGATGGTAAGCCAATCCTGAGGGTCGCCTCTCTACCAAGAGACTTGGCATGGAAAGTAATTAAAAGTATCCACAATGCTTGTCATTTAGGACAGAAAGCCCCTCACTTTGGTTACCATGTTCATTCTGGGGGAAGGACTGGATGAAGTGACACAACAGGTGGTTAAAGGATGTGAGCTAAAGTGTGTCTGAGAACTAAGCCTCAGAGCCTGACTAAAACCCCCACGGGGACAACATCAAAGCAATTATCCAGGGGAAGACAGCAGATTGATTTCCCCCACAGGCAAGGAGGTCAACACATTGGTTCCTCTTAGCCCCAGTTGATTCTCACATGGGGTGGATAGAAGCCCTTCCTACCCAGACTGAAAAGGCTCGAGAAGTAGTGAGGGTCCTTGTGTGTGAGATTATTCTAGAGTCCAAGAAGTCTCCAACATGACATGGGCCCGCTTTCTGCTCTCAAGTCATCCAGGGAGTCTCAAAAGTCCTGCGCATGGAGTATCAGCTCCACTGTGCGTGGCAGCCTCAATCACCATGACAGGCAGAAGGGGCTACTGGGACTCTCAAAAATACCTGCCCAAGCTGGGACGGGAACGCAAGGCCCCTTGGAAGCAGCTCCTACCTGTGGCCCTTATATGGGATAGGAATGAGCCCGGGTTTTGGGGATGTCTCCCTTTGAACTTCTGTATGGGAGACCCTTCCTCAGAAACGACATCCTAGCTGACCCATCAACTGAGGGAGCCTTGAGACAAGTAAGGTCCTTAGCCCAGTTCCAACAGATCCTGTAAGCCTTGAGACAAACAAATCCACCTACCGAGCCCTTCTTCTGCCCTTGGACCCTGGTGCCAGTCAAGGCCTTAGACACACAGGACATAAGCAAACCTTGGCGGGAAGATGCACCTACATAGTGGTCCTTTCCACCCCACTGCAGTTAAGGTAACAAGGTATGACTCTTGGATTCATCACATCCGGGTAAAGCTGTGGACTGCGTCCAAGAACCATGGCAACAATACACCTCCAGGCCACATCAGAGCCTGTCTACACCTGTGAACCTGTGGAAGATTTCAAGTTCCTCTTCAAAAGATAAAGCAAAGAGAAGTGACGCTAAAAATCTGTTTACTATGGGTATCGGTGATGTCCACTTCCTTATCCCAATTTCAAGATTTCCTGTACATTCGGTGTCAGGAAGTGCAATTTTATTCTATGGCCACCGGACAGGATGTCATCAATGCCATATATAATCTCTGGTTTCAGGGCTCTTTTTCTGACTTTACTCCAGCACATATAGATTTCTTCTGTACTCTCTGTACTCTCATTCTGTACTCTCACTCTGTGTCCAGAGGAAGAAGAGGGTATCAATGACTGATAAAGAGGGCCCTAAACAGCCTGTGTTTCTACTATGTATTTTCCTGTGGCTTTTACTTATAATCTTGGCATGGCTCCATTCAGTTGTCTTTTGCCTCAGGGATGGAATCATTTCTCATGCTCACATTCACCCTAGCTTGGATCATCCTCTGTTATTTTCAATGGCACACAGACTCCCACTTGGACCATGAGGCTGACATAACAATTCACTCATTCAGATGGCAGGAGCCCTGACCATAGGGTATCCCAGTTGTTGGTTTTGTTTTACAGACCCCAGATGGTCATGGCCCTCTTTGAGTGATAATTGAACCTGTGCAACACCCACAAGATCTTAAATATGAAAGACGGTCCCTGGGGTCTCCAAATCCCTTAACCGTCTTAACAGGAGTTCCTACCAGAGGTGTTGACAGAAGGCACTGACATACTTGACTGGATTTGGCACACAGATATAAGGTCAGACTTTCGTGCAATGCAGAGGGTCAAGCCACTCACCACCCTGTCCTATACCCTCCATAGAGAATGGTGAGAAAGAAAAGAAAAACACAATTTACCTAGTAACATTTTTACACTGTCCCTCAAGCAAAGACAATACAAGTTATTCCCAAAAATCTACTTCCAACTAATCTCACGAATGGGATTCAGCTCTCTTATGTCTCCCCCCTGGGTAATGGGAGATAAGAAGTCCAAGATGAGTTTCAATCCAGGGGAACACAGTGCTTAGATCCCTGTAAATGTAGAGGAAGCTAGGGAGTCATTCAGGTAAGCTCTAATCCTGATGTTGTGCCTTTAATCATTCTGACATAGAGCAATGAGAACAGGCTCATATTGGGACACTGACATATCTTTGCCTCAGGGGAAGCGACAGCCTGTCACCCTCGCTGTTCTAGGAATTGCATCCCTTCTGCCCGCACAGGGATGAGTCACCTATGTCATCACTTGCCAATTCAGCTCAAATACCCAACCTCAGTGCTATGATGCTGAGAAGTTTCTCTCAATTCACTTGCAGAAATGGTGCTAGAGCATCGTCAAGTTCTGGACTGGATGCTGACCCACCTGGGAGGCGCCTGCACAGAATAAAACTACCTGCTACACGCACATTAACACCTTCAAAAGGGGGAAGACCAGGACTTAGGTTATTTTACAAAAAGCCATTTGGTTAAGTGACCAGTGGGTTATGGACTCTCTGGCCTCCCGAACCATAGGACAAATTAAAGAATGGCTTCCATCTGTGTCCACTTGGTTATCACCTTTGCAGGGCCATTTGACAGTCATTCTCTTGTTATGCTTACTTGGGCCATATCTTCTCAACTTTCTCTCAAGCTCTATTACAGAAAGAATAAATGCCATAAAACTTCAGGTGGTACTTCAGATGAAACCTCAGATGGGTCCCTCCTCCCCTACCAAGGCCCTCTAGACAAGCCTCCCGACTGAGGACTCCATCCACTGCCCCCAACAACAACCCACTCAGCTCCAGGAAGTCAGATCGCTTCTTGCCTGTTTCCGCAACAGCAGCTGGATGGACATCACAGAGGTGGAAATGTAGGGAAAGTCAGGGGACAGGCAGGGAAAGTTAAAGGGCCTCAGTGAGGTTTCTGGCAAATAAAGAATTAAACCTCCGGGAGAGGACAAGAAAAACAGAGAGCTGATAAGACCACCTGGCCCGGCTGCTTCAAGCCAAGGCTCAATTCCACCTCCAGCTAAGCACAAAAGAAACAAAGTGGGGAGGGGGCTATATTAGTAAAAATAATTCCGTTAGTATAAAAATATATACTACCACCTGGACACACACATACCCATGTGTAAGTACACAGATATTTTATTACTCTCACCACACTAACACTAAAATGCACATGCACCCTACTTACTAACTCGGCCTTGAATGTAACTCTGCCGTCCCTCACAAGGTGAGCCCCTGGACAGCACAGAAGCCACAGAAGCACTTAGGCAGAACGCACACGTAGGCAATGGAAGGGGCAATAGCCAAGTCAGGGGTCTCGAGCCCAGCGGCTGATCAAGTTATAGCAACTCCCCAGGGGGAGCACCCTTTCTTGCCAGGTAATCAAGGAGGCTGAGAACAAAGACCCCGAGTGCAGGCTCCTGGCTCCCTACCTTATTCTGACAAGGTAGCTGTCTAACTCCTTATTTTCTCCCCTTTCCAGTAAGGCGATTTTGTTTCTTCTAAAACTTGCATCTCTAATTCTTTTATGAGTATAAAGTTTTACAAACCCTAGGTAAGATCTACCCTCTCCAGACACAACAGAAGGAAGGAAAAGAAAGAAGAAAGGAGGGAGGGAAGGAAGGACTAAGGAAGGAAGGAAGATCAACCTGAGCCTAGAAGTGGCCTGCAGCCAGATTCACACACCACATTTCCAAGCAGCGCGAGCCAGTACTTCCAGCCACTTGCAGGGCATCATGGGAAGGGACTCCACAGTGGCTCAGGTGCAACACCCCCCCTGGGGGGCCTGCTGTCTCCAGGCAGGACAGATTGGGAAGATGAAACTTTTGTAAAAACCCCAGATGGGAAGTGTCTTCAGTATAGACTGGATCCTAGCACCAGATCTAGAAGTAACCCTCACAAGTGCTTTTCAGTTAGAATTAGAATGAAGCCTAAGAATTCCAGCACTGAGGTGCCAGGGGAAAAAAAATACAAAAAGAAAACAAACAAAACAGAACAAAACCTTACATGCACATGCAGAGCCATCCCTTGTGGATGACATGTACCTGGGTACGGATCCTGGGCCTGCCTGCCGCTCCTAGTGTTCTCCAGTGGGCCAGTTACTTTGCCTCCCTGAGCCTCAGTTTCCTGGTCAGTCAAACGGGGCAATATTCCCAACTGCCCAGGGTTATGTGAAGACTAAGATAGTGCTCATGGTAGCCACATACAGTTTTAAGTGTCACTAATAAAGGTAAAAGTCTTTTAAAACTAGGAATGCCGACTTGGCCCTGAGTTAGTGATATACCATTTCGGAGGACGACAGAGAGAAATGAGCTTGGTCCACTTGGTCTTGGAGCGGCCACTGGTACCATCCAAATGCACCTGGCATGAGCCACCCCGGGAGGAGACTTGGAGCCCACGCTTGGCAGTCCACAGTGCTCTCGTGAGGGCCCTTCTGTGCTGAGGAGGCGCACACCAGCCTCGAGCCAGGCCCGAGGGGCTGAGCTGCTTCCCCACAGGACAGACAGCACCCCCATTATGAAGCAGCCTGCAGCTGTGGCCAGCCCCACATAAAGGCCACGATTTATTCTGCAAGCCCAAATGGGGCCTAATTATACGGGGCAGGACACAGGACCCTACAGCAAGTGTCCTGAAAGAATCCTCTCTCATTCTGCCCAACAAAACTCCTCAGCCTCCCACCCTCGCCATTCACGTCACCCTGCTCCTGCAGCCTGAGCGCTGGGAGTGTGGCTGGTTGCCATGGCGGCTATCCCCTCCCTGCCCCGCTGTACGAGCTCATCCCCTTCTCAAACATCCTGTTGTGTCTGTCAATTCCAGCCAGAGCCCCCCACCCACCCCGCTTTGCCCACTCCCAGGCTCCCAAGACAGTCACACACTCAGCCTCTGTGACGCTCAGTGGCCAGGCTGGGGGGGGATTGCACAGACTGGGGACACACTGGAATATTCACAGACTCTGTGGCAGCAGAAGCAACAGAAGAGCAGCCCACCCCATAAGGGACCCCTCAGGAATGAAGCAGCCTTTCAGGGCCAGAGGGGCTGCAGCCTCCCCTTTTTTCCTTAAATAGCCAGCCCTCCACCCATAGCTGCAAAGAGCCCACTGCCACCACCACGCTCACCTGTGCCACCTGACTCCTGCCCCTTCTGCTGGACCAGCTGCAAGAGGTAAGGGGTGGGGCTGGGCCTGGCAAATGCCAGAGAGCCAGGGCCAGGCAGAGGTGAGCAGAGCAGGATGTGTTGCAGGGGTTGAGAGGGGTTGCCTCTTGTCCCTGTGTCTTAGACAACAGTGCAGCAAAGGCTGGAGCTGGCTGAACTCACAGCAACCAGAGTGTGCTTGGTCCCTAGGTCTAGACTTACAGAAGCAAGGGGTCTGTGTCCACAGTCCCATCTTGCAATGACAGTCGCTGGGACCCAGCACCCACACAGACAGCCACCAGAGAAGTCAGGCGAAGGAGACTGTCCCAGAGCAGGGTTCAGGCCAAGGAGAGAGAAGGGTCCAAGCAGAGGAAACCACCGCTGCCTGACCGCAGGGAGGAAGACCACTTAGTTAGTTAGCTTATGAATAGGCAGCTAGCTAGGAAAAGGGCCTGTGACAGAGTTGATCAGCCACACTGTCAAAACTTAAAACAAAAATAGGGAGTGGACCAGAACTTTGCCCAAGAAAGGGTTTCCTCAGGCGACATGGAATGCAGCCTGTCCCTGCTAAGGGAGGTGCAGTCCCTCCCTACTAAGTTCCTGAGTTAACTGACTGTTGTTTAAAATCTCAGTGTCCTTTAAACTGTACGTGCTGAGCAACTGGTTCAGAGAGCATGAGTTTAATTGGTCATTTTAAACCCACAGAGCTGCCTGTGACAAGTAGTCACTGAACAACTGAGCAATTTACATACTCTGCTTATCCATAAAAGGTCCCAGGCCTGCGGGCCTGAGTGACTCACTTGGGACCACCCCCCCTGGATACTCGCAGCAGGGAGCTGCTTTCCTTCTTCCCCCTTCCAGTAAACGCTCTCCTAACTTCTTCCTTTTCTTCTCCTTCCTTCCAGTAAACGCTCTCCTAACTTCTTCCTTTCTGTCTGCACTCTTGTTTTTCAACTCCGAGGCAACACGCTTGGGATCACGCAGTTCTTAAAGAGATAACAATTTCAGGTTTGGAAGACACGCGAGACTGATAGGAGGTAAGGCCCTGACCAGGGAGGGTTTGTCTTTTTCCCTTTTTTCTCCATTTGCAATATGCTTTTGTTAACCATGATTACATTTAGAAGGTCGATGAAATTTGCACTCTGCGTTTTTACTGGATGGCCTTATGTCTCTTTTGTCATTTCCCTGGTGTTAGAATAGATTGGGGAACAACCATATGCCTCATACAAAAGGACCAGCCGGGCGTGGTGGCACATGACTGTTATCCTAGCACTTGGGAAGCTGAGGCAGGAGGAGGTCAGCTTAAACTACATAGTGAGACCTTGTCTCAAAAACAAAACAAAAAACCAAAAAGCAGGACCCTATCAACCGATTTTTAAAAAAAATGATTAGCACCAGCTAGCTGCTGCTGTCAGGTCTCAGGGTACAGGTTTCACTGGGGCAGTCTGTCCTGCTCCCACATGCATGGAAGGGAATGTCGAGCCTGTTCTATCTTCACTTCCTTTCCAGTTTGATCCTCCGCTGGTGAGCACACAATGTTAGGTAAGCAAGCGATGTTAGCTCTCGTCACTTGGGGTCCGGAGCCTGGTGGCTCTCAGGCAGGTTGTTCTATTAACTCTCACAAGCGTTGATGAGGATAAATCTCTTTCACTACTGTGGCCTCTCAACTCTGACTTTCTCCTGCTGCTCCTTCTTTTCTGTTTCATTTTTGAAGAGGCTTATTTTGCTAAAGACCAGAGACTGGCCCTAAAAAAGCTCCCAATTGTCTTTCTACTGGTGGTATAGTCAGGAGAAGACGCTGGGCCTGGTAAATAAGTTCTTGTGCCTTGCACAGATAGAATCACTGCTGGATTAGGCTTTTCTCCTATTCCCTCTTCATTGCTCAGCCCAGGAATAACACCTGGTGAGGTATTTTCCAAACATCTGGTGCTCTTAATGGAAAAAGGAAAGATTACTAGTCTTTTGAGATGGGATCATTACAACACGGACGATTTCATGGATAGAACAAAACATAGTTTTAGGGACCCTTAAGGATTTAATGACAACTTTATGTAAAACAGATATTAAGGGAACTAACAGCAACAGCCCCTGGTCCCCACAGAACTGCCCCTCTCCTGTCGTGGATTCTCTCCAAAACACACCACCAGGCTGACAGACAAGTTCTACACTCAGAGATGTGTTACCTGGGGGTTGAGAAAGGAGCAACCAGCACCCGGTATGAGCCCCAGGGTCACAAGACTGTGAGGAAAGGGGACGCAGCGCCGGTAAGGTGGAAAGTCAGGCCCTTACCACTTCCTTCAGCAACTCCAGCAGCTGCTACTCACACTGAGCGTCCAGAGCTCGAGGACGCCCCAGCTTCAGTGACCAAACAAGCGGAGGGCAGGCAGGGATGCCTTCTCTCATCTTATTTTTCAGAATGGGAAATTTGAGGTCGCCTTCAACTTCCCATAACCCCTTGAAATGCATATTTAGACACTGGAACTCCTTTGACCCTGAGACTCTAAAAAATATCACCTTATCCTTTCCTGCACCCATGCAGGTCTGGGAGCCCCTGGGAAATGGGGCTGCTTGCCAGAAGTATAAATTATGACACGCTTCAGTTAACCAGTTCTATAAGAGGGAAAATGGTCAGAAGTTCTCTATGTCAGACAGTTTTTACTTTAGAGACAACCCCAGAATGCATGAACAGTGCAGACTGGGTCCCATTTTACATAAGGGCTCCCAAGACCCTGCTGAGGTGTAGGCAGCCCATCCAAGCCTTCCTGTCTACCCTGTTCAGAGCTCCTGATACAGCACAGACCAAAAGAAACCTCCAAAGGGGGCCGTACCCTCTTCAGGAAGGGACAGGGAGAAATTTGGTGTCCTCCGAGTCCATGTACCCTTTTCCTTGACAGTCCTAATACAGATCCAACTGGAAACCTTAGGAAGGTTTTCCGATGACCCTGATAAGAATGCACAGTCACTTTGATGTTTAGCTCAGTGTTTTGACCTAGCTTAGAAGGTATGACATTTCTTTTAAATCAGACATTATAACCTAGTAAAAAGCAGGCAGCCTTACAGACAGCAGAGGTCTTTAGAGAGCAATTGCATTGACTCATTATAAGAGACCTGATTGGGATGAATGGAGACATAAATATTTCCAGCCCTGCATTCTAAAGGGATTACGGAGGACATGCTCTAAATCCTTCAGTTACTCCAAGTTATCAACTATTGATCAAGACAGTGAAGAGAAGCCCTTAGCATTTTTTAAAAAAACTCCAGGAGGCTTTAAGTAAGTATACCTTTCTGTCCCCAAACACCATAGAGGGACAGGTAATCATCAGTAATAAATTCATAACCCAACCTGCCACAAATACAAGGAAAAAATTACAAAAAGGGTATCGGGTCCTAATAGGGTCTTTAGACACCCTGATCAGCCAGGTCTTTTATTAACAGGACAAAAAGGAAGTCAAAAAAAGGAGGTGGGACCTAAAAAAGGACAGCTACATGAGTGGCTGCCCTGTGGGGGAAGGGAGCAGCCACAGTCCCAGGGCTCTAGAGGCAGTTATCTGACTGCTGTAGCTATGGAAAGCCAGCACACTTCCCTAGGGACTGTAATAAGGGGTGTCACCAAAAGGTTGAGGAGTCACCTACCCTCTGAAAGAAAACTGCGCTGAGGTAGAGGTCTCTGTGATCAAACCCATCCTTCCAGTTGGCCCAAGAAGACTGAGGGGCCCCACAGGCACCCACCACGGGCGCAACTCTGTCTAGACTGTCATCTCCACAGAGGAGCCCCAGGTAATTCTAATTATAAAAGGGGGAAGATAAACTTCCTTGTCTTGGAGCCCAGTCTCTTTCTCTAACCCTGGCCCATCCTCCTTGTCTACACAGTCTTCGGAGGTGTAATTGAGAAGCCCATAGTCAGAAATTCTCCACAGCTCCTTAGCTACAGCTGGGACATTTTAAGGAAGGGAATATATATTTTTATTTACACTGGGCACCCAAATTAAGAGACTCATGTTGGAGCCAGGCGCCAAGGAAAGGCCACTGAGCCGAGGAAAGAACTCCAGTGCAAGCTCTGAGATAAGCCACACTCCCACCTCTGGCCAAAAGGCCCTCTTGGCCCCTAGAGGCCAGCCAGTGCCCTGGGGGCCTGGGTCTCCCTGACTGCCTTCCAGATCCAGGGCTACATGACCTCAGGCTGAGCCTTGATGGCTATCCATACATAACAGGGAGCTCTGATGCCCACCCCTTAGACCAGCAGGCGCAATGGCAGGCAGGCCCTCGCCGTGTCAGGCATCGGGAGCTGCCTTCCTGGAGGGAACAGGCCGCAACCGCCCTGTGGGGCACAGTCCAGGCTTCTGACAGCCGGGCCTGGCAGTAGCCTCCCAAACTACCCTGACCTCCCACCTTGGCCCACAGGCTACAGGCTCTTTTGCTTCTGCCGCCTGCCCAGTCCTGCTCACATTCCCACTCCCAGGCCCCCGGGAAGGAAACAGAGTACAGGGACCACTCTTTTCTTCCTCAGATCTCCTGAGTGGACTAAAATTGAGGTAAGAGTGGGTTTCCCTGTTGGGGAGAGGTAGGGAGCAACCTACCCACGACTTGTTCTCAAGACTGGTGGGGCTCTGAGCTTGGTCCTCAGCGGTGAGCACACACAGGGCCTCCCAGGCCTGTCCGGGCTACAGAGCTTCAGAGGAAACCCTGGCAAGTCTTGCTGCTCTGGATGAGGCTCTTTCCCTCCCAGAGAAGATCCCACCCTTGGCTGTGGAACACTCTGTTTGGGAAAACAGACTTCCCGTCCTGTGGCCCAAACACAAGGCTACGTCCAGGTCTCCATCTGCTAGGACATCTGAAAGGGAGCTATGGGCTGAGTTCAGAAAGCACCCCCAGAGGCATCAGGACAGAGCAAGGTCTGACCTCACCCTGGACACTGCATTCCTGGTGCAGCTCCTAGGTATCCATGCTCGGGGAGCCGCAGTCGGGGTGGCACTGGGCGCAGAAAGCAGTGAAGCTCTGGCCCTGTGGCTGTGCAGCTGCTGAGAAGACCCAGGGAGGTAGGCTGGGGTGGGTCCTAGGCTCAGGACTAGCTGCTGAGATGAAGGAACTGGCAAACTCCAAGCAAGGGGCTCAGGGACAGATCCTCCCCCATATCCATCAGCAGTGGTGCATTCAGTAGCCCATCAGGGTGCAAAACCAAAAGACAGAGCCCTCCTCTGCCTCAGCAAGCAGGCCTCCTATCTCCTCCCCTCCAAGGCGCTGAGGTGTAGGATGGGAGGACCTTCACATTTCTGGGCCACCCAGTGCCCCAGCCTCTCACCTGCTCAGCAGGGGCTTGCTGCACAGTGAGGGAGCGCCAAGCCCCAGGCATTGGGGTGCTCTGGTTGTCAGCTTTCTGCGCTCATAAAGGAAGTGCCCTGACTAGTCCCAACAATAACGCTAAGCCTGGAGCAGCTCTGCTCCTCTCAGGTCAGGGCGGGAGGTGCTGAAGGCTCAGAGGCTCACTTCTGATTGGGGCACTTGCCCTCACCTGTCTGCTTGCTTCCTCAGGCTCACCCACAGCTCTGCTCTGGCCACAGCATGAATGGCCTAGAGACAGCCTCCCTGAGTCCGACCAGCAACTCCTCCCTGGCCACTGCTGAGCGATGTGGGCAGGAGACACCACTGGAGAACATGCTATTCGCCTGCTTCTACCTCCTGGATTTCATCCTGGCTTTTGTGGGCAATGCCTTGGCCCTGTGGCTTTTCATCCGGGACCACAAGTCAGGCACCCCAGCCAACGTGTTCCTGATGCATCTGGCGGTGGCTGACTTGTCCTGTGTGCTGGTCCTGCCTACCCGCCTGGTCTACCACTTCTCTGGGAACCACTGGCCTTTTGGAGAAATCCCGTGCAGACTCACCGGCTTCCTTTTCTACCTCAACATGTATGCCAGCATCTATTTCCTCACCTGCATCAGCGCTGACCGCTTCCTGGCTATCGTGCACCCAGTCAAGTCCCTCAAGCTGCGCAGGCCCCTCTATGCCCACCTGGCTTGTGCCTTCCTGTGGGTGGTAGTGGCTGTAGCCATGGCCCCACTGCTGGTCAGCCCACAGACGGTGCAGACCAACCACACGGTGGTCTGCCTGCAGCTGTACCGAGAGAAGGCCTCCCACAATGCCCTTGTGTCCCTGGCTGTGGCCTTCACCTTCCCCTTTGTCACCACAGTCACCTGCTACCTGCTGATCATTCGCAGCCTGCGGCAGGGTCCCCGTGTGGAGAAGCGCCTCAAGAGCAGAGCTGTGCGCATGATCGCTATAGTGCTGGTCATCTTCCTGATCTGCTTCGTGCCCTACCACGTACACCGCTCTGTCTACGTGCTGCACTACAGCGGCAGCGGGGCCTCCTGCGCTGCTCAGCGTGTCCTGGCCCTGGGCAACCGCATCACCTCCTGCCTCACAAGCCTCAACGGGGCCCTGGACCCTGTCATATACTTCTTTGTGGCTGAGAAGTTCCGCCACACCCTGTGCAACTTGCTCTGTGGCAAAAGGCTCATGGGGCCACCCCCCAGCTTTGAGGGGAAAACCAACGAGAGCTCCCTGAGTGCAAGGTCAGAGCTGTGAATCACAGGCCACAGCCCCCGGATGATAAGGTTGGGGCAAGAGGACTGAATCTTCCCCCATTTGGCTCCTGGCAAACAACCTGAAGTCTCAGCAGGTCCCCACCCCTCCCTCAAGTCGGCAGGCTGAGTTCACCTAGGCCCAAGCTCAGTCTTACCCACAAGCAAACTCCTGGAAATGGAAGACTAACAATGGTGACTGAATAGCCAACCCTGTGCAGGGACTGTGCTAAACGCAGCTCCCAGACACTCGGGGACTTCGCTCCTCGCAAGAGGGGCCAGGGCTCCTTCTTTGCTAACCAGGCTCGAAGCCTCCTACCCACCACAGTGAAGCCCTGCAGAAAGACCCAGGGCTGCATGGGGCCCAGGAGAAGAGGCAGCATGGCTGTTAGTGGAGTTGGGGGGTGGGGGGTATCCAAATATTTCCTTTAAAGTGCAAGGTTTCTGGAGGTCCCTTTGCAGTGCCTTTGCCAGATGACCCCTTTCTGAGTTTAGGGGACATAAACTAAATTATAGCCAAATGCTCTAAGTGCATTTTAGAGGTTTGCTGTGCGATGCTGAGCAAACCTGGCCCAGCTCAGCTCTGGGTTCTTGCCTCTCCTGGTATAAACCCACACAATTTGCCGTAGCCTGACAATCTGAGCCCCTTGGCAGGAGAAGGTGGCCTCACCAAGCACAGGCCATAGTGGACAGTCACCAGGAGCCAACCTCAGGCAGGGAGCTGGTATGTGACGCTCTCTCCTGCTATCCCAGACCTGGCAGGGATGTCCTAAACGTCACCCTTCCCGAGAGGCCTGCAGCCCCTGCCGCCCTGCTTTGCTTTCACTCGGTAGCATGCATATCCCATCCTAACATGTCCTTTGAGTACTTGTTTGTGCTGATCATGAATATACCTGTAGCTTTAAAATGAAGGTTATTGTTTGCTCAGTGTGGTGCCCGCTGCAGAACTTTCTTTCCTTTGATCTGAGATGGCAAACTAGTCACAGGCATCAGAGGCAGAGCAGCACCATAGTTCCCTCACTGTGTTTCTAAAGGCCCTGAGGTTGTCCCTGCCCTACACAGACTCTGAAGTCCCACATGTGGACTTGTGTGTGCAGCCAGGGCTAGCAGGGCCCTAGCAATGGCTCAGTACTCTCCATTCCCGCTGCTGCCCTGCCCTTGGCATTACAGCAGCTCTGTGCTTTTCTACTGCATTTTACTTTCTACAGCACTTCAGCCCCTTCGGATTTTCCCAACCAGCCAGGCAGCGGCCCTGAGCAAGCCTTGATTAGGAAAGCCGCAGCGAAGCCAGCAGGTGTGCTGGGAGGGCGCTGGCCATGCAGCTTTGGCTGGGGGAGCCCCCACAATGGGGCCACAGCCAGGTGGGAGGTGTATTTCAGGGCTGTACCAGGCTGCAGAGGGGAGGGCAGGATGAAGCCACAGTAAAGCCTCTGGGAGGTGAGAGCTTCCTTTGGAGGGCAAAGTCGGGCAACACTCAGCTGTGTGGGTGCAGGTGAGGAGAGGCAGGGAGCTGGGCCGGCACACTGAGGTGGCCTGGAGGGAACCGGGTCAACTTGAGGCTCCCCGTCTGTCCACCATCATCTAATAGCCCCTCTCCTTGGCCTCTGTCCTTGCCGGTTGGGCCCTGCCACTTGGCTCACCCCATCCAGCCTCAGCAGCGCCTGCAGGCTGGGGACATACTCTCCTCCTGTATGGATGCAGGAGACTGGCAGTCAGGTCAGGAGAGTGCCTGGTGCCTGCACGGGGCACTCATGGCGAGGGCCCTCTTCTCTGCCCAGGTCTCAGCCTCCTCACCTGCCTGCATTCTTCACAAAGCCCAAGTCAGCCAGCTCCACATCACACAGCTCACAACGGAAGCACCCCGGGTGCCAGTTAGTGTTCATAGCTTTGATGACACGGCCAATGATGAACTCACCTGGAAGAGAAGAGGTCTCTGCTTCCCAGGCAGAGCTGGGCGCTCCCAAGCCCAGCCACCCGAGCCCTCCACCCAAGCCCAACCTGGTCTGAGGCACCCCACCTGCAGCATAGGCAGCGGTCCTCAGGCAGGTTGAGCTCCCAAGCTGGGCCAGTCCTATGTGGCCCATCTCCCCCTCCCACTTCCCAGCAGCACAGGGCATCACTGTCCCCAGCCCTCACCACAGGATCCACAGCAAGGAGCAAACAGCATTTGGAAGTCATGTTCACAGTACTTCCGGCCCTCAAACTGCAAAGGGGCACAAACAGAAAACCGGCATTTCACCCATCATTCCAAGGACACTGCCCTCCCAGGCCTCTGTCAGGTCAGGGGCTGACAGCAAGTGACAGGGCACAGAGAAGAGACCTTTCTAGACCAAGGTGGGGCTGGCCCATGCAGCATGTGGACACAACATGGGGGCCCTCAGTGGGAGCCTCAGGAACCCCAATGCCAGCTCTCAGATGGCCGTGGCTGGGGGTCCCAACTTGGGAGCGCCCAAGAATCCTACCCTGGGGGTCCTGAGAGCCTGAAGCAGGGCTTCAACTGGGGAAGGATGGGGCAAGTGTGAAGTTTGCCCTGATTCCTGTGTCCTTCTGTGTGGGCAGTCCAGCTCCTCAAGAGGTCACAAAAGACTCAAGGAAGGGAAAGAAAAGGGAGGGGACACAGGAAGGGGGCGCAAGGGAGATTAACCGAGTCCTGCAGCCATGGGAGCCACTGTAGACATGGCCGGCAGCCACTGTCTGACAGCAAGGGCCACTCGCTGGCCCCAGTGTGATGGCCAAAGCCTGCCTCTACCTCCCTCTCCATTGATATATGCTTTCTCTTTTTTGAAAATTTGATTTTCCCACTTTCTAGAATGAATGTTTCAGACTGCAGCCGGTGAGGCAGGGGGGGGGCGTTAAATTTAGCCAGCAGTGCTGTCTCCTGAGCACCTCTGGTGTGCCAGGCTCCGTTCTTGCACCTGTCCCTCAGTTCTACGCCCTCCCGCCACTGCTCTAGTGGTCAGCGTTTCTCAGAAGACCGCAGGGCACCATGAGGACAGGTCCCCGTGTGTCAGCAGGTCATGCAACCCACATCCATCCACCATTAACTCCACCCCAATATGCATGCAGCAGCCGACCCTGGGCCCCACTTCCCTACAGCCGCCACACGCCACATGGGGAGATGTGCAGCAGCCAGCTCTCCACAGGGCCGCGGGAGCCCTGTGGCCCGGCACTCCCCACCGCCATGGTGTAAATGCCCCGGGGCCAGCCTCAAGCAGCCACCATCTGGAGCCGGGAGATGTGCAGTCCCCACAACATAGGGACAGTAGACGGAAATAACCCCAGAAGCATAGACAATAGTGAACTATAACAAAATAACCAGCAAGGGGGCAATTGTAAGTATTGCTTACCTTTGTTTTAATAAAATGTGTTTTCACTGTGGAGGATATAACTTCATTTTTAACAAGGACCATATTTAACAACAGTTTGCAAAGTGAAGATTTAACCACCTGCTCATGTGAGCCGGTATGTGCTGTTCTGGGCTCCTTCACTTTCATCTGGATTAGAGCAATAACCGTGGTCTCTAAGCTTCTGTCCCTGCCACCCTCACGGCCGGTCCTCAGCACAGTGACCACAGGGATCCCGTTCGCACGTTAGGCAAATGGTGTGGCTCCATGGTTCCCCACCCCAGCCGGTCCAGTCTCTTGCGGGTAGAAGCCTATGGCCCTACCAGGGAAAGGATAGCCACCTCCCGCTCCCACCTCCTACCACTCGCCCTCTCATTCCCTGCTACTCCGCTAAGTAGTCCTGCATGCTCCCTAGTGTGGGGCCTTTGCCTGTGCCCTCTGCCAAGGGATCTTCTGGCAGATGTGTGTGGGTCTCCCCTCCCTTAGGGTCCCCTCACACATGAGCTTTCCTGATCACCCAACTCCCGTGGGGTTCCTTATCACCATCTGGTGAACCCCAGGGGTCCACCTACCGCTGGATCCCAGGGGAGGGCACGCACCACTTGGGCAGGGTCTCCCACCCTCGATGCCACTCAGAGGAGCAGGAGGAAGCTCACAGGTGAGGGTGCCCACAGAGCGTGCTGGGCGAAGCTCTGTGCTGCTTCAGGCCTGCCCTGGTGCCTGTCAGCTACAGGCTCCCAGCAGGCGGGTTGCACATCCTCACCTCGTAGAAGAGCCCCTCGGGGAACGGCCGGAAGCACTGGGCGCACACGAAGCAGTGCTCGTGGTACAGCTCCCCGCTGCTGTTGATGATGCGCTCGGCAGGGCCAAATCGGGCCTGGCAGCGCTGGCACACCGCGTTGGCCAAGGCGTCAGACATGTTGCTAGAGAAAAGAGAGGAACAGTGAAATCAAGACTGGGGAGGATGGATGGGGCAAGATCCATGCACACCCCTGCTCAAGTTTGCAGTGCTTTCCAAGACAGAGAAAACCGCTTGTCACCCCCAGGCCAGCACTGGCTCCACAGCTGCTCGGTGGCACACAACCAGGGCCAAGCCACCTGGCATCAGCTCAGGTCGCTCAGTATGGCCCCCCGTACGCCTCTCCTGTGACCAGTGTGCAGAGCACCCCAAGTGTGGTGTGCTGGGAATGTGGTGTGCATCCTGACTGGGGTAAAGTGGCGTCTCCAGTCACAGACACAGGGGCACAGCATGGACACCCAAGGCCCATAGGACATGGGAAAAGCTAGCTGGAAACCTGCCCGCTTCCAAAGCCTCTAGTCTCTGTGTCACACTACTTTTCCACAGAGAGTCCCATGCAGGGCTGGCAGCAGACAGGTGTGCACTACTGGGTCAGAGCCATTAGGACTCCAGGCAGAGGTCTGCACTCCATCCACGGCCCCAGCCTTGAACAGGCCACCATCATGCTGTGCTGTGGGGTTGGGCCGGTGAGATGAGGTACACACACTTGGCAGGGTGATGGGCAGCTCACTGGTCACCAGGACCACCGAGCCAGGCCCCACACTGCCCAGTCATCACAGTGCTGGGCCACCTCTTGGGGTTCAGAAGCCACCCCAGTGCCCTTTTTCTTTTTTTTTGTTTTTTCCGGTACCAGGAATCGAACTCATGACCTCGCACTTGCCAGGCAGGCGCGATGCCGCTGAGCTAAATCCCCAGGCCCCCCCCCTTTTTTTCGCAGTGCCCTTTTATGCTCTGTCCTCACACTTTCCTCAGAGGATCAGAATCACCCAGGCACAGACTACATTCTCACTCTCCTTTAGTCCTGAGGCAACTCTGCAGCCACTCTTCTTGTCACTGTCCTAGAGAACCAGGTGTAAGACTCAGACATGAAGTAACTGGTCCAAGTTCAGACAGCAAGGACAGAGTTCAGCTTGGAACCAGGACTATCAGGGGTCAGAGGCTCCTTCCTCTGCACCATGAGTTGGTGTCAAATTGACACACGCCCGTGAAGAAGGCAAGAGTTTGAGTCTCTGGAGTGGTGACGCACAGAAGATCGCATCCATGTTGGGTGCTGCCTGTGCCAGAGTAAGTGGTGGCGGCCTTCCTTCTGCGGGAACAGAGTCCAAATTGAACTACAGTGGCTCCCCCTTATGCACAATTTTACTTTCCAAGGCTTCAGTTACCCATTGTCAATCATGGTCTGAAAATATTTAAAGTCCCAGACTAAGGTGTAACTTATCAGCAGTACAGTATGTGTGACGCCCTGAGGTCAATCCTCAGCACTAAAAAAAATTAACATTCCAGGGTTGGAGATGAACCTCAGCGGTGGAGTGTTCACCTAGCCTGTGCCTGGCCCTGGGTTTCATCCTCAGCACCAAAATAAACAAATAAATGGAAGAAAAAAAATCTAGAAATAAGTAATTCATATGTTTTTGCATTCTGACTGAGGCGCTAGAGGTTGGAGCCTTTGGACTGAACTACATCCCCAGCCCTTTTTTATTTTTCATTTTGAGACTGGGTTTCATTAAGTTTCTCATGCTGAGCTTGAACGTGAGATTAAGAGAGATTACAGGTGTGAGCCACCACCCCCAGCAAATAACTCGTAAACTTTAAACTGTGTGCTATTCTCAGCGCCAGACATATAGAGGAACATAGCATATACAGGGTGTAGGATAACACACAGTTTCAAGCCTCTGCTGGGAGTCCTGGGCTGTATCCTCATGAGTGAGGGGAACCACACTGAGCCAGGCTCCACTCCAGCACAGGGCCCCCGAGGCACGACCAGGAGGCTGGTAGGACTGCACAATAGTCGCCCTGAACACCTCCACAGCTGCTCTCCCTTCAGAGACTCTAATGTACACTCCCTTTGCCAGAGGGCAGCAAGCAGGTTCTGTCCAAAACACCAGTTCTATTGGGCTGATGGTAGCTGCCAGGAGAGCTGGGTAAAGAACGATGCCCAGCCTTATTATCGAGGAGTGACGCTATCGACGGTCGCACCTGCTGTGGGGACAGCACGGAGGGCATGTTGCGAGCTCACTATCTCTGAGAATGTCTTCAGCCTGTTTTGCTTCCCACAGACCCCATTTCATCCACTGCTCATTTTCAGCCTTGCACTGGGAGAAGAGTGCTTGGGGAAAGAGCGTGGCCCCCGAGGGGCTGTTCTGCAGCCTGTGGAGCAGGCGGAGCCAGGCTGAAGGGTGTCAACCACAGGAAAGGGGCCCTTGCACCAGATGAGCCAGGCAGGGAAGAAGAGGGCTACGTCTGGACTCGTGGGTCTCTGGACTATGCCTGTTAGAATAGGTTGCCGCCACGTGGAGACAGACTGGTGACCAGGGCGGCACACCGGGCCGGATGTCCTTTTTCTTGTTTGGGAACCCGTGTGGCAGACCCGGCCCAGAAAGCCATTTAACAAAGCTTACCAGATGTGCTAGACTTCTGTGGGTCTCAGCTTACCTTGAGCTTTGGGGGCCAAAGCCACCTCCTGTGTCCATAATTAGACCAGAGCAACAAAGAAGCAGGGATGGTGGTAGCAGGAGTCAGGAAAAACTCAAGGCAAAAGGGAGGCAAGATGCCTAGCAGCCACTCTCCTATCTTCCAGCTTCCTACTGGTCTCCATGAAGTGGCCCAGGCAGGACATCAGGGGCCAAGGACAAGCCGTCCCGAGCCAGCCTGGGTGGCTAAGCTGGGATTGGTTAGGATGGACATAATTTCCTTCTCAGGAACACTGTGTGCCTTCTCTCCTGGAGCACACACCCAAAGTGACAGGAAGGACATTCCAACCCTTGACTGTGAACGTGACCCATGGGTCTCGGAGAGATCAGAAATCAACAGGAAATCCTGACTGTAGGCCTGGGAATGCCCCACTCCAAGGACCCAGAAAAGAAGCCAAACTGAGGATTCAAGTCCAGTCTAAGGCTTCCAGATTGTGCCTTAAACCTAACCTCCTGGGCCCTCTTCAGACCACACAGCATAGCCTACCGGCCACTTGCCCTTCAAGACCCTCTGCAGACCCCAGGTACTAAGGCTTGGGGATGGAACCCACAGACCCCTTGCCCTCCAGCTTCCAGCTGAGCTAGAGGACAGCTGCATAAAGGGAGCTGTTGTTTTGCAGCTACTCTGGCAGCCATACAGAGTCCCTCCAGGCAGCCAGGCCAGGGGACAGCCTAGGCCGCCTATACTCCCTAAGGAGGGCAGAGGGTCAGAGACATGGACATTCCAGCCTCCTCCTCACATTCCACCCAAGATCGGGAAGCACCAAGGCAGCTTAGCCACAAGGAGACACTGCCACCCCACCACAGCTGCACAGCACCACCTATGCCCAGGGCCAAGCCCAGGGCTGCTCCCCAGCCCCTCACACTCTCCATCCATCCGGACAGATAACACAGGACAATGCGCTGCACGATGTCCCCAGCGTCTGGTGACCAGCAGCCTTGGGGGAGGCAGAGGGCGCCCTCGGGTGTCAGATCCTTGTAAGGGGAGGGTGCTGGTGCAGACCAGGACACTGAAACATGGAGAGCTGAGGGACCTGGTGAGGGTAACCCAGGACTGCAGTCCCACCACCTGCTGTCCCCTCGCTCCTACTGCATCACAAGGGCATGGGCATTGCAGACTTTACTTCTTCAATAACCCAGACCTTCCCCCATCCCAGCCTCCCCTCCACTTGAGACTAAAGGACAGCGTGAGCACCTGGGAAGGGAAGTCTGGTCACACAGGGGATGAGGCAGAGTTACTGGGGCCATGTCCGCCTGGTCAAGGGTCAGACCCACAGTGTATGCCATACAGTTAAGCAGGCTATAGAGCTGCTCAACATTCCTTGGCCATGCAAGCTGCAGCAAAGTACTCTCCAAACCTCAGCTTCCTCCTCTGTAAAATGGGCTCACACCAGCTGTCACCAAGGATTTCTGGAGGACTAAGCAAGATGATGCCAGGGAGCACAGCCCATCATAGGCACTGTAACCAGGAGCACCTCCCCTCCTTCACGTAGCAGGGGTTTGCCAAATGCCTGCCATTCCAGGCTGTCTTCAGAGTCAGCCTTCAGAGTCCCAGGCGGGAGCTCCCAGTCCCCCGACACTGCCTGGCCCTTCTTCCTGCCCTTCCCCACCAGGGCCAGTCAGAGGCCAGCATCAGGAGTCACCCGGCTGTACACAGTGAACAGGGATGTATGCAAAGCCAGCCTAGTGCTCTGCCACAAGGACACTAGAAAGTCAACACTTGGAGTGAGGTGCTGTACACACGATGCATTTGCGCATTAATGTCAGACACGTATTCCATGTCCCACGATGTCTGAAGTTCGTGAGCTCTTTCTGAAGCTCTCAGTACACTTCTTTGCTCCACCAGTGGCTCCATTTCTTTTGACCAAAGACACTTAAAGTGTCACACTGACAACAGAACCGGCAAAAGGCACCAAGCAGAAATTCAAAGAAAAACTCAAGGGGCAGATACAGTGTGTGTGGCACCTCCTGAGATCAGATTTTCCTTCTCAGGCCCATGGCCACCTTGGCCATGCTGTCATGCTGCACCCAGACCCCGAAGCCCGCCCTCCTGCATGACATCTGAGCCTCCATGCCCTGGCCTCCCTGGCATCACGGGTCTCAGCACGGATGTCGCATCCTACAGACCCACCCGTGAGTTTCCTTCTCCATCTGTACCCAGCTCCTGTGAGTGACCTGGTCTCCTGAGCCTACGTTCCCTACCAGAACAATGGGCTTGCCCCGCCTCATCCTGCCAGGGCTGGGGCTGCAGGTATGAGCCCAGCAGGAGCTCCACACATGTTCCCTCTGCAGCTGCAGGTCCACGCCCCACCTGAGCCCCTCCCTCTGCCTGTCCTCAGCAGGAGACATCTTTGAGGTTCATCCTCCTATCCCCCTCCCAAAGCCCCCTCTGACCTAGGGCACAGAGGAGCCCTATTTTCCAGGGCATCATGAAGCCCAGACTTCCTGTCCTACAGGCCCTCCTCTACCTTCCCCTCAACTGCTGCTCTCAGCTCCCCCCACCTCCTCTGCCCCCTCGTTCTCTCCCCGGCTCTGTCTCCCGAGCTGGCCCCAGGGAATTACAAACTCAGTGTGCCCAGGGCCTCCAATCCAGATGCCTTCAACACCTTCCTCACCCAGGTTTCTTTCTTTTTTTTTTTTTTTTTGGTTTTTTTCCGGTACCGGGAACCGAACTCACGACCTTGCGCTTGCCAGGCAGGCGCTTTTGCCGCTGAGCTAAATCCCCAGCCCCCCTCACCCAGGTTTAACCCACACTCTGAGAGCCCCTTAGGACCAGCCTGCACCGCACTGTCCCGCCTCCCAGCCAAAAAAGAGGCCTTTTACACCAGTGGCCCTGCTAGGGAAGAAGAGGCTCAGCTTCAGAATCATCCTACCAGGGCTCAGATCACGGCTCAGCCATTTTTTGCTGGGTAATGTTCAGAGGTCCCTCCACCACTGTGAGCCTAGAGCCTAGATTTGCTCCTCTACAAAGTGACAATAAACTCTCCCCAATCCGAAATCCATAATGGGGTGACAAGGACAACTGCTTTCATCACCACCCTCAGTTTGTCCTGCCCAAGAAAGCTGATCACAGAAGACATCAAACCCAGCTCTTCTAGTGGCACCCACCCTCCGGGTCTCCAGCCCAGGTCCCCGCGCCCTGGGCAGCCACAGCCAGGCCCAGTCCCGTACCGTCGGAAGGCCCAGCCGGGTTTCCAAGGCCAGGCCTGAAAGCCAGCCTTCCGGCCATTGTCCTGGGGACCCGCCCAGCCTCTCCCCACCTACCGGGGCTCTGTGGGCAGCGGGCCAGGCCGGTGCTGGCGCCTCCGGTACAGCCCTGACGCTGCGAGCGCACCCAGCCGGGTTGCCATGGCTGTGCGGTACGGGTGCAGGCACCGGGCAGGTGAGGCCTGGACCCCAGCCTCCAGAGGACAGAACGGCAGTGCGGCCACAACAGGAGCTCGTGTTACACTCTGGGATCTCCAAAGGGCAGCAGAGTCAACTCCAAATAGAAAGGACATTGTTTGCAGGCTGCGGGGGTAGATCAGTGAACGAGAGGCTGGGCTGGCTCGATTGGATCCCAGCCAGAGAGGGGACTGCGCTGGAAAGTCCCAAACACCCCCAGGTGCACCTATAGTGATGGGGTGGGATGCCCAGGGGGTCTCAGGCTGCCACCGGAACAGGAGGGAACCTGAGGCCCCTGGACATCATGAGAAGTGCAGTATGACACTGGGCCAGTTTAGGAATCCTCAAAACAGTTAACAAGTGGAGAGGGGGGCCACACATGCCCACATTCTGCCATGCTGCCTTCCCCAAGAGCCTGGGTCACAAACACTACCTAGGGTGCCCAGACCGGGAAGCCCCCATCCTAGCCTAAGACCAGGCCAACAAAGAGTCAAGCACTCCAAAAGAAGTCCACAATTAGACAAGGTGGTCTCCAGCTGGCCAGGGAGAGCAGAAGCCGAGGGATTTTACCTGCAGAGACTGCCCCTGTTACTTGCCATCGCAGTACAAGCACCCGAGGTCAGCAACAGAGCCGTGGTCACCACTGGCACAGCAGGCACTATGGTCAAAAATAACACACAGATCCAGAGGATCCACGGAAATCTTTAACACGGATTCCATTTCCTGAAAAATCTTTTCAATGAGGTCAGAAACTGAGTGTAGTATTTTCCTCTGCCTTCCCAAAGAAAGAGACAGTAGTCATCACTCCAGGCAGCAGAGAGCCCTAGCTGGAGCAGCGGAAAACCTTACAGGGCTTCACTGCTCTCAGATGCCAGGCCCAAGCAGCAAGGAACTCATCACCGAGCAGATCCTCCCATGGGGAAGATGCATTAGCCACCCTGGGTTCAGCCCCTAAATACAGTCAAGTGACCACAAGAATAGCATACAATTTATAAGTGCAGCCAATTCCAGTGTTACCCAACACTGATCAATTCAACAAATATTTTTTAAAGGTGGCCCTAGGGGCTAAAGGGCATATAGAAGCTAGGCCTGCAGGAAGTACAAACATCTACCCTGTGACTGGGAGAGTGGAGGGCTTCAGAAAGCTTAGGCAGAAAGTTTCTTTGGCACAGCTTGTAATCAAAGCCCCAGGGCATGGCCCTTCTCACCATCCTGGCTCAGCCTCTACTGTGCAGAAATCCTGAACCCTAGGACCCAGAACTTTCACCCAAAATCACCATATTACTCAAGGAGGAGGCATTTATTTGGGGCCCCTGGAGCCAAACATAGACCTAGAAAGAGCTGATACAGTTTAGCTCTGAAAGTACCCTAGAGACCCATGGGATAAAGACTTAGTCATCCGCCCCTCTCCCCACCCCGTCCATGGTGCTATTACGAGGTGGAGGAACCTTTAAGAGGTGGAGCCTGGGGGGAGGTCTTCAGGACACCGGAGAAGTACCCTTGAAGGGGACAGTGGGACCCCAGACTCTGCCTCTTTCTCTTCTAACTTCTGCAATGAGACGAGCAGTTTTGATCCATACATCATGATGTGCTGCCACAGGCAAAAGCAACAACATCGGTCTGAAACCACGGGCCAAAATAAACCTTTTCTCTATAAGTTGATGACCTCGGGCATTTGTTACATTAATGGAAAGCTGACTAACACAGAAGCTAAGCCACGGGTGTTTTGTATAGCATAACATGTAAATGAAGTTCAAGTAAAGGTTACCAAGTACTGATCAATTCAACAAACATCTGCTATAAAAGGGGACACGGGAGGTTAGAAATTGAGAGTGGCTTAAAGTATAATTGAGCCCCAAT